TATAAAGAAGTCCATAGATAAGAAGCAGTCACGTAAGCACTTTTATATCGTTGAGTTAACAACCCAGAGAAGGGGATTGCCTTCCGGCAATTTGAAATACAGTCGTCATAACCACCCTCCGATCTCCAAGTATCTGGAACCACTCCTTGGCCTAGTAAACGTGAGAACTGCAGACTAAGGATCGTCGTCAGTATGAAGAATCAGTAGACGTATCCCTGTTTAGATTTCGCAATTTCTGTCATACTAGTTTAGTGCATAATCTTACTTCCAAGACTGAAGTCGAGCTGCAGTTCAAGCCGCTGACAGTACGGGCTGTAGACGACAATAGGAATATATGGAAATACTCAATCTGGAGTGACAAAAAGTGCATAGAGTCACCAAAAATTATAACTTGCCAATGTCACTGAACATTCTTGGAGCAGAAATAATGAAATTTCATCACTTGGTTCTTTTGATATGTGCTTAAAAATGTCACAGATATGTGGTGCTTGCCTACGCCGTTGTCTGTAACACCCTTTATAATCGAAGGGTCCTCAATCTATTTAAATCGGGTCATGAATAAAGGCGTTCGACGATGTTTTAAAGATAGACGATGCGTGAAGAAGTAGATGAATCAGACTGACTCACTGTTACGTGGGATGAGTCCCGCGGTGTATCAATCAATATACACGGGAACAACTGAAGGACATTAACGGAATATTGCAACTTTGAAAATTCGACATTCATTAAAAAATTCTAACAGTAATTAAAATCTCCAGACAATGTTCATGAGTTAACCGCATTTTATAATTTATAAACAATGTGCTAATAGAAATGATAAACAACAATTAAACAGAATATATTGGGATACAGTGAATGGCAGAAGTAACGTGACATATAATAAGAGGAGACAAAAATAATGCTAATGCAAGAAAGGAATATATGGTAAGAAATTCACACAATATCACACGCTAAAAAAATCTTATATTACAGTCGGAAATGTAGCCTTAGCAACTCTAAATGCAACTGAGGGCATATTGTAGGAAGATAGGCTTTTGTGAAAGGTCCTGATTCAATTTCTCGAGAGATGGATGTATATTTTCTCGGATGCTAGTGTGACGTCCAATGTAAAATCGCATTATGAATGACTTCAGAGTAAAAGGATGTTTGTTCACCAACGTACCACTTATAGAGACTATTGATTTTATATGCAAGCAAATATCAGAAAAACAAATCAACAATGGCTTGCCTAACGATAGCCTAAGGGAACTGCTCCTAAGATGCACTCTGAATGTACATTTTGTCTTCAACAATACTTACTATAGACAAATAGACGGGATAGCCATGGGCTCGCCTCTAGGCCCGATTTTAGCTGATCTCTTCCTAGCAAAGCTAGAAAATGGACCTCTCAATGAGACTATTAAGAAACTTGATTTGTATTGCCGATACATTGACGACACCTTCATTATCGTAGATCAAAACACTAGTAAAGAGGAACTCCTAGACCAATTCAACAGTGTTCACCCAGCGATCACTTTCACTGGTGAAAGCGAGCATTATAAGAAGCTGAACTTCCTTGACGTCACACTAAGCAGACGAAGTGACGGCACATTAAGTAGAAGCGTGTATAGAAGAAACCCCTCTTCATGCCAATATACTCACTTCTGCAGTTTCACACCCATCCGTTACAAGAGAAATTTGGTCAGATATCTCACTAACAGAGCAAAAAAGATCTGTACAGTAGATACTCTAAGTCAGGAGCTTGAATTTATCAACGACTCACTGACCGAGATCGGCTACCCCAGAGCTTTCATTAAGAAGTACATGTATGATATAATAAAGAAGTCGGAGATTTCGACTGTTCGTAAGAAACCTTTATACATGAAAGTGCAATTCAACGGGGATGTGGCTAGTGACGCTCTGAAATATAGGTTAACCAAAGTAATAACCAGGACATTCTACGCAGCCAATCTTGCGTTGACCTTCTCTTGTCGACCAGCGATGTCTACTCAAACGAAGGATAAGTTACCTGAGTTGGCCTCTTCCATGTGCATTTACAAATTCAGCTGCTCCTGTGGAGATAGCTATATAGGGCGTACTACCAGGCAACTTAACCAACGAATGAGTGAACATCTACCAACTTGGTACATAAAAGGCCAGATAAAATCTATTCGCAGTTCTATATTGGCACATCTCATTGATAGCGGTCATGCTGTTAATAAATCGAAATCATTTCGAGTTATCTATCGTATACCTCCATCATTTCCCGACGGAGTCCGTTCTCGTCTTCTACATATAGCTGAAGCCATTGGAATTCGTACATATAACCCCAATTTATGTGTACAGAAGAAATACGTGACCCCCTCATCCCTTCCATGGCCGGTTATAACTTAACTAACAATTTTTTAAATTTTATTATTATCATTATTTATTTTATTGTATTTGTGTTATCGTTAACCTTATTTCCACATCCATTATTTGTTTGTAATTTCCCGCCTCTTCGTATTCTTCACTATCTAATTATTTACACACCTTATTACGTAATGATTTTAAAGTTTTGTGATTACTATTCCTAGTCTATTTACCCATGTTTGACCTTCTATTGCCAACGTTTAACTATTGATAAGAGTTTTGTTATTGTATTTTATTATTCTTACTATTATCAGTTCATTTGTCTTCCTACTATAAACTTGTACTTTTACCTATTATGTGTAGAGACTTATTCTATTTCTTTGTTGTCATTGACCCATATTGCCTTGATTGGTTTAAAATTTTCGTGTAAATATTCATGTATATTAGAGTAAAGCCTGATGACGATGTAATTGAAAACAACTGTTCGCTTAGATGTGTTGTTCTAATTTTCACAATAGGAATTATTTCACACAAACCTTGAGAAAGACACAAGACGGAAAATTAGACTGTATTGATATATCATACTCTGTGTGAATAGTCAAGTCTTGGTATTTAAAAAATGTTTGAGTGTATTTGGAAAATATAATCCATACAAAACAAAAAGCGGTAAATCTAGTCATTATTGAGCATGGGAATCCTGAGCACAATCCAACTGCCTAACTAAAAGGACCCCAATATCAAAGTACCAGATGACGATTTGAGATGACCAGAAGAACCTAGATAACAGCACCGACCTCCCTCTCAGTCTACAGGATAAAAATGACGGGATGCTCTCAAATGAGTTGAACAGGATGTTCAAATTTCCCAAAGTCAAGCCACTGACAGTTGCTTGGCTTACTCGGTGGGAGAATTCCAAGAACTAAGATCATCCAAGACTCCTTTGAGTGACGCTCACCAACCCTGTTGACGTAGATGATGTTCTGACGGCCAATTGCCTTCTGAAATCAGAAGGGGACTTAAAAACAATGCCTGACATATCATATTTTGAGCGCAATCTCATCTGGAACACCCCTGAAGAATCTCGCGAGACTTTCGTTCGCGGAAGAAATATCACTGTGCAAGGTGTCCCAGAAAATACAGATTATGATATTATAGAGTGGAAATTCATAAAGAAGTTCTTTAAGCTCAAAATCATACTGATTGAACAAGTGGTGCGATTAGACAAGAAGAAGGCACATTCTGGGCACCGGCTAGTAAAAATAACCTTCACATCCTTTCACTTGGCAGCAGACACTCTCGAAGTATTTCGTGCCAACAGATATCGGTTACCAACTGGAATCCATATGCACCCGGACAGGCCAAACGATGCAAGGGTCAAGCGTAAAAGCGAATTGTAACTAACCATTCCACTTGTGAACTGTCAAAATCAAGAAAATGTAGAAGGGTAGGGTTAACCAACCTGGAAAACGCATTGTAGGTCGGTTGCCTGGTCTTTCACAAAAGGACAAACAGGACTAAAAAGTCCACTCGTTTTAAATGGGAGGCACTAGTCAATGCACAAATGCAGTTAGAGAGGACGGGCTTTATTATCAGATTAAGCTAACTGATAAACTCGTATCCAATCCGAAAAGCCTATTCCGTTATTCAACCTCTCTTAGACAAGCCAAAACCAAATTTTCTCAGTCTTTAGGTCTCACTGGCCCAAACAACGATGGTGACGTCAATGAGCTTCTGGAATAACAGTATTTTCAGAAGTTTCAACTGCCCCATAACAACGGCAATGAATCTAGCTTCACCTTCAACTGAACAGGACTCCCAGAAGTGAACCTGAGCACCGAATTGGTGTACCGGAAACTGCAGCACCCAGTGTGATTTTTTCTCACTCGCTAAGCTGGGGCACGCTATCAGAAAATCAGAAGCTGTCTTACGTTGCACCGATTTTCAATGGGGGTTTATCGAGCGAACCTTATAGCCACCATCCAATAGCACTTCTCACGATACCCTCAAAAATCATAAAGGCCCTGATATGCGACTGTTTACGTGACTACTTACTATTCATCTAACTCCTTTTCACCCCAACATCATAGTTTTAGGAGAAGCAACTTGCTGATGGCGTTGGACAAATTGACAACCATCCCTAATAGGGTCAGTAAGATCAAGTGAACAGACACGAAGCCACCATTATTTGATCGGCTTACTTCGTTTCTAGATAAATGAATTTTTGAGGTCAGGGTAAAATTCACTTTTTATAAGGCTATAGCGTGTCCTAGTAGGGGAAACTTGACATATTCTTGAGGATTAAATACAGTATCTGACTGTAATTTACTAATTCTTTTTTCCCATCTAATACAACTAGGTTGTTACTTGTAAACATCAGTGATCTACTACTACTAGATGCGGAAGTCCGTTAAGCGAAAGCTTCTTATATTCCGTCAAGAACTATTTGAACTTGTAGATCGCTAACGTAGATGATCCGTGTTGTGTAACTGGGGGCTTACTTGAGTTAGACGGGAAGTGTGTGACTAACAAGACAACGTTCAAGTCACACACACGTGGACTACCCTTTCTTTGTATCCAGGTACTATGGCTCTTTTGATGAATGTACAATGCAAATGACGTTGTTACAAAAACATACGAGTAAGAGTAGGTAAAAGGAACAGAGTGCGGCAAATGCTGCATGAGCCAGTCCATGGCGTGCAATCAGCTGATGTATTTTGGTTGTCCTTGACCCTGACTAAGATCGGTTAGCTGCTCGACATTCAGGGACCCGACTGCCGGATGATCTGGCGAGAGTTCAGTGACATTTCACTGGCCCAACAAACTATTTTGAGCGTACCATTACGTTAGCTATTGAAGCCTGCCCGTATTATTTAAATCAAATTTTTTTAGGTATATGTTTACCTAAAAAATGATATTTTCCATAACTTTTTTTGTATTTATTTGATCTGTCGCATTTTGGTAAACGGAGTATCTGAAGTGTAAAACAGACCAATGCAACGTAAGGCGCTAAAATACAGTTATATATTTTTGTCAGTGAATGTTGATTTCTGTTCAACAGATGATGAAAAAGGTGGGTCTTTCTACATATTAGTCACTAATTGTAAAAGTTCAGTGAAAATTCAGTTGGAAACGAAGTATGGCATATCCAGGTTTCTGGTCATTTCTGTTTTCTTTGTTAGACAGTAAGAATATTCAAACATTGTTTGAAGATTTCGTCATGATTTAGCAGTGTCGATTCAAAATACTAGATTTACTGTACAACATGATCCTTCCACTACTACAATTTCTTCGGAAATCACTAATATTAGTCAAAAACCGCGTAACAGATATGAGATTCTCCTCTTAACTGAATGTGTCGCCATACAGTCCATTATAAATATCACGGTGGAAGATGAGGTTTGTTAACAAAGAATTTTTTGTCTGAAAACTGAACAAGTCATAATGTATATGTATCTTATCAAAAATATAGTTTTCGGTGCAACTTTTTCTACTTAATATTACCCTTAACTTAGTAACCAACGATTTGACAACTTAACTGGAATAACGTTTTTATGGGGCTGATTGTTTGGTATTGATTACATATTGATAACATAATGCATAATGCAGTATGCAACCAACACTTCAGTCGATTTTAAAACATCTTACCATAATCATGTCACTTTATTTAAAACAAACCGGTAACTCAACGAGTTCAGATCATGTTAGAAGTAAGGATTTGTAGATAAAGTAGAGCTTAGTGTATAGATCCTCACCCTTTTTTAACTCTACGTAGATAAATGCAGACAAATTAGTCACTTGTCAGTCCAAAATATTTTACTCCGAAGTCGTGATAGTAGTGATGTACCACATATATATCTTTAGAGTTGATTAACATCTTGTAATTAGCATAGGTGATTTGAATCGCTGAAAAATTCCTATCATATTAAAACAATTATATTAGCGAAAAATACCCTTTTCAATAATTTATCAGGTTCTACAATTATATATCCAAATTAATAATGCATTAAATCGGCTAGGCTTATGGCGAAATACCTCACTTACAAAATGTAACATGAATTAAGGGTTGTTTGTCATATGAAATAAAACCAAATGGTTAATGTTGGGGTGACTAATACGAAGTGTTAACTTAGATAAGCTCATATGTTAAATGGAGTTGCGAGATAAATGACCATATTTATTCTGATCAGGATCTCCAATTATTTGTCTTCGGCTCTCCTTTCTAGGTTCTGCCAAGTACTATTTTGTGGTCTTAACGTCCGCCTCCAATGTTCAAAGCCATACATTCCTCTGTCCTCTCTTCCTTTTCCCTTGAAAATTCGAAATGCAGTTTGAGTATTTGAATCTGGTATATCCTGTCCACCTTCAGAGCCTGTTCCTCAGCTGGGAGATGCTTTGTTCTCTGCTATATTCTATTACTGTCGGTGGTCTCCGGCCAATACACCTAGAATACTTTGAATAAGCAGCATTTTATTAGATACCTGAACGCTTTTGATAATGTCTGTGGTAGTTTGCCTGCTTATATTAATAAAGGTTTCCATCCCCTTCAGAGCTTTATCATTAAGTGTATTTTTGTTGATGCTAATGTAGCAGAACTTCGAAATCTTACTTTCCCTCTTGTAAATGTTGAGGAAACTTCTGCAGAGGCTTTTACTTAGCTGGCTATCTTTACCTGCATTCGTTGTTGTGTATGGGATAGAAGAGCTAGATCGTCTGCGAAGTCCAAATTCTTTAGCTGTACCAAAGTGCACGCTGTAGTCCATAATTTTCTTGAGATGTAAATGTCTTTATAATCCAATTAGCATCAGAAAAAAAGACGAGAGTAGACAGGTTTGTCTTACACCAGTATTCTGGAATGCATCTGTGGGCTTCCTTTCATGTACGATATTTCGATCCAGTGTCTCGTGGAAGTTCCGTATGATGGTGACGATTTTCTCAGATAACCCAGTGTCAAAGAAGATTCTATAAGGTTCTGTCCAAACTGTTGAATGTTTTCTCATTACAAAGGAGTATATGGATAAATTCCACTCAATCGATTGCTCAACGATGAACCATGGTGTCGCAATTTGATCTGTACAGGATCGATCCTTACAAAAGCCAACTTGTGGATCTCAAAGTCTGGAGTGTAATCAATCTTTCATTTGGTTCATCACTCGGTTGAAAAGTTTTCCTTGTACTGATAGGTATATGACACCTCCGCAGTTCTCACATGTACTAGGATCTCCTTTATTCGGTATCTTTCTAGTCTATGAGTATTTGCTCCTCATCCCAAATCTTTCTGAAGAGAACTGTGCATCTTTGCAGGTACCACTATATTTGACTTCAGTGCTTCAGCTAACATGCTCTCTGGTCCCATCGCTTTCTCACTCTTGACCACACTGATCTCTTTTGGGGTTACATCTTTAGGGAGGTCTGTATGCATTGCTTTGATGTTCGATGGAGCTGGTCTGTTTAAGAGCTATTCAAATTACTCTATCCATTTGTTTCACTGCTCTTGAACCTCAGTGGCTTGGCTATTTTCTTTGTTCTTAAATGGTCTCTTTGGTCTACTACATTTTCGTGTTAGCTTTTTAGTTGTATCATATAGTTTTTCTATGCTTTTTTATCTCATCCCTTTTTCTATCATAGTCTTTATCATCTTTGCTGCCATCATTGGTAGGCATGAAGCACTGTATGACATTTATTGTGATCCATTCCTCCTTTATCTCTAAGAATTATTTAGTGATCTTGTACCCGTGTGTTTCCCATTTTTAAAGCGTCTTTGGTGCTTTATTGGGTTTCATTAGTGTAGCTCCTGATATGTGGATTTTCCCCTTCATGATCAGAATACAACATTTTTCCTATAGTTCGTCTTTTATGTCTAGATTGTGTCGAAGGTGCTTAGCTCACTTCAAGCGCAGCTAGCTTGAATCTACTTATTTATTATGCTATCCATCCGTGTCTCCCATACGGTCCGGACATTCCATTTATCGCTATTAATTGTCGTTCGGTTTGCCAGAAGCGATAAGGTTGTTAACCATGCACTCAGTTCTCTTCCTTTACTCAGGCTAAATTTATGACAGTCTAATTCCAAGCTGACTTTTTCTGTGAAATTATCAATCTCCCACTTTTCCCCTATTATCATAGCAAATTAGTTTTATACCACATTTTCTGGTTACTGAAGTTTGCGAAACAATTAGAATGAAAGCTTGAAAGAGAAGGTATTAGATTTTCATTTCTTTAAAACTACCTCATATATTACTACAAAATCACAATTTTACCGAGTGATATTTGCTTAAGTACCACTTACACTACATATTCAAAAGTTTAAAGTAACATAAGTGTTTTGAGTGTTCATTCTTATTAAAATAGCTCCTCCTTAAAACTTTAAGCACCAAATTAATTGTTTTGTCACTCATTTTAGATTTATTGTAATTCATCTCAAAAGTAAATAACGAAAATAAAGTTGTTTTTATTGCTTTATAAAAGATAAAAATACGGATAAATTATTTTCAGGATGAATTTCACAGAACATTGAATTCTTTATACCATTGTCTTTTTCCATATGTTTTGTATTACAGAGAATATCTATATCTCTGTGAAGTGCCTTTACAAAAACTATTTTTATAGTGATGTAAGAATTCAATTTTTATACTAGGATTACTAAAGTCTCAGAGGATTTATTCATTGGGACTTCAAACCTCCAAATAATAAGTCATAGTGAACCATGTAACTCTCGCAAAATAAGCATAAGCAATTAGCACATCACAAAATGTGAAGACATACACCTACAGAAATATATAAATATATCATCTTGAGTGTTGTAGCATATCTTAACTTATTTATTATTTATTTGGACACATGAATATTGGTACAGGGGAGCGCCAATATATATGCGCCACATATTTAATTCGATTCGAAATAGATTGGATTATCCCGTTGTTGATATGGTTACTGAAATATGATCAGTCTTGTTTGGGATATGTGCGTCCTGTGCGAATTGCTTCGATATAGCCATTGTAACAAGAAATTAAATTTCAGTCGAAATATCAACAACGAGGTAGTCCGATCCAATTCGAATTGGATTTAAACTCGTAACCGTTGCACAAGTGAGTAACTATCCTAACTCGGTGGTTAGGTGGATAACACAATGGTGTTTAAAGTGAATAGTGCTGGGTCCGGACTCTGGAGTGTGCATCATCTTCGGGATCCATGTACATCCAGATGATGAGTCCCAAATAGGACAAGACGCGCGTCCTGGATATGATTGCTAGCCTCATCCCATCCATTTTTATAGTATTCACGTTCAAGCTTTATCGTTTCTGTATCGTAATGTGAATGTTGTTCACTGAATGGATCAGCCTAAAAAAATAACGAAATGTAATTTAATTGAGCCGTCCTTTATTTTTCTTTCATTTTATGAAGGAAAATAACATAAGTTCAACTATGTATCTCAATAGAACCTTGCAAAATAAGATCATTGTGAATGGCACATGTGAACAAAAAAGACAGGATTTGACAGTTTCATGGTCGCCAAATGTCGATTTCTTAGACTGGAAACTTATATTTGTGTTTGGAGAGGATTCTGAAAGATATGATCTGGAAAGCATAGGTATTACTTATACAGTTGATAAAGGTAATTAACACTTTGAAAAGATTAAAGCCACTTTAAATAACTTTAGTTGTGTTTTTTTCTCTTCCCTTAAAGATAAATTCAATCAAACATTACATTAAAAAAATATATTTAAACTTTGGAATGCCAATAATAATATAAGTGTTGTAGCTATTGAACGAATAAGTGTTTATCTTATTTGCTAAAGATGATTACGTAGGCAATGTGTTGAACTCGAAATAATGTGTATCTAGTTACTAACTATTTAATTCTAATTTTTTCATTAATACTAATCTACATACTTCATGTTTTGTTAGTTTATCATGCTAACATCGCCCCTATTAGAAATAGAATGAGGTTAATCATTTCAAATGCAATTTTATTATACAGGCAATGAAATTGATGCTAATACAGATAGAGGTTTGTTCACGATTCCTGTCGGTGGATACTATGAATGTGCCAATCATTTACATAGAGAACTATTCGTGGACGATAATGATAATATAAAAATCAATATTTATTTCTTAAACTCATCAATGGAAGCATTCAGACTTGAAAATCGTTCAGAATTTATGGGTCTTGGTGAGTGTACAAATATAAAGCTGTTGTAATAGACCATTTAACTATTAGGTAAAATCTTCCGAAGCTATTTTTCTACAATTATATTGGCCGCATGTTTATTAAGTATTTTGGTTGTATCATTTTCGTATTACCCTTGTTCCAAGCTTTTATTTCAACAATAGAATGGTGCTATAGTCTTCAAAACGTTGCTTAGAATCGATTATCTGTGTACACGGTACTCCATTTTTCCCATCATTAAGGTTGTTGTTCCGTGATCTGGTTTTGTATGCATATAAATGAATGTCTGAAATATTATGGCGATCTTGTACTGGTGATCACCGCTTCTGTGTTCTTCCTCTTCGTTCGCGGCCAGTTAGTATTGAACCAATCGTCAAGCATAGAGTATCAGTCTCCCTCGTCCTTGCTGCGTATTGGTTGCTTAAGATCGTCTACGCTTATTGGTCCGTTGTAAGACTTAACAAAAGCATCTGAAAATGTACCACTAAATGACTTTTCTTTTAAAAACTAGGTTTTTTCCTTAAGCAAATAAATATTTTTCTTACCAAAGTTTATTTTTTTTATAAATAACATGTGTTCGTTTCACAGACACTAACATCTAATTAAAGTCATATTAAACGTGCCAGAGTTGTTCTTTAATGTTGGGATAGTAGCATAGTTGTCGTAAATCTTACTGGGAATTCTGTGGTTACACAGGTGTACAGCTAGATAATAAGTTCAATATTTTGATATAATGACATTCATTTGTTTAATAAAAACATTTTTATCATGACGTAGGATATACAAACCTCGGAAACTTAGTTTCCCATAAATTGGTGCATAAGAAATGTATTATTATTTTATCGCTATAAATGTTACCTAATATTTATAAAAAGTTCGGTTTTCTTCATTATTCATTTAGTTTATCAAAGAGAACAGAAAGTTCTCGTCGAAATCATGAAGAAATAAACTAAATGAAAACGGTTCTCGGAAATGCAAAGTGAAGCAAAAAAATAACAGAAAGTCTACACTGATTTTAATTCTGATCATTAATGTATCAAACTGATTTTCACATTCCTCCAAGTTCTATATCACATACATATGCGGTCTTATTAAGTATGTTTCCACTAGTCCCAACCCCGACTGTTGTTGCTACCTTGACGTGGTGGTCGGGCTTGCCTATCGTGATGAAGCAACCGAGCTATACTGGCTGGAACAACCGTTCCTCAAGGTCCTACCATGTCAGACAGGTCGGTTGAAGAGTGGTAAGACTAAAAGCAACAAACTCAAGGGCCGAAGGCGAAGTTGTACTGCTGACTGTACAGAGGTGTGACAGCAGTAAGGTGTTTCTTTCAGACAACCAGCATGACAGCGATGCTGCCTGGTCCTACGTTGTAGCTGACTGACTAGTTCCAACTAGATCTGTTATGAAGTCGGACTGTATTGTTAGTCGTACTAATTTTCCATTTAATATAGATCACTATTTAGAAATTCGATAATTTAACAATCTGATTTTCTTAGGTACGAACTGGAAAAAATCCCGAATAAAATGCTCGGTATGTTTTACGACATTATCTATTATTGAACCATCATATTAGAAATAATGTAAGCTATGATATATAGAATGTTTCTGCGTAACAATAGAGATAATCTATCTTAAATAGAAAATTCTGGTGGTGCTATCTATGTTCGCTGAGTTGAATGGTTTAACTGTACAGCTTTCAGTCTCAATAACATCTTCAACGTTCAAATAAACTTGAATTAACCCCCAGTGATTTTGTCCAGAAAGATAATGGAACCTTTACAATTAAATGATCGACGCTCATAGGACACGATATCACCAAATTATTTCGAAATAATTATTTATAGATTGTCTAATTTCTAATATTTTTACACATTTTTAGCCATAGACTGTCCATTGAGTATCATATGGTTAAAGAAGGTTCCAACAATTGTATGTACCACCCTACTTCTGATAGGTCTTGCTATTCTTTTAATATATTTGTGCAGTCGTCTTAGCAAACGATCAGCATATGAGACAATTAGATAATTATATATATCTTATAATATATTTCAATGAAATGCTTTTACACAAATCATGAATGGTTCTAGTTTGAGATTTGTTTATTATTTTCTGTATCTCGTTCTTGATATTTTTGTATAATCAAGTGTAATTAATTATCATCTTTTCCTTACATTTATTAAACAGATTATTTCTTTATTACTTTATGAAAAAATAGCATATATATTGTAATAATGTACCTATACACCGATGATAAAAAATTTGGGAACTTATCTATTTTTTTGTTTTTTTTATGATAATACCTATTGTTCGTAATGGAAAATCTTACTTGTAATGACATTTAGAAAAAAATTATTACAAATGATGCCAATATTATTATTGGTACTAATTTTGTTTTCTTTCGTTATTTTTCCCATTAGATAGTTTATTGTAAGCTATTACTCAATTTTCTAAACATTCTTTTTCCTTACTGTTACTTCTATAACATACAAATATATAACCATTTATTTATTTATTATTTATTTAAACACATGAACATTGGTACGAGGAGGCACCAAATATATATATGCCACACTTCGTCATTCGATTTGTGTGAGAGCTGGAACACTTCCCGGAAGCCCAGACCGAAGCAGGTGGTTTCCTTAGGAGTCACTCCCCGAACCTTTGACCTAGAGGTCTAATCCGCAAAGTAGTGGAGCAACATTAGGACATGCAGTCCCACGGTAGGCATTGCTCAACGATAGGTTGATATGCCACTTTTTCCCTTAGGATCCTGGAGCCCATTGATTGGGAATCAGGGTTTTCCAACTCGCCTTTGTCGATCCTCTATATCCACCAACCCCGTTAAAGCGCCAGGTATTCGTTTTTCGTCCTCTCAATTTCGTAAACAGTACTTCCATCGTGAAACGGCAGTGATCAGAGCCTCCCTTACATAGGCTGTATACGCGTGGCCATGTGAGAGCATTTCAAGAGGGAGAGCTGACTCTCTGCCGAGCCAAGGTATGCCCATAAATATAGTGTTTCAAAGAGCTCAAAACAGTAAAATGCAATTGGAATGATTGTCAAGAAAATGTAGATTCATTATTTGCTTTGATTTCAGCCATCTAGGATTTTACACGGAGCAAATTGTTATGAATGAAATGGTGAAACTAAAAATGAGCTGGTAATCAGACGAAAGCAGAATACTGAAATGTTAACCACCATGTAAAGTAGGGCTGGGATAAAGATTGAATGACTGAAAAACTCAATGGTTCGTTTGATTCTTACTCAAAAGCGCGCAATCGAAAATGTAAGGTTTCTTATAATTGAATACATTTTCAACTTAACATTCTGTATTACATCATCGCATGAAGCAATATATTTAATAGTATTGATGACAAATAAGTTATATCCCTTCCATTTAACTCTCATTACTAATACATTTTTCTGTGAAATATATGGCTTAGAAAATCACATTAAAATTTAGACTTAAAGTTGTAGCTGTAATAAATCTTCTATATAACAAGGAAAATAAGGACCATCAAACATTCAACGATGTCATACTGTGGGATTTGTTTTATTTTTACCGTATATTCTAAAAAATCAAGGCAACATTTTGGCGACTAAATTATATTAACCACCCATCTATCCAGAAAAGTTTCTAATCACATTTCGTTTCAATTCATTAGCTACTGTCAATAATTGTTTACCATTCAGAGTAGCAGTGATATTGCTATAATGGGCTTTTTGAAGTTAAGATTGTGCGTATCGTCTTAAACAGTACATACTTTAGTTCGCGGTCATAAAGCTTTTACGTAACAACGACCTTAAAAACACCGAGTTCCATCGTCAATCTAGGGACTTACGTTACAACATTTATTAGAAGGTCACTTGAGGTTTATTATATACAGTTTTATTCGGCACAAGTATATCACCGCTAATTTTCACTTCCGGTAATGAGTAAAGGTTGGTTTCGACTTTAGTCTTAAACATATATTTTGACAACTTTTATTACTAAAAGTGGTTATGCGAATGAAAATTTCTTTCATCTGACTGGAAAAATAAACTCGACGCATAAAGGCAATGTCACTAATATCCGTTTGCTTCTAAATACGTGTTAATAATGGTAATCAGGCGATCATGCATGTACCAAATCTGTCCTTTGAGTACCAATAAATAATTGGGAAAAATTACCTTGTAACTCGTTTGGAAAATCCTGTTTTGAAAACTATTTTAGAACCAGAAAACTCGATTCGCAATCTTATGCTGCTTAATACGACTAGAACAAAACTGTCTACTGCAAACACACTTGGAAACTAAACCATGCTTCAACTTCTTACCGTATATAAAATAACTTGAACGTACAAAAATATAGTGGTAGTGTTCACCACTTAACGATTTATTGTAATCAAAATTCAGTCAAGTGAATAGTACGTTAAGGAAACTGGTCCGCTAACGAGAGTGAGTATCCTTAACTTATATCAGTAAGTGAAAGAATCCATCATAAAATGTCAAAATTATTATTGTATTATATAAGATAAAAATGAACTATTGATGCCTAAACTGAGAAACGAGCCAATGTCTTTTTGTTGTACATCTCTATTCGGACGTATTTCTTTAATCAACTGGTTACATAAAAGCCTAACGCAAGCTACAAATAAAAACACAAACTGCCATATTGTAACACCTGAGATATATTTTATCTAATGTTCATGTCAAACAAGATAATTACAGTATTTCTACCACCATGTGAACAATAATCTGAGGCATTTGGCAGTAGAAATCTATACGACCGAACTACTTAGATTCATGATTGTAGTTGTAGGAGTTTAAGGTGAAATTCAAAACTCAATAATGGATAGATGTAACTTGTTAAGAACTAGATAAGGACTCATCAAAATTTCCACAACTTAGATGAAAATTGATAAATATGATACGATTAACGCAAAAGAATGAACTTGAGCGATCTCTAGAACAACGATGGGGAAATAATTTTTTGAGGAAGAATTCTAGAAAACAAATAGACTTAAAGTACAAAACATATTGACAGGATTGTCGCGGTTATCTGTTACTTTTGAGTTTGTACCATACTCGATCGATTTCTGTATTTTGATTAGATGAGCTTTCGACTAGTAAAATCGATGAATAGAATGCTAATCGATAGGTCGGCGCAATAATATGTCGTGTCCGAGCCATGATCACTCATGAGGTCGTATAATTGAATTAAGCCTTAAATGATTAGACAACCGACAAGATCAATGGCCAGGTGAATGGTTTTTCATGTTACAAAAGCATGTTTGTATACAAAGTATGGATACACAATAAACATGGTAAAATTCCTTAGGCGATTGGAATAAATTGGCTTGTAGGCCGCTCATTCCTTAAACAATTAGAACCTGTCAGGTCTAGTCTTTGAACATTGTATCACAATCAGGTTTGAGATATTATATCCTATATTTTTGCGTGAAATCCATACTTTCATCATAAATAATGTTAGTTAGCGATAAAAACCCTTAACTCTTACCTTATAGTATTTTTATTTAATATTATAAAGAATTTACACAAAAATGATCCATCAATCATGTCAAAACTCTATATTCTTGTCATTTTATCACTATTTTATTATAAATTACTTCAGAATTGAACACTTCCTCATTGGCTGAGAATCGGTTCAAGGTTGGTCGTATAGTTTACTTCCAGTCAGTATGCAATATAAAGCTTTAAAAAGTGTCTGTTCAACCCATATTTACAACTAACATAAAACTGAAAGCTTTAATGACTGACAATTTACTAATATAAATTATGCTTCGAATTATATTCAAACTGTATGTCAGATAAGTGCCCTATTTAAATTCCATTCCAAACTCTAATATTACTATCAGCGAAAAAATTTTGAATTTCGTTACTGCTTTCTTGTGGAGTCAGTCAGTCAGTCAGCTACAACGTAGGACCAGGCACATATGTGCATCGGTCCAGGTTGCCATACCTCATTAGCACAACAAGATGAACACCGGATTCATAGCAGTGGTTAGGTCAAAGGTTGCAATAAGGATATAGTATAGGAAGGAAGAATTAGTTCGTAGAAAGAAAGATATGAAGTGATTTTAATCTCTTAGTTTAAGGGAAGACAAAGAGTGTATACACCGACGCCATTGTGATCGATTCTGAGCCATGTCACCAAGAGTCTACAACCATTGGTTACGAAAGTCACGCGGACCCCATCCAAGTAGTCTGCATCTACCAACATGGCCAAGACTAGAAGTTAGTGACTTCAAGCACTGATGCCACGTTTTGGTTTGGCCGCCCCTAACTTTCTTCCAACCATCCCGAACACCGGTTAGCATTGCACGTCGTGGTAATCGGTGTTCAGGCATACGTAATACGTGGCCCAACCATCTCAGTCGATGAAGATTCACAACCTCATCAACTGATTTACCATCATTCCCTAATACCCTGCGTTTAACCTCACTATTACTTACCCGGTGTGGAGTAAATGAAACAGTTGAATGAAAATTCTTATTCATTAATGGGTTTCACCGGATTATCATAAATGATAACCATAATCATATAACATTAATTCTACAACATCCAACCATCGTAAAACAGAAAAGAGAAGAATAAAACTGATACATGCCAAAAAAAATTTATATTTCATAAGGAATAAAATTCATTATAAGGATAAACTCCATTAGGAATTTCGCTTTCATCAACTTAAAATACAAATAAAATTACTTACGTCTGTTAGTCCTCGTGGAGGAGCATAGAATGTCCATCAGCACTCTTCATCCAACCCTCCCATGAGTAATTCTTTTCAGTTATTTCCAGTTGTTACTCATCATTTTCATATATGCTTATGTTCCCTGATGTAATGTGTCCTCTGACCTTCCTCTTTTCCCATTCCCTTCACGATTCCAAGTTAGAGATTGCTTCGTGATGCAGTTGGGTGATTTCCGTAATATATGTCCCATCCAATTCCAAAGTATTTTTCTAATTTCCTCTTCAGCTGGAAGCTGGTTTATTCTCTCCCGCACAATTTTAATAGTTAAAATCATAATTCAATTGAAGCTAGACCACCATGGATGACCTGGAAGCACTGAACGGCCGTTTCGTCCCACTGTGGGACTTCGAGCAGTACGCATCCAAGACCCCGCCTCGCGGGATTCGAACCCAGGACCTATCAGTCTCGCGCATGAGGCTATGCTCACTAGTGATTGGCTTCAAGAGTTATTTCCTGGAATTCTAATGAGAAGCAGTGACCAATGGAGTTCGACCGGGTCTGTTGTGGGATAGTAACTCACTGATGACAACGGTATATGTGTCGCTCAATTCTGTGGACTAGTTGATGTTAGACATTAACACCGTTCGATGCCGGCCCAGTGGTCTAGTAGTTAAGTGCTAGCGCGCGAAACCAGTAGGTCCCGGGTCCGAATCCCGCGAGGCGGGATCGTGGATGCGTACTGCTGGGGAGTCCCGCAATGGGACGAAACGGCCGTACAACGCTTCCAGGTCTTCCATAGTAGTCGGGCTTCAATTGAATCATGATTTCAATTATTGAGATTTAAGTAATTGTGTCTCAGCTGAGTAATCGGAAGACTAAGTGTGATCTAAAGTGTTTGGGTTTGATCCCTGGTAAGTTAGAGGTTGTAAACTTCTGAGAAGTCCCATACTGTAACGGAATACTTACTTAATTCATCCTATTCTCTACTGATGACTTAACTAAAGTCAGTCAGTTACACAAACTACAAAAAACGATCTCCACAAACCATTTGTACTAATATCTACCTTGTTGCATTTTGCGTTTATTCTCGTGTATTGTAAGCAGTCTACATAATATATGTCCGTAATAGTGTAAAATCACAAAATAATAGTTTGAATGCTATCAGTTCTCGTAATTTCGATGTCTTAGTGGATAGAAAATAGAGCATGTCATACATTAAATGAACCGAGTATGTCTTTCGTAGTCTGTGGGTTAGAATATACTTGTAGTTGATTTAATGCTTTAGAATAATGTCAAACTTAGTTTATCTAGAGAATAAAAAACCGTAGGCCTAACTATCCAGGTAGTCTGCTCCAAATGACAGTAGAATTATGTGAGAAATTGTTATTTATACTGGTCTAACATTGTTGTCTCTGAACAAGTTGTCTTTGACTGAAGTAAGGCATTTTCATAAAATCCACTGTTGGATTTGAAGAAGGTAACAATTAAGGTAATAACTTAGAGTAAAATATAAAGTTCGATGTAGTCAGCTATGTTTCAAAGGATTCGAACTATAATTCATCTCAAGCTGTCTATCAAAAATATCTGTTATGCTTACAATATACGTAAAATCACTTATCTTAAATAAAAATAAACTTCCAGTTCACTTTACCTGTGGTGTATGCTACTTATGTCGACAGACATAGAAAGTATACAACATCAATCAGAAGTGAAATGCATGGCAGCAGAAAACTAAGTAGATCGAATTGAAAACAGAAAGAAAAATAGGGAGGAATCGTGAATTGGAAGAATCATACAGAATATAAAAACAGTTGATGAAATATTTGAAAATGAAGTATTTTATGTATAGCTCTCATATTTTACCAAGCTACTCTGTAATTTTGTATTAAAATACAATTGGTTATCTCAACCTGTGTTTTCATTCACAAAATACCAACAGTATATTGACTTACTGCCTCATAATTAAGGAATGTTACAAAATGTACACTTATCAGTTATGTGATATATAGTAGTTGATCGATAATATTTTTGGTCAGTTCGTGAGAACTACTTAGGAAGGATGAAACTGTACAAATGACTTATAGATTAGTATTACATGTGATAGACACTATTTGTAGAATTGATTGTTAATAAGTAATATTCAGTAACTTATTATAGTTTATTGTGAAGTTAGAACGAATGGATACTAAAAAATGTAGTTAACTGTCTTGTGGAATTTTCTTCTTATTTCAAGAAATGTCTCCATTATCACCTTTTAGAATTAGTACTGTGACGAAAGTCATGTACTTTAGTAGTCTTTTTATTTCAATCACAAAATCTATGTTTACTTAAGTTACGAAATCCGTCTTCATTAAACGTCTGTTTTAAAAGGAAATACTGAATTTCTTCAATGCGTACTCCTCGTTCCAAAAAATAGTAAATTTCCTAAACACTGATGACATTAGTATTGCAAATCGTGAATTATTCACTGACACCCGCATTATATATATAATACATAATTACCATACAACTATAAATACTGATGTACAGCTTAAGTCAATGATTTCGTTATAAAGAAAATTTTCTTTGCTGAATTGTTTATTTATAAATTATGAACAATTCTTAATTCATATAGCTTAACTTTAAATGATGTATACTTACATTAAACATGCCCACTTTTTGTATAATTAATTTGGATATATAATTGTTGAACCTGAAGAGAATCGATGGACAAGAGTATTCTTAGTTCATATATCCATGTTTTAATTAGAAACACTACTCTACTCATAACTATACAATAGCAGAATAATTTATTTCATAGGCTTTAACGTTTTAGACTACTCTGTTCATAAGCTTTTTAGGCAAAGATGAGTAGTGGCTAGCAGTGGAATCCAGGACGCGCGTTTTATCCTATTTGGGACTCGTCAGGACCCGGTAGCGATGGCGTTTGAAGCGAATGGTACTGGGTTCAAGTCCTGGGGTGAACACCAACTCTGGAACGCAGGTGCATCCAGCTGACGAGTCCCAAATAGGACGAAACGAGCATCCTGGATTCCACTGTTAGCCACTATTCATATTTGTTTAAAAAGCTTGTGACTTAAAGCTATATCGAGGCATCCGTACAGGATGCACATATGCCAACACGAGACTGATCAATCTCAGTGCTAAATAACAATGGGAAGATACAAGTAAAACAATACCATGTGAATTTACTCTGTTCATAGGTAATTACAATAACAACTTAAAGTATCCATACACATTTCATAATTATCCAATCATTCAGAGAATGACGGATTGAAGAAAAACTAAATAATTTACATATTATCATGAGTTTCTTTATTTATTGTCATTGAATGAGTTAAAATACTAGTGTATCTACTTGTCGATTAAGTAATGAGTATCACCATTTCAAACTGACAAGTTTGTATAACCGATATTCTTGAAAAAAAACAAAAAAAAACAACACCAACCCATAATTTTTATTCTTATATCCACTTAACAATAGTTACTAATTTGAAAATGAATCCCCTATGAAGATATTGTGTCTTGCATGTTGAAAAGATCATAAACTAATCAAGAACTCATGTTTATGAAATTCCAATTAACTTTTTCACAGGTATCTATGTAATATTAAATTACTTTTGTGCAACAACAAAAAAAAATCTTTTCAAAAATGTATCTGCTATGATGTAGGTATACAAGAATTTACATTTGCACAAAATTGTTTCTTTATGTTATTTATATAAAGTTTATGATTTTTTTTTAGAAAAAAAAGTATAAATGATCAAGGATGTATTTACAAACACTTTCGATACATAATTTAGACTAAACTGATCTTGTTTTATAGATGAGTCATTTTATAACACTTTATTTTATATGCGCAAAACTAAAGATCTCTTTGTTATATCTTAACGAAGATTAAAGTATGTGTAACTCCTGAGACCTATTTGTTAGATCTCGATAAGAATAATGAATGGTGATTTTTGAGATCCACTTATGGACCAATACTATGAGTATATTTTTATCGTGTAATTGTTATGTAATCATATTCATGTCCCTCTCATTATGAGTTTGTTTTGACCTATGAACTATTATTATACGTTTTACCATTCTTGAGTTATGGCCTGTCTATTAATTACTATATCCCTCATTCACAGCCACTTTTGGCCAAATATTCTACAAATGTTATTTTCTATTTTATGGTACGTTGTGGTCTGTTTGATTGGTAATATAAACCCCGTATGTTTGAAATAAAGGATTCACATCACAGAGGTTGAGATTAGTGTTCTGGACTCAACTGGCTGTGCTAGACAGGGAAACAGAACCAATCAGGACTCTGGGTCGCTCGCACGTGTTTTCTGCGTCACTGGTTCAACCGATAATTCGCTGCTCTCTAATTGGCGGTATCATTGCGTTATACAATAAACAGGGCACACAGATTTCACAAGATATAACACTCTTAATGGACCAATTTTGTCCTACATATTCTTGTGGTATGACTATTCAGTAATTAGATTATGTATATCTATATTCCCCCTATTATAAGCTTCATTTTGGCCAATAGATTGTTATTGTAAGATTTACTGTTTTTAAGTTTTGTTCAGTTTATTGATTACAGTCTCCCATGTTCACAGCCTCTTTTGGCTTTAATGTGTATAAATGTTACTTCCTATTTTATGGTGCGTTGCGGTCTGTTTGACTGATATATAAACCGGGTATGTCTGAAATAAATGATTCGTACAGCGGAAGCTGTTATTAGTGTTCTGAACTCAACTGGACGGGCTAGGCGAGCAATGGACCGATAAGCTGACCGGACCGGTTGGACGTCATCGGTTTAATACAGTACAAGTCGTATTTCGATTGGCACATAAATTACATGATAACAAGTCGGACTTAAAGTCACAAGACTCTCAACCATATAATGGTTTTCAGATTCATATGAATATCCTTTTTGTAAGAAACTCATCATCTGTCAACAAATTGTCTAAAAAAATTTTTAAAACGAAGCTATTCTTAACTCTATTGCAGAACAGATGAATTGTCAAGTGAACGAACACCTTTTAAGTAGGTTGACATCAAACGTCATTAACGAATTAAAGTGTAATTCATTTTTCATTTGATGGTACAATTTTCTTCTTTTTAATTCTATCTTCAAGTCAATTACTATTTAGTTTAGCTAAAAACATTTCATTCATTATAAGCCTTAAATGATATTTCACTCCCACTTCATGAAACTATCCGTAAATCTTACTGATCAACTTGAAATGAATGTTTAATATGAATTTTCAGAGTTTTTCCATATCCATTTTACAGAAATTATAATATATCCTATCCAACTAATCGTTTGTACATATGTAGTTTATAACCACAATAATGTGTAAAACACTAAATTGAAACACGAAACAAAATTTACAATCCAATATCACTAATAAACTGAAAAGCGCCCTTATTCTTTTTATAATTGACAAACTTTACATTGTCAAAGATGGATAGTGGCTAACAGTGGAATCCAGGACGAGCGTTTCGTCCTATTTGGAACTCGTCAGCTGGATGCACCTACATTTCAGAGTAGATGTTCACTCTGGGGTTTGAAATTAAGGCTATATCGAGGCAATACACATAATATGCATATATACCACTAAAAGACTGATTAATTACACTTCTAAATAACAATAGGAAGATTCAAACAAACAATACCAAGTGAAATGAACTATTCAATCTGTTATTCTGCATCATTATTTTGTATAAAAAAAACTGATCAAATAATTACATATTCGTACAAAACAAAATATGAACGAAATAGAAACAATGAATCAAAATAATAATATAAAATAATAGTAACAATAATAATAATAAATTAACAAGTTAAAACAATTAGTATCCACAATAGTAATTAAAATTAAGTCTTGTAAAAGGTAACTATCCATTTACAAAAAAAATAATCAATAATACACAAAACGGTAAATAGAAAAGTACACCATAAAAAGAAAAGACAAAAAAAAATACATTTTCACTGTCAAAATCAGCAATATTAAACTGTTGATATGTTTTGTTTTGTTTTGTTTTTCCTGTATACAACGACGTTACTAATCAATTTAGTTTTCAGCAGTTTATTCATAAGATAATATACAGTAAATAGAAAAGAAAACAAAAAGAAGAAATGCCAGATTTAAAAGTAATACAGAAAAACCATACAAGCAATAATTTAATCGAGATCTAACCAATATCTTGGTACCCAAGTTGGTTCACGTTCAAGTTTAATAGCTAAACGAATTAATTCTGTAACAGTTGAATCCAATGTTTCAGGAATAATTACTCTATCAAACCAATGACCAAAACGTAATTCCATTTTACGACTTGTTTCAATACATGCTTTCAATTCATCATTCTATGAATGAATCAAAATCAAAATGTAAAATAAAATATTGCTCATGTAAAATAACAATGAAAATAATAAATAAATTTGAGTTTTCTAAACGTTTAGTATCCAAATAACAATTACAGTATATAAACTAATTCTTAAACTATTGGTTCCTTGTCATTGTTGGTACTGACTAGTTGCCTTCATCAGTAGAACTTATTTCTTTTATTATTCCAAGAAAAAAAATACATATTGTACAGTGCCAAAATATAAAAAGGAAAAGAATATATATGTGATACAATCAAAATGATTAATAATCTGATCTGGGGTTGATATGAAAAACTACATATTTCAGTCTGTTTAGAAAATAAATTTACACTTGTATTTCAAACTCCCCTGGATAGTGAATCTGTGTTATGCAATAGGGTACAAATGAAAACTATCTCATGATCGAACTATTGAGAAATCGACTGGAAAAACATTCAGATTACATGCTTCACATGACTTGATTCTTTTCATATTTATTGTTTAAGCTTTGGTCTTTGAAGAAGGGTAATTTAATCTGTAAATAGTCTCAGTCACCTAGGGTTTTTATGAAAATGTAATGTAGTCATATCTTGAAATTGACATTATTTGTTTATTTTAGAGTAGTACAACACTTCGACACAACCTCATGTTGTCTGTAGTTTATCTGAATAAATTTCAAAAATAGTCACATAACAATTTACTAAATTAATCGAAAGTTTAATTTGGAAATGAAATTCCCGGTTGTTATTGTTAATAGTAGTGACTATCTTTATCGTACCTATATCGATACTGAAATTAGAACAATTCAGATTTATCATTATTTTGTATGATGTACTCAGCAACAAATTATAGTTTTCATTTGGACATATTTGTCCAGTTTGATTTAGAATTAGTCTGATGACAAGCTCATAAATCTAGGACAGTTTTGGGATGTTCAGAAAAATATCCCGAAAATTATCCTGGTAAGTCTAATGCTATCCTTGAACGTGAAATGGTGTCATTTTCCTATTGGTCAATATTTATTTCACGTGTCGTTTCCCTACTGGTCAATATTTATTTTACGTGTCATTTTCCTGTTGGTCAATATTCACGGTAGTCCTGACTGTATAAATATGCATTTTTCTGTAAAGTATCATTACTATTCTTATTCTTCTCTTGACCCGATAAATAATTTCATCTACGGTTCGTGTTCTGATATATTGGAGATTAGGGAACAGTACTGGGGTCGTACTGGGATATCTGAAGTTGGTAAGTCGGTAGAAATCAGAGTAGTCACCCCGCGGTCCACAATAGAAAACATAGTCAAATCGAGGAAATCTGTTCAAAATTCACAAGTGTCGAAACGAAATTCATTAGGTGCTTTCTCCAACATTAACAACTGGAAGGTGTAAATACAAATATTAATTAACAATGTTTTGAATTATTAAATACATACACATTTGTGATAGATGCTGAAACCGAAACAGTTTACCAGTAACTATAAGAAGTATTTCCATGTTCTCTGTAATAAGTTACCTAATGGTGTTGGTTTACTCCATGTCATTTTTTAGAAAAAAAAGTTCTTTTTTAGATTTTAGTTTTTCAAAACGACTTGTTTTAACTGCTAGAATATTAAACACCATATTGTTTAGGATGATTCTTATAAACTTAACAAATCTATACTTTAGAGAAAATAATAATTAATAAGTTATTATATAAATATAACTCTAGTTAGTAATGAATTATCGAATATTTGAAAACATTACACTTGTCTTCTCCCATATTTATTTTCTGACTAATCTGTTACTTCCAAAATATCTGCTTGATCTGTTCAATAATGATGAATAGCTTTTTAAACAATTTATCATTTCAGCTTGAAGCATTTATCCAACTAATGAACCATTAGCTTGTAGTATAATAAGCGGAGATTATTTCCGATATGTGAGGAAGGCTCTCCGGTGAATTCAAGGAAGCTCTGAAAGAGCCGAAGATATTCCATCCAATTAGCTTTTGGGAGGAATCTCGACATGTAGCTTCCTGATTGGACAAATGCTAAGAACCCCTGCATGCGTATTGGATGACTGTCGTGATGATTTCGTTTTTTTACTAAAAACTATAAATACCTGAGTGTTTTTGTACTGTATTTAACACTGTTTGAAATAAGATTCCTTCCCATTCGTCCTCTGTCTTCTAGTTTGCAAATTGGAGGGTTCAAGAGTTCGTGTGCTCCAAGTTGTACACGGTATAGCAAAAATCTAAGCTCTAGAATATAATATGATAGTTGCTTCAATTCTATTTTATATCATCAAATATGTAGTGAAGAATGTGTAAATCCTTAAGCTTTAACCAACACGGAATAAATAATACATCATGATTTATTCACAAGTTTAATCAATCAGTTCACATATAATAAACAATTGAAAATAATTATAGATACATGAGCTTTAGATGGTGGTTGGAGGTAGTCAACAGGAAACCCTGGACCCGGGTTTCGTGCTACTTGGCACTCGTCAGCAAGGTGTACCTGTAATCATGAGGGAACTGGTGCTCCCTGGCGGATTCGATCTCGTGTCACCCAGCTTCACAGTCAGAGACGTTACCACTGAGCTATCCTGTTGACTACCTCCAACCACCACCTAAATCTCAATACATAGTGCCCGCAGTGTCGAGTCACCTAGACTGGTGGCCACATTGCAACATGATCGATAGCATTCGATCTGCACTAATAAGGACTAGACAAGCATGACATTGATCACCACCCAGTGATCAATCAATTGAGATACATGAGCACACATAAAAAGGAAATTACTTATCATCAACAAATAAATTGTAATATATGAATTAATTAGTTGATTAATTGACAAAAATCAATTTGAAACTTACAGAACAATTACCAGTTAGATTTAAATTTTTACGTAAACGTTGTAGATCATCTACTCGTTCTGGCGGTGAAATAAATATTACATATGGATCAAGACCACTTGAACGTATTTTACGTAAAGACTATAATAATAATAATAATAATAATAATAATAATAATAATAATAATAATAATAATAATAATAATAATAATAATAATAATAATAATAATAATAATAATAATAATAATAATAATAATAATAATAATAATAATAATAATAATAATAATAATAATAATAATAATAATAATAATAATAATAATAATAATAATAATAATAATAATAATAATAATAATAATAATAATAATAATAATAATAATAATAATAATAATAATAATAATAATAATAATAATAATAATAATAATAATAATAATAATAATAATAATAATAATAATATAATAATAATAATAATAATAATAATAATAATAATAATAATAATAATAATAATAATAATAATAATAATAATAATAATAATAATAATAATAATAATAATAATAATAATAATAATAATAATAATAATAATAATAATAATAATAATAATAATAATAATAATAATAATAATAATAATAATAATAATAATATAATAATAATAATAATAATAATAATAATAATAATAATAATAATAATAATAATAATAATAATAATAATAATAATAATAATAATAATAATAATAATAATAATAATAATAATAATAATAATAATAATAATAATAATAATAATAATAATAATAATAATAATAATAATAATAATAATAATAATAATAATAATAATAATAATAATAATAATAATAATAATAATAATAATAATAATAATAATAATAATAATAATAATGGTAATTATAATAAAGTTTTTACCGTAAAATTCAATTATTAATAATTTGACAAATGCTGATTCAGTTAAGTTTTAACAAGCATATGATGCTTTTTCTTAAATAGTAAATCCAATAAAGGAATGGTTTTGTTGTAATTCATTCTAAGTATGCATTAATTTTTTTTAAAAAAACTGATGTTAACACCTACTCGACTTTTCTGTGTTGTTTACGTGTTTTGTAATTTAGACATTGTTAACTCTGATTAGACATAAGATGAATTGTGTTGATCATAAATTTTATATAACCTATACGTAGTGCTTAATATTAACATTATATGTAATCATGAATTTAACGTCGATAGTATGATTTGAATAATTTTTTGGTTAGTGTTTTTTTAGCGAGTTAGTTTTCTAGGGGATGGGGTCGCTAACGCTATGACCACCCCTCCTCCTTTATCCGGGTTTGGAACCGACAGTAGCCCACGAGGGGCTCCAGGCGTAAGTAAGTTTGATTTAAGGAATTAAATTTTCCTTTACTCGACAAATGTGATAAGTATTTGTCGGTAAATATGTTAGATAATAGGATTGATTAACAATTAAATCCAGTATACGTGATTTATCCTATTTGATAGACTGGTCGGGCACAGTTCTGAAATAACAACAATGGGAATATATTAAACCTTACAGTCAATTATTATCATTATCATGTTTCATATGACGAACAACGTAATGTAGGGTTATGTTATCGGTTGGCTTTATCTGAAATGATTTGTGTCACCAAGTGATAGGTGTTCGTAAAAATCAAGTTTAATGACACAAAGTGAAAGGATATCAAAATATGGCCTAACTTGTCAGTAAAATATAAGTCAGTTTACAAAGTAAAAATGATACGCTTGAGGTCAAAATATCTAACAAAAAATAAATATGATTGAAATTGGTTTAAAATGTCAATAATTGTTAGATGTTCAATTTGTAGATCATTCAGGAATTTGTTGGATAAAAGTGTGATCATCAAGCTTGCTTATTCCCAGTTATATCAACACTTGTTGAACAAGATTGTGATTACTTTTGATCCAAGTAGTCAGCTAGATAAATCGTTAGATCCTGAATATATATATATATATATATATATATATATATATATATATATATATATATATATATATATATATATATATATATATATATATATATATATAAGTCAACGCTGAAAAATTTGCCTAGTGAAACTTCAATTACCAATCAATTAATCGGAAAGCAAACCGTAAACCTTCTAAATAGAACCAGGAAGAACAAACTTACTTGAGATCTACAAAATACCATTTTAACACACGAGTATCTAAAACTGAACGAGATAACTAAATTAAACAGAGTATATTTGTACATATAAAGCCTTCAACATACAATTTCCCAGTACATTGTTATCAGTTATTATTTTGAATCACATCTTGTTTACGGGTTGGAGTTACTACTAATTGTTTCAATCACTAAGTTACGATCAACTAACACTATAGTGTGAGCTACTTATGCAAACAGATATAAGTATTATGTAGCAGGAGTTGGAGGTGGAATGTTTACCAGTAGAAGATTGAAATAAAAAGAAGTGAAAGAAAAACAGAGAGCAATCAGAATAACAACAGGATCGAAAGAATGATGGAGTATGTGCAAATGGTGTATATGATCTATGATTTCCATATTTTACAAACTGAAATAAAACTGATCGTATATTAATTATGCGGCCAGCGATGGAATCCAGGATATATGTTCTATGTTCTATTCATGACTTGGCTTTGGGATAGAGCTGAGTCTGTGCTGTTAATCACATTGAGACTCTAACTTAGTATCTAATGTATCAAACACCAACTCTTTACTCATTAAAGTACCGAATCCAAACAATCAGTAGCTTGATCGGCAGGTATAATGGTACTAGTAAGGCTTTGTAATTTAAGCTCTAATTGACTCAAACTAATCAATCTCCGTTACTGTATATGTAGCCTGGGAGGATTGATTCGAAATCGAGTCAATATAGCTTCCTGGATTCCACTGTAAAACATATAACAAATAAACTAAAACTTACGATAAAAAGAAATATCAAGACAATGTACTCAAGATATTGATTTAGTAACAGAGGTTGATCAATTATAAAACCGAATATCAACAACGGAAAGTTAAAAGTACACTGACTGATAAAAAAATTTAATTTGTTAACAAAAATAACTTACATCAGGTCTTAAAGATATACAACATATTTTGCCTTCATTTACTAATTGTTGTACAGTTAATTTACTAGTTCCATAATAATCACGATTAAATAATCCCCATTCAATGAATTCCTTTTGTTTACGTTTTAATCGAAACTCTTCTTCTGTAATACAAATATAAGAAAATTTCGTATCTGCCTTCAAATTTGAATTTGTTGTATCTAAACGAATAATTAAAAGAAAAAAAGGAAACAATTACGATGTTATTAAAAAAGAATGTTGACAGCATAGTTGGCAATCATAATCAAAGACTATTGCTTCTAACAAAAAAAGTCAATAAAATATTTAATGGATTAAAACAATGAATGATTTCATATTTATAAAATGAACAAGATAAATGAGTAACTGTTGACTCTTCAACTGGTAGTAAAGTACTGATGATTATTTATTAAAAAGAATAATTGAATACCATTCTACACAAAAAAAACCGACGTATCCTACTCGTCAGTGAGTAAACTAATGTGAAAATATATTTGATAAATTTTAGACATGTTATACATGTTTTACTACATTCGAACTGTGCTTACTATTAAATTCTTCAGAATTCGTATACTATATGTACCTGAATCCCAGTGTTGACATTCACAACCCAATTATACTAAATCTTGTTACTAGCAGGTAATATCGAGACCACTGTTCAATATGTATATATGTCGAAAAAAACTGATCAAATTTAGTCTTGAATATCAATAAAGGGAAATTATAAACCATCAGTAATATTCATATCACCGTTAGAGAACATTTATTCATAACATTTGTTGCTTAAGTGGGTGGTTGTCTGCACTTAGTCGATTGAGGAATAACGCGTTGGATGTTTGAAGCGAACAACACTGGGCTCGAGTCTCGTGTGAAAATCACCACAAAATGTGAGCACATCCAGCTAACGAGTTCCAAACGGCAAAAAACCTGGCTCCTGGATTTCATTGCTAGCTAAAAATCCATTCATTTTATTAAAAAAGTCAATTTTATAGATTATTTTACTACATTTTAGACAGTTAAACAGATTCGCTAAATAATATCCGTAGAGATTTCTTTGGAGTAGCATTAACAGATACTATAATGTAATTTATATTTTATGCTAAAAGCCGGTCAACTATCATACTTATTCAACCACTGTTAGCATCATCATCACAAACGATTTTTGAAATGAAACTGTTTGAAAGAACAGTGATAAACTCAAAACTAGATGTGTCACTTGTAATAAATGTCACGTTACAAAATAACATTTGCTGCTTAACTAATGAAGTTCGTTCGTCTGAAAGGGTACTATATAAGTGACAAGAATAAAGGTTTTAAAAGCTAGTATCTCACTATAATGTATATTCAGACATGTATAATAGTATTGATAGCCATAGTATGTGTGCATAGCAGAGATCTTTTATAAACACATGATGTAATACTCTCTGAAGTTTCAAGTGTTTTCAGAAAATATTTTGTATTTTATCAGACATAACATGTAGTCAAGTAGCTAAAATTGTAAAGCATTAAATACCTATTTGTCAAAATAATTACCGTAGATCAATATTTTTGTTGACAAAAATTTATGTCTACAGAAAAAGACAACAAAATGACTTACAAATAGCCGCTTGAAAAAATCGATCAGGTTCTCGTTGAATGAGATGCTGTAAAATTTGTTGCCGTCCAACATGTGCTGGCCCAACAAACACAAGTGGCCGTCTACGAAGTGGTTGTGGGATATACTGAGCGACAGGTTCATAAGTCCATAAACTATAATGGATCATATAACCACGAGCAACTTCTTTATCTAACCACGCCACAGGATCATCACTCGACTGTAATTCATTATCTGGGACTGAAAGTAAGAAGGAGAATTACCTCTTAACACTCAAAACTAATATAAGATGCCGGGAAAAAAAGGCATAGGAGTGCAGTTTTAAAGTGGTAGCTTAAATAAATCAATCAGGAATTCTTACATAAAAGTTCATTCGTAACGTAGTGTTTTTACTCTCTGCACTAACTTAATTTCAATTCGGAATTGAATACTATACACCCACGTTTGGTCCAACTGTAACTAATTATTAAGTTTTCTATGATTAACTGATGAACAATACTACTACTGTTATCATTATTATTACTGCAAGTAGTGATGTTAGCTGAAAACCTAGTTTGGGCTTGATTTTTTAACTTAAACTGTCACACTACTCATTAGTACAAAAAAAGAAATTTGATAAATTCTAAAAAGTAGAAACAAATAAACACTAGATAACGAGACGATAAACACGAGGATATACAATTATAAAGTACATGATGAGTGAGTGTAAATGCTTTCTTGAAATTCACTTCTAATCACCTCGCCAGTGCTACAAAAGTTTTCGACACTACATATTAATGTTACAAGTAAATGAGTTAATACGTAGAGATTTAAGTATATTATTACTGCAATTTTCAGAGAGAATCGACTTGAACCATGGAATTACAGAAAATTTAGGAATTACAGCACTTCTACTTTGAGACTCTTCAGCATTGAATGCACACGACTCCATAAAACAATGAGACTAAGAACTTTAGGTCACGCAGTAAACAAGATGCCCTGAGATTGCTTAGTCCTGTGGATACACCATTTCTATCATAAAAACACCATTATTTCTCTTTAAAATCTTTCAAGTGTTTTTGATTTAAAAATGTTAAATTGTTTCGGTAGTTACGCATTCATGCCCCCCAACTTAAACAACTTATTAGAGCTATTCACACAAGTAAAGTATGTTAGAAACATAGTAAATAATCAATCAATAACCTTGTTGAATTCTTTTTGATGTCATTTACGCAAACTATATACTCATATTTAAAGCTACTGAAAAATGCCTATTACACAGCAAATTATTTTGAAGTTTTAGATGCCATAAAAGGATTCTATATCGATTGCGAAGTTAGGGGAAAATAATATGATAAAAACCAATGTATGAGAGATAACTGTTCACTTAAAAAGTCTGAAAAAGTTATCGAACAACGTATAAACAAAAAATTTCATCTTCTTGATGTTTTATTAAAATTGTCAAAGGTCTCCCTACAAAGATTCATACATAAAAAACAAATGTAGAACTATCAATATACGAATTTCCAAAGTTCGGTTCCATTGAGCAGAAAGAGAGATTTAATTCACTCTTTATTTCCGAGAGTCAATAAACTATGATTCGACGACACGATAAACAACGAAATATTTCAACTTTGATAGATGTATTCATCAAAAATCACAATCCATTCAGGTTAACTGATAAAAACCTAAAACCGAAACCACAGCCTAAGAGGTCATAGGCAGTCCGAATGAAAATCTTTTTCATGAAAATTGAGTTTAAAAGAGTAACTAAAGTATGAATTATGTGAAACAGACTTTCTAAGTCTATGAAATGTAAATGTAAAGGCACGGATTAGCGAAACAAGGACAGTATTCCTACAGTTGAAGAACATATGGAACTTAAAACAACTGACAGCCAATATCAAAGTCACAAGTGTTAACACGAACGTCAAGATAGTCCTACTGTACGAAGCTGAAACGTGAAGAACTACTACAATAATCATCAAAAAAGTACAATTATTTATAAACAATTGTCCTTGTAAGATAATGAATATCCGTTGGCCGGATACCATCAATAAAAGCCTTCTGTGGGAGAGAAAAAAGCAACTTCCATCTGAGGAGAAAATTAGGAAAAGATGATGGAATTGTATAGGACACAGATTGAGGAAATCATCAAACTGCATCACGAAACAAGCGCTAATTTGCAATCCTGAAGGAAAGCGGAAAAAAAGAAGGCCAAAAGACACACTGTATCGGGAATCGGATATGGAAAGTATGAACGGCAACTGGAAAGAATTAGGAAGGATTGCCCAGGACAGAATTGGATGGAGAATGCTAGTAAGAGGTCTATTCTCCTCCATGAGGGGTAACAGGAGAAAGTAAGTAAATAAATCAGACCGCATCATACTATAAAATAGAAAATAACAATTATATAAATTCAAGCCAAAAGTGGCTGTGAGTGTGAGTGTGGGGATAACTTAAGAATAGTAAGTCGTATAGTAGTAGCTAAGAAGTCAAATAGAAACTTATAATGAAATGAATATGAATATACTTATAATATAGGTATTTAATAATTATACAATAAGAATACATATATATACAATAACAGTCCATAAATAGATCCTAGCAGTTAACATTCACTTATTCTTTGTTCGGATATAACAAATTCTAATGATTTTTTGTTAGCTTTCAGTTAGTTGCCATTATCACTTAGATAATTCCAATTTTATAATTGTAAGGCAGAAAAACATCTTCCACATATTTATTTTCATTTTTTTTCTTTTTTAACTTCTCGATCATTGGGCACTTCTCTTTTGACATATGAAATTTCCGGACAGCTTTTACGTTATCCTTCTTTTTATAGATTACAATACTTTTTAACTTAATATGAATACACCTGTATAGCTAGAGTAAATGATATTATAAAAGAGAAAATTTTCATTCAATGTCTGAATGGATTTTTTTCCTTATTTGATCCTATAACTCACTGACATTTATTTTGATTTTTGTTGACTTCCAAGATAAGATACCTATTTTCAAATATATCCATGTTCATTAAAGCAAACTTAGAATTATTTCTAAAACAGTTTTTAATTTTCTGTATACCACAAAATTACCCAAGAAAATGTCAGTCGTTAACGAAATCAGCTTTCTAGAGATTGACAGGGTAGTTAAGGCCATCTTTAGTAGGCAATTTGTAGAGTTACAAAAGAGCTCAGCCCATATAAATGGATGAGTGTCATACAGCTTACAGAAAAAAAATTTTATTTACATTTCCAAGAGGTTACGTGAAGTCTTAATCAGTATCAGTTAAAGTAAATAAGAAATATAAAAATTTCCCTTTATTGTTTGTAATTAAACGATATCTGTCACACCGTAATGTTTATACAAATACTTGACTAATTAACATTCAAAAAATGACTTGATTTGAAGTTGGTTTAAGTTCTAGACTGGCATCAACTGATAAGCTATTTTTCGAACCAGAAGGCACTAAATAACTATTTCATATAAGTGTTGCACTCCTTAATAATTTATACTCACGATCATGCCAGAGATCAGAACAAGAATCTACAAATCTTGCAGTAAGCAAAATTATCGTGAAAACACGTTTTTTCTAAGTGGTTTTCTAATTACTATCAGTCCATGTCTAAAATCACTTGATTGCTTGTTTATAAATCAGAGTGATTGTTTTTTGTCCTTATTTTCAACTCCAAGTTATCACTTTAGTCTTTTATTCCATTCAATGTATTACACGTTAGAAGTACAAATTTCAGAAAGTAAACTACTCATAACAAACTGTACACCAACGTACAAATAGTCAGTATAGTAAATACAAACAAACAAAAAAACATTAAGAAAATTATTTGTTGAATATAGTTATTAAACAATGACTACTAAAGAATATCACAAGCAATCAAAAGCTAACTCATATACATACATAAATAAATGGACACAAGTTACTACAATAATTTGCATATATCTTTATTGATCAATGTATAACTAGTTAAAGATAGGTGCCTTTTTAGTATCATCTGAAAAGCCAATCGATATATTACACACATATAAGCTTTAGACAACTATTTAATCCACTAGATGTATGTTTGTTACTAAAACATAATATAGGAGATAGAAAAAGTGCCGCAGCAAAGATTAGCATTGAAAAAAATTCTTGAGAGCTATGAAAAAGCATTTTATTAATTAATCTACCTGACTGTAATTGGACCGATAAAGGCTTCAAGATAATTAGAACTTAGAGAGAATTGAACAGTTGTTTTATTGTATCTTTTAAACTTTCCAACAGCTGGGTATCATACGGGATTGAAACTGTAACATACCAATGAAGCTGAATTAAGATTATGCTGTCAACATGATGACCGTGATCAGTAGTTGAAGACGTTAGGTGACATGGTTCAGAATCGATTACAGATGAAGATGTATCTACTTCTTATTTTACTCTAGATTGTGAGTTTCAGTATTCCTTCATGCATATCCTTTCATTCTGTCTTCTCAAAACGTATTCTCAAACTTTGATCTTTCCAATTATCATTGATATGTATTATCTTGATACTCTTCTTATTTATTTTGTTAATGCAATCTCGTTGTGTTCATGTGGTATGGCAACTTGGACCAACACACATTTGTGCCAGGCTCTATGTTGTTTACGACTGATCGACAGTCGTAAATTGATTTAATTTATAAAGTGTGGACCATTGGATTTTGTCATAAGATTATTTACCATAAAACTAAAAGATCTTTGATTTAATCCCATGTGAGATGTAGGGTGTGTATTGCTCTAAAAGGACCTTAATCCAGGATACAAAAACTGCTCACTGTTTAATAGATTTTTCAATAATTATCTAGCTGAAGTTAGTGTGTAATTGAAATTGCTTTTTAACTGTACAAACGTTTTCACATAATCATTCTAGCCAATAATAATCAATAAATGACTATTCATTTGGGCATTTAAGTAAATGTGGACAAATTAACCAAACAGATAAGGAGTAAAAATTAAAATACTATGGTATGGTGGTGTATGTTACTTATATTGAGATATAAATAGTATGTAACATCAGTCGAAAGCAGAATGCCTGGTAGAACATTGAAATGAAGAGAACAAAAAAGAAATCGAAGAACAATCAGAATAACAACAGAAATACAGGAATAATAGAGTATGTAAAGGATAACGCAAAGATGTGCAAATGATGTATTTAATGCATGATTTTCATATTTTACTAAACCACTGTGTGATTTTGCATTAAACAATAAATCGGTTTTTTCCCCCTGAGTTTTTGTTTGCTACAGTACAAGTAGTGGTGATAACATTGAAATGACAATGAAACCGATAAAGGATTCACTTATGTAAATAACAAGAAGGCATAAATACATCTCACAAAAGTGAAAATAACTTCAAGTTGTAATTATGTAAATAACTAAAGATCTACTCATACGGTTAAAAAAAGATAACTCCATATTTCTGGTAGTTGTCAGGATAAATTTCGAAATTAGTAAGAAATCATGTGACAAAATGCACAAACGTTGTGACGTTTAAAATTCCAGAATTTATCTACATAACTCAAGAGTTATTAATTAAAATACAATTAAATATTTAATTTTAGATCAAGTTTGAACAAAATACTTACCAACTTACTAACAAAACACTTACCAGGAACAAGAGATGGATAATACTCGCCATGGTTTTTATCTTTTTTCCAGGATCTTAAACCTTCTAGACATGGAGACGATCTATTTGTTGAAGAGAGTTTCCGTCTATTTCGTTTACGACGTGCACGCAGAGTTCGAAGATCATAACCATGTTGACCCCATACTGGTCCAGCAGCTAATAAAGGAAATTAAGACAGAAGATATAGATTCTCCGATATCATCTACTTCCTAGTGATCACTGATCAGTCTCTACAAGTATATCATTCATACTGTTCGGTTGTACATAAATCTGTGAATTTCACAAGAACTTTGTTTCCATTTATATTCATAATAAAATATGAAAAACAGTTAAAACGTTAATAGTTTTTTATTATTGTTATATTAATAAGTAAGATTAACCTCTTTTAGTCGAACCTAGCACATTACCTATATTTAAAATGCTTAAACTAATTTTATAAATCATATATCAGCTCCCCGATACTTTAGTGTAATATTTTGAGACAATTACTTTGAAAACTGATGGTGTTTTCTTATTACTAAAGCGAGTACATAGTTTCGCCGAAGTTAATACCTATATATTGAAAAATATCAAAGGTATCTGTAAGTACAAGACTTCATTACAGGCATATCTAGTTGTCTTAAATCAAGCATTATTTATATAAAATCACTTTCTATTGTGTTTCATTTTCTGAGTTGCATATTTTAGTCAATAAAATTTGTGTTGATGATCCATATAAAGTCAATAAAAATTCCATGAGTAAATCGCTCGACCCAAACAACAACGATTCACCGACAAGAAATACACTTATCAATTAGAATAAATAATAACAAAAAACAAACCTGACCATTCATTGATTGCATTAGCTGAGGAAAGATCAGTAGGTTTTGTTAAACCAGACATACGATCGCCATAAGCTGAACTTAACACAGTACTATTCATTACACAACGTGAATCATCTTCCGGTGTAGATACAACTCCATCCGTTAAATCACCTTCACTTGTATTCACAGATGTCAGTTCACTTTTTGAATCAGTTTGATTAGTATCTCGACTTGATGGTGAGATAGATCTACTACCAAAGTGTGCATTTTTAAGTGTTGGAAATTTTATTCCCAAAAACCTCTTCTCTTTCGACTTATTTGTAGGCTTTTCTGCTTTATTAACAGTTGATCCAGTTGAATCAGAGTCTGTTGAATCTTCTTCCAATTCAATGTCTTCAGTTCCACTAGTTAACCAATATTTTAAGCGTAATATAGCACGATTACGTTGATAAATTGGACTAGGTATGAGACCAGCTAATGTTCCTATTGCACCAGACAAACCACGTTCTTCATCACTCCTATAATAATAGATTCATAAAAAATGCATAGAATAAAAACGAATGAATTAGTCATGAAAAAATATTACTAATAAGTAACATTAAACACTGATATACTTTGTGTAACAACATAAACAAAATACGAACAAGCTGAAGACCTTTTTTACCATAAACCTAAATTAACTAAAGCAAAATACTGAAATAACAAAACGCTGAGCTGTGCTTTCACTTGACACATTAGACAAGAATACCTCAAATAATCTGTTAGCTGTTAAGCCAGTTATTTCCTTAAATTAACCTTAGCATATTAATTTTTGAAGTAGCTATGTCTAAGCACATTCAAAATTACAATAATACATGGGATATATCCGATTCCCAACAGATGATAAAGAGTCATCGGTAAAGGATAGTAGTTATTATGATTTATCAACTTACCATAGGTTTGATATACATTCTCAAATTAATCATCCACACACAAGTGATTCTGTAAATATCCCTAATAAACAGAAGTATTTTTGTCCCATATAGGTGGATCATAAATCGTTGCCTTATTCTTCATTGAGATATCTAGGCGGATAACTATCACATGTTTTCCTATATAAACACACATAACCAACAAAATCATCACTACGAGTCAAACGCATGTCTACTAACATCTGGAAGTTATGAATAAGTACAAATAATTGATCATATCAAGATATTATACATCTAACAAAAACAAAACTAACTCACCGATAAGCTTGCCACCAATTTGGATCTTTCCTGCCTGTAACGTGTATAATGTCTCCTTTGGTAAATCCTAAACCCAATTCTTTACATGCTATATAACGGTCGTCAGTGGGTTCATAAGTAAATAATGCACGTAGATGTATCTGTCAAATAAACGACGTATACACAGAGATCAGGAAAATACACATAATAGAACGAAAATCATCAAACTTATTGACACAAACAACACCAGGCAAATTAAAACAAATAAACTTGAAAACAAACCCTAAAATTGGTAATAGATAGGTCAGTTCTGAAATTCGAAACATTAACCGAATATCATTACTTATCAGCAGAACAGTTTTAATTTATACAATTTGTATTTATACGTGAATAATGAAGTGAATAGATTCAATTCACTGAACCATTAAATTGATGATTTTGTAATCTAGAAAATTCCGTGATTTCCGTTAGAACACTTAAAACATTAAGTTAAGAGAATGGATCTATTCAAAAAATCGCTTTTTCAGTATTTACATTTTTCCATGGAATTAAGGATTAAGAAATATGTAAATTTGTCTGGATACCATCAACAATAGACTTCTGTGGAAGAGAAAAAAACAGCTTTCAGATGAAGAGAAAATTAGAAAAATATTATAGAAGTAGATAGGACACATATTCCGCATATCATCAAACTGCATCACGAGGCGAGCCCTAACTTGGACTCCTGAAAGGAAACAAAAAATAGAAAAACCCAAGAAAACACAGCGTCGGGGATTAGAAGGAAATATCAAAAGGATGAATAGCAAATAGAAACAACTGGAAAGAATGGCGCAGGACAGAGTTGGATAGAGAATGTTGTTGGTCGGCCTACACTTTTCTACGAGAGATAACTGGTGAAAGTAAGTATTATATGTAAATAAATGGATATTTTTATTAAAATAATTGTTGTCTGTCCTGATTACTAGTAGTTGATATTACAATCCATCGTTTCCTTCTGTTCTTTTTCATTCTAAAATTATCCCACATTATCTTCGAATTTCAATAGTTGGTGTACACACAGTTACTACTAACAATTCTTATTTGGTATATATGGTTTCCAATATTTACTTTTCAATTTGAAATTCTGCCTCCTACTGATTACATAATTATGATACGTGCAATTGGAAGAGAAGGTTGGGTCCGAGAATGTCCCACTAACTATTACACTAAACTACTATCACGGTTTTGGTTGCTTTTTAGTAATTCCATTTGTTATTCTATCAGTTTCCTTTACAATCTAGCACAGTTCGGTTCGAAATAGAAAACATAACCCTAAATGAAAAAATTATGTAATACATCACAAACAGATATATCTTTCATTTAGATAAAAATCAGGGGCAATTTCTTTGACTAAAATAAAAATAAAACCAGGTTAAAATTTGGATGATGTTCCTCATTACAGAGGAGTACTGGGCGATGCGCATTGATTCAAACCTTATTGAGGTTCCGGTTTCCCCCAAACCCAACGGGTTGCGTTTCTTAATTTCGGCTGTCCTAAGTAAGTAAAATACTCGATTGCATATTGTTAGAGTTTAATTTTCGAGTTAAAAATAAAATTCAGTATTCTAATATTATAATCTGAACATACAAACAGAACTTCAGTTGAGTTTATGAGCTGAATATGTCTTGTGATAAACCATTATGGAGAGTATATAATTAAAAAATCATAGTTGAACATTTTATTGTTGCATCATATAAATTCATGATCACTACTTTTTTCCCATCCTGTCACATCACTTCTTTTAATCATTATTTTATACAAATAATAAATGTCGAGAATTACAAGACAATACTTTCATAAAGAAATGGTTCAATGATTAGACTACTTGATTTTTAACCATTACAACGTACAGTCGAAAATGATTCTCTATCTATTTTCTTAATCTGATAATTCAAATAACATCACTAAATCTAACATGAAATATTCCAATAGTTGAGATCATGAGTCAATTAAAGTTAGAACACCAAAGAAAACCTGGAAGCACTGGACGACCGTTTCTTCCCATTGTGGGACTCCTCAGCAGTGCGCATCCACGATCCCGCCCCCGCGAGGTTCGAACCCAGGACCTATCGGTCTCGCGTGTGAACGCTTAACCTTTAGACCATCGAGCCGGCACCTAATGGTGTTAATGTCTAACTTTAACTAATCCAAGAAATTGAGCGACACATCCACCATGGTCTTCAGTGAGTCACTATCTCACAACATATTTGTTTAAAAACTTTGTATTCAATTATTAACCTGTGCTCACAAACAAATTTTAAGTAATTATAATCGTAAGAACTGAAGATGAATTTGTTAGAATCATTTATTCGTCTAAATAAATGTTGTCTTGATCAAGATTATTAAGCTATTAACAAGTTCCTAATCATAATAATAATAAGAAAAATATAGAATTATCTCATACTTACAATTCCTTTAGTCGATATTGATGAATATGGATCAAGTGCCGGTGCAACAAGAAGAATAATTCTCCCATGTAGTGAAGCCTAAAATAGAAGTTGTTGTTTTTTAAATGCAGATGTATTACCATTTGATGTAAAACAAAGTTAATACGTTTGAAACAAAGCTTCATAAATTCAATTAAAATGAAAAATAACCTTTTATAATCATTTCAAGACAATAAGTTTCTAATGAGCATTAAATGTCGTTGTTTTCACGTTGAGTAATGAATGGTGTGGCAAGCCCATTTGGCCACTGTATCATCTGTCTATTCATTGTAACTTAGACTCTTAATTCACTATGTTAATTTCGGTGTGTATGATCGAATGCATGTCTGTACATTAACTTTTAAACTATTTTCCTATTGGTTTCAACGTGCAGATAATCGATAATTTATCTACACCCGATTAACCCTCAAATATATATGGATTTTTAACAAACTCACTCTCTCTGTTCCCATCGTGTGCTTGCTCACAATACGCTTGTGGATTATCATTATTCATTAATAATAAACTATCTCCATAACTGGTGTTCAGGCTTCTTAATAATCTCGAGTAAATCCGTAATTCTACTAGGAGATTAAGCCTACCTTAAATACTCAGTTACGGAATATCATTATTTGGAGTCAGATATTAAGGACATTACCCTCAACAATGGATTCAGAGTGAACATCTTTATTACATAAGAGTGAAGCACACTTAAATAAATGCTACTAAGCATTATAGTGTTTCATTCGGACGATCCTATTATATGCTATTTCTGTATTATTCTATTACTAATTTCTTATTAGGTGTAAATTACTTCATCTCTATTAGAATATAGTCAATGTAAGTATAGACACTTCATCTTTAAACATGATCACAGCTTAATTATGTTAACCTTTAAATCAATTAAAAAGATCCCTTATTACCAATACACAAACACAGCCGAATTAAATGAAAAAGTGACAATTTTTAATTATTTTCTAAGAGTGATTGCTACCCTGACATGATGGTCGGTTATGTTTACTTATCGTAACGACCAAATCGAGCTATATTGGCTGGAATACTTATTCTTTCAGGTCCTACTATACTTGGCAAGTCGGTCGAAAAGGGATAAGACTAAAAGCAAAAACTTTGAGTTCGAAGGCAAAGTCTTACTACCTACTGTACTAATGTATGATGGCAGTGACATCCTTACTTTATACAAACAGCATTTACGGTGATGCTGCCTTCCTACATCAAGAGGAATGGGTTAGAAAAGGTAGGGCTTAAAATCAATACAACTCATCTTGCCTTACTAATTTACGCTTCGAGAGATAAGACCTTTAAAGTATGGGGACAATACATCAAGAACTACTTGAGAAAGAGCTATATGTGAACAACCTCAAGCAGTTTTCCCTTGGACTCCGTGGTCACACTAGCAGGTCGCCAAGACTAATACTAATCCAATTTCCCTTTCATGATCTTCAAGAAACATTCTTCTACGGTGTGAGCAACCAAGGAATGACCTCCACACATACATATGCAAACACCTCAAACAGTGCGGGGGATCACCTTGGTCACAATCACAATAGGCTTGCTACAATCACATCCCTTCTTTACTTCCTAAAAATATTTTTATCCTTACTATCAACCCTTCTATTATAGCTTCATCTTAATCCCCAAAGCTAATTGTTAGAAGAGTGAACTTATCTGTCCCTGAGAATGTATTTATTCTATCTGGAAATGTTTGAATGTTCCTTTTACTCATATCTTGTAATTATTTGATGAACGTTTGACGAAAGGATCCTAATAGCGGATTGTCCCACACTGTTATCTTATTTGAATGCATCATCAACCAATTAAACATCTTTATCTTTATCGAGAGCTCAACTCAGTACCGATTTTCGTGAACATTAAAAAGTGACATACACTATGTTATGAAATCATAACTCAAATATTCCAAGCTCAATTATGCTTTTTAAACTGGAGGTATCCATTTTAACTCAGCATCCAAAGGAATGAAAATGTATTTTTCAAAGCGATGAAAGTTCAGTTTGACTCTTAGTAGAAACATTAACATTCATTAAAGTGTGGACAAATTCTATTAACAAGTTATATATATGAAGATTTCGCTACTAATAACTAACAAATATCGTTTATTAGTCACAAAAAAAAAGTTAATTGACCTATAATTCCCATTTAAACATTAAAAACACGAAGTTCAGCGACGGGATTTCTTTTCAACGAATTTATTATCAAGCTATACAATCGTATATATATGAAAAATCTTCATTTATATTAAAATTAGCTTAGATATACTATAAAGTTAGACGGCAAAATACTAATGATTATCAGCTACAATTAGTTTGTCACCATTATATTACCATTTATAAATGAACCAGAGTGCTGAAGAAACCTTGAAAATATTTAACTGATTCATTCATTGCATAAAGGTATTGTGAATAAAATTGCTTACCATAATATCACATACTGTATTCAAATCTTTCCCCATTAGTTCAATTCCATTGACAGATAACAGTTCATCACCTTCATGAAGAAGATCTAGTTTACAAAATATTTTAACATAATGGAAACGTGAATATTTCAAAAGTTTCTGTTTGTTGTGAAAATGTAATGTGAATTTGGAATGTTTAACACAATACACCCCACAATGAGGTATTAAGAATGACAAATGAAGTCTTTTATTTCCAAAGGAATTGTAAACGTCAAAACGTTTACTGACAAGAGGTGGTTTTCAACATCATTCAGTATAATTACGTAACTACCGAGTAAATGCTATGTCTTGATTTGGAAATCTTCAGCATTCGACAAGTATAAAAACACTCAGGACTAGATAGAGGTACATCAAGCACCAAAACGAAGTTGGTTTTAACCAATCTTTTTACATCTGAGATGTCATGGAGAATATCCAACGCTGAAACTTTGGTTAACAAACTCTATTTTATTTATAAGAAAGGAAATAACAATAGAAAACCAATATCATCCTTAATACTGAAAAGTATTTATACCAGAGTACAACTAAAAGTAATATTTCATGGTTGGAATCACGAAATGACTTATCTAGACAACCATTAAAACCTGAGAAGCATTCAATAGCTAGTTCGTTCTAGCATGAGACTTTTTTATAGTGCACACCCACGAACTCACCGAATATTGGACCCAGGACCCTTGGGTCCTGAGGATAGCTTTTAACCGTTAGACCGCTGGTTCAGTATCCAGTGTTTCTCATGTAAACTACGAAATCCAACAATCTCCAAAAACCTCCTATGATATCAAGTGATATTTATGCAAAATTCGAGTCACCATTTTTTAAAGATATAGTAATGTGTAAACAAACTTCATTCTACACAATTGGGTTAAAGCCCAAATAGTTGTGCCGATATGAAGTGATCGTTGATCTAAGTCATCTTTAGAGGTTAGGACCTCCCCGTTGAGGTTCACCCGATGATGGCTACTCCACGATTTTACTAATTGTTTTAGAACTATACTAATTTTGTTTAATTTGTTACTAACATAGGTAGTGCAATTTTTTTCAACGGACATTTTATTCTGCTCCTGATAATTTTCATTGCGTTTAGTTGAATAAACAGACATTTATACTAGATCCTTTGCTACTTATTACTGACTGATCACTATGATATTAACAGCCTTCTTGAATTATGCAAACAACAACTCAAATAAATAGGACAGCATAACGTACCAAGACAAATTCACCAGTCATATGGTAATCACACTACTCATAGTGAGTGTCACATACATTTATGAATAACTATCATGTAACGAATATCCAAAATCATACCATTACTCTATGATTACTTTTTGATTCACATTAGCTATAATGTAATAAACTTTAGGTCTAGATTCCGAATTATTATAACTATAAACAAATTGATATAACAAACAGAAAAAATGAAATTAGTTTGTTAGTCATTTAAATACTTGGCTGGTGATATACACAGGTAGACGCTTGAGAATAGAGCTGACTATAAATAGTATCTTTGTATGATTACAACTAATCTTGGGTCATTTGAGAAAAAAAGCCTATAATTCATATTCAATTTAGATTGTTTACAAAAGTTGAACGATTGTGGTATCTTAGATGAATTTTTAACGGTTGAATAGTTTTTAAAGTTAGTTTAGTTAACAATAACATATTGATTACTAAGTTGTGAGTACTTTAAACCAATCAAAACAACTGTTACAATGAATAGACATGAATGAACATTAGTTACTCTAACACCATATTTTTTTCAATTTTTCGTTACTCGTTTCCTATCTGATGAGTAGCTAAAGGTCACAATATCTCAACTGAATAGTTTACTTATAAATAACAGTAAAAATTTTGTAACATATTCTCAGATATACTCAGTTAAATAGTTAATGGTTCTATCTTTTAAAATCTATTCACTTGAGATTTAAGGATCGATTCTGTGAGCATAACTATTAACTTAGTTATATCCATCTTCTTTTAAAATCCATTGAAATATCGAAGGAAATAATTGCACATTTATTTACATTGGTTACTTACTTGTCTTACAAGCTAAACCCCCATTAACAATCCGAGCAATTAGAATTGAATTTCTTTCCAAACGAACTGTAGCTCCCTGGCAAATATTACGGAAATAAAAACAGTAAATTTTATAAAAGAGAATTCGACAAATAAACATTTTCGTAAATTTAAAGAAAAAGTGAAAAATATGTACTTATTTATGCTTCATATTTTCATGAGCGAATTTATTATAATCAGACTTTTTCTGACTTACCAAAAATTCATTACCAGTTTTTTGAAGAATAACATATTTTAATCTAACTCCATGTTCCGAATAGGAGTCACGACCTTGATCATCGTATGCAAGCGTAGCGTAACAACCTGGGACAGAAGATTTTTGAATATATGAACTAGAAATAGAGTTTCTATCGATATCCTCTGATATGTCAAAACTTTCAGATGCAACAAAATCTTCATCAGCATCAAAAAGCCATGTATTTGCTAATCCATCCATAGCAATTAATAAGTTCTAAACAATAAGATATATTAAATGAAACTTAGAAATCATATGATTATTTCATTGTTTAAAATTTGCTAAACAGTAACAACGTTTTAGTATATTGTAAATTATTTAGAAGACAACACACTATTGAAATTATAAAGTTATTATTCTGACTGTAATTCGCCAAGAGGTTTCATACAGCTGTCTAATAAACTTCATGTGAATCGTATAACTCAAAGGCAATGAAAATCAAATTAAATGTCATATTTACAAGAATTATCGTTAGGATAGTAACTTAACTATTTTGTCACATGACCTGTACTTTCTTATGATAATAAGTTATATTATGTACGTTGTTAGATTTGGTAAAGTATGACATTTGATAATATCCTGAACTATTCTTAATTCACTCTCAATTCAGGTAATGGAGTGAATTAAAAATAAACTAATACATAATATATGCTGTGATCACATCAATCCATGAAAGTTGACCATCAAATCAATTAACTTTTTTTTAATTTAATGCTATACTTGCAACTTTGGTGAAATTTACTTACTAGACCGTAATACATTCAAGCAACTTGAGAAACTTGATAAGTATTCACTAACAGTTAAAACACTAATAACACTACTATATAGTAATGTTGCATACCTGAAATAAAGGGGATGAGCATAAATTAAGTATTGCGGAAATACAATTTAAAGTAAACGCATCAAATTGACCCGGATTCTTCAATGCAGTTAATAACTGTTCTTTAACAGCTTCCATCGTGTCGTATGCCAATCCAGCTAAAACAGGCCAACGATATCTCGGTTTAGGATGCATAACACTTTTACAAGTCTCATATGCTTTCGCAACTTTGTCATGCATAAGAAATGCTTTTGATAAACTTGGATCGGATAGAACGTTTAAAAGCCACTCCCATTGTTCTGTTTCGGAATCCAAAGTGGTTTCGTTTGTTGGAAGTGTGACGTCTGATGATTGAAATTTATTCTCATTTTCATCTCTTAGAACTGGCATCTTCGTCCGTAGATAGCACAAAAGTTCCATGAGTTCTAAAATTTAACAAATCATAAACAAAAGATAGTTATTTTATAAAGCACGAAGACCTATCATAGTAAGATGAAGTAAGCTTCTTTCATTTCGTATGCTCTATACCGTCCACATGTATACTAATTTTATAAATAAAATGTTTTAAAAAATAGAGTTTTGCGTTTAACATGTGTACAGCAATTCAATTTGCTGATCAGTAGTAAGTAGTTACTTTCCAATACCTCATAAGTTCAATTGACAGAGAACAAGATAAGTGTGAGAGAGAGACTATTCTTGCAATCGACCAAAAGAAATATGTGTATATTGTAAGAAATATTGTAAAAAAAACCTAGTTACTGCAAAAAACACTCACTAAGTAATCATAAAAAGGTGACAATAATAATACTCAGATGGAGGTTATTAAATGAAGTGCTTGCAATCATAAATTAAATTCTGATTACAACGAAGGTTTAGAGATTTGTCTTATTAATAAAACAACTTCAGATTCATCTCCTAGTTACATGGTTTAAGTATAAAGACACCGAAATATTGTTAAAGAGGTATGTTATTCCATCTCTCTGCAATCGGCAAACGTCCAATTCATGTCATGATATTGCTGTAGATCCATAATTAACGCTGTAAGAGTGGTACTCAAAAATATTATTTTAATAGTGGTACATTACAACACTCAAAATTTTGGCGATAGAATCCGTTGAACTTGCAAGACTTATCACAACCAGGATATCAGTGACAGGGAAGTAATCCCAGACTACGTCTTTAGTATTTATCAAATTCTAAAGTTGAAACATGTCACTGCTCCACAATAACATTTCTTCGGCTGCAAAATGTTTAAATTTGCCGAATCACTCTTGTCTAACTTCGTCACAGACCTGCTACTAAAACTAATTCTTCATATAATTGAGCGTCGGCAGACTGGTCTTTCACATAAAGACCTGTTGGTCGATACCCATTTGCCAGGAAAAATTATGCCTATACATATAAGGTTGTGCGATCATACTGACCATCACTACCAATCTAAGAAGTATTTTTCACTCACTAAACGCAAAAGGTGGGATTTGTAGCAGAATTGTATCAATAATTATCCTAATAACAAACAATTGAATGACTGAGTAGATTAACAATTAGTCAGGAGTATTCTGCTTGTGGCAAACAACAAGTTCTTCGTGGATTCCGAAAGTTGTTATTACGCAAAGTACTAAAGAATAATGAAGGCACAAGACAATCCCTCAATACACTCATTAAAACAACACCGAAAGAAAAAACAACAAGCAAATAAACTTTTGCTGTTAGAATAATAATATGCATGGATCATCAATAACAATTTGAATAGCTTATTTATCCATATATGTTCTAGCTCGAAACACTGATATATATAAGTATAACTACATATATACTACTTTTCTCAGTCATTCTTCATTGTATGATTGCGTGAATGTTCTGTATATCATTTTGGGACAAAATATTTAGTACTTGAAAAACAAACAAATATTACATAAGTTTTATCTTTTTTACCTAAAAACTGTGATTCTATTTTTCTGTTTCCTTCATTAGTTACCCTCTTTATTCTTATTAATACAACGGTTAAATTAAAGCATTATGATAATCTGTTGTTTAAGTTCAAAATAAAGTAAGATTACTACAAAAAAGTATTTGACATTTTGTGTAATAAAACAGTTCTATTGCTTTACAGTATATTTAGTGAAAAATATTCAAGACAATCATTTTAATGAGTTATCATTAAGTTTAAAGTAATAGGAGCGTTACCAGTTATAAATCACAAAGTTTTATTAGCTAGTTTGAAGTTGAACTAGAGTTTTAGTTACCATAGAATATAAGGTTGACTGAATTCTATTATCTTAAATTTAATATGAACTACTGTCAGCGCTGAATATGCTTGCGTTATCTATTATCCTCTATTTGCTATTTTCAAAGTTAAGAAAGCTCACGATTTTTTCAGGCAAACCGTAATCTTGTTGCAAAGTTCAGCCACAGAAAAACATGTAAACTCTGAGGCTTTTCGAAAGGCGAATGATCGATTATACCCACTAAAAAATTTTAAACCCATCTAAACTATACAGAATTACATCTACAATTAAAGTGTCCGGTTCTTATATGAGTTCTCTGGTCCTATAATTATGATGTCTCTAAGATGAAATCCGTTTTAAGTGACCACATAAGATTCAAGTTAAATAAATGTACCAAGAACCTGACTGATTCAACCGAAAAAAGAATCGCGAAAATACTCATCGTTCTCCTGAAAAAGACAATCGATAACTCCACTTGCAATAGCCTACGATCTCGTGGGTCTCGTATGCCCCATATTTATGGTTTATCAGAAATAAATAAACAAGGTACTCCTTTTAGACGTATTCTGTCAATTTTCAATTCACCCTAACACAAAGTTGCACGATGGTTAGCGGATAAGTTAAAACCAGTCCATCAACCATTAGCCAGTTATAAATTAAAGGAATCATTTGGATTCGCTAACAGTATGAACCGCATAAGTATTGATGGTAACTTTTTGGTTTCCTTTGATGTGACATCACTGTTTACAAAAATAGCACTTCTTGAAACCATAGACATGGTTTGCCAGCATTCTGACATTCTACCTCTACCAGCATCATAATTCAAACGACTGTTAATCATATGTACAAAAGATGTTCAGTTCCAGTCCAACAATATCATATTACCCATAAACTGATAGTGTAGCAGTGGGAAGTCCGTTAGGTCCTGTACAAGTAGATATTTTCATGGTTGATCTCAAAAGAACCAAGCTCAAAGAAGCGGTTGATGAAATGATGTATTATTCGAGGTATGTTGATGATATCTTCATCGTATGTAATAATCAACAACATGCAACAAATCTACTAAAACTTTTCAACGAAGCCCATCCGAATATCCGTTTTACTATGGACCATAAAAATGGAAACAAGTTCCATTTTCACGATATCGCAATAAAACGAAGGAAGGATGGCACAGTTCAACATTCAATTTATAAGAAAGACAAATGAGTGAGATTTGTCTCAATTTCAGTAACCTTTTTCCAATCAGTTACAAAAATCACTTATTAAAACACTATTTCACAGAAAAAACATTACGTACTGCCGATACAATAGAAGAAAAAGCAGTAATGAATGTTAAAAGCTGTTAAAAAGAAACGACGAATACCAACTGAAATTTATTCTGAAGTATCAAAAACGTGAAGATAAAAAACCTGAAGAAACTACAGTAAGTAAAAGACATATTTTAATCCAACTTCAATTCAAAGGTGATGATTTCACAGGGTCAATCAATATGAGACTAAAACCTGCATTGAAAAGAATTTATCCTGCGGCTAAATTGATTGTCTTGTCCAAAATAACGGGATCTTCAACACAATCAAAGGTCGATAGTTATCCTTTTCTTGTTACCACCAACTAAGTATACAAATTTTCATGTGTCTGCCAAAGCAGTTTCATTGGTAGAACACAAAAGAGAGCCTGCGTCTGATTCAAAGAACGTAGTCCAAAAAGTGTAAGGTTGATTGGATTAAAAGCATTCGGTAGTGCCATCTCAAAACATCTCCTTGACACAGGTAATCAAGTCGATACACTGAAATCTTTCAAGGTAATTAATGAGCAATCAAACTCCAATCTTTTAAAATTTGCTGAAGCGATAGCAAACAAACGTCTCAAACCAGATCTATGTATACAAAAAGAGACAGTAACAAATCTTCCTTTGCCCTGGTAACACTCAACGCCCCTTTTTACTTATAACGTCATTCATTATTTCAACTCTTTCTGTCATTTTTCTTCCATACATAACTGATTGATTTCAATTCATTTCTTTCTTTATTACCACTAATATATTTTTGGTTGCTTTATTACATAATTATCTAATGCTTGTTAAATCCATGACTTATAATCACTATTTCAATGTTTTGGAACTTTCCCTCCCAAACTTTATTTATCCAAAACAAACTTTTTATGACCTTATTTACTTTATCGGAACTTTCGGTACATTATGATACACATATTCATCTCCAATCATCCCCGTATTCATAAATATGTTAATACCTGTAATGACTTTGATTTTAAAATATTATAGGTTGTAAGCAGCCGATGAAAACCTGACGGAATAAAATGAATATATATTATTCTGCACCAATCTTCGTTCTTGCTCTTTTTAAGATAACCAAGGAAATTATGTGCATAAAATTCTTATAATTGAGTTACGGCTATCGCCTGCATTCGCTGGAAGTTGGTTTAATCTTTAAAACCTTGTCACCAAGCTGAAACTAACTCATTTTCCAAATATTCATATGTTATTTCTCTGCGTGGTTTTTTTTATTTATTTATTTTAACACATAGATATTGGTACAAGGAGGCACCAAATACATGTGCTCCACATAAATTTCATTCGGTATGTGTGAGGGCTGCGATACTGCTCGGGTGCCCAAACCAAAGCAGGTGGTTTCCTTAGGGAACCACACCCCGAGCCTTCGACTTGAAGGTCTGATTCACAAGACAGTGGAGCATCATAAGGAGACGCATTCCCATGGTAGCCGGCGGCCAACGATTGGTTCACACGCCATTTGTTCCTTGAGAATACTGGAGCCCATGTGCACCATTGGTTTGGAATCAGGGTTTTACAACTCCTCTAGGTGGACTCTCTATGCCCACCAACCCCATTAAAGCGCCGGACATTAGCTTTCCGTCCTCTCAGCTTTGTAAACAACATTTGGGAGCATTTCACTACGTGGTTCACAAGACAGTAATGAAGAGATATGTTTTGTTTTTAATCATCTATAAGAATGTTACAGTGTTATTATGATAAGCATTATAAATCTTTTACACGAGTTACTTCATGTTCACAGTTCAGTGAGAAATCAAAAACGGTTAGCTCTTGAAGCTAGAGTTCATGCCCTAATCTACTAACAGTGGTAACGTCAAGCGGTTGGTGTGAAACCAATTTTTTGTTTTTAATTGTTGATAATTCTATTTGTTATCCTTTGCTAATTAAGTGACAAAATAGCACTCTGATGAAGAATTAGATCAACAAACCTTGTTAGTGTTAGACGTGTTTGTTTCATCAGGTTAGCCTCTGCCTAAAAAGAAACAGTGGCATTGAGAGAACCTCAACTAAGTTGATTCCCAAGTTAGCAAATCTCCCATATGATTATCGACTGACTTAACCTAATTCCATTGAGATATAGAGGTGAATTGACCACAGTCCTTAAATAACTGAGTGACAAATTTACATATGATATACCACCACTTTCCAAAACAGATAATTTACGAGGACATCATAAGAAAGTTTACAAGCTCAGAACAAACTGCCTATCAGTTGACTATCGATTGTCCCATCGAGTTGAAGATGGCACAGGTAGTCAGTGTTTGATAACGCTTTTACCAATAGCACCTTTTAATATAACTCGTACCCACCAAGAAAAATCAAAAGACAGAATCGAGGAGATCGGAAGAGTGTATTTGGCAATTACCAGTATATCGGAATTGTCTGATCTAATCTGGCTGGCGATTGCGGTGGATGCTGAACACGGCGTTCCCACACGTGATCTGGTGCGGATGCATACCTAAGTGCCTTCAGCTAGGTGAGCCCATTAAAACTAATCTGATCAGCATCCAATGTCGAAAACTTACAGAGCTATTTATCCTGGGGATTTATTTACCGCTACAGAATCATCAACAAATGGAATTCATTCCCTCAACACGCTATTGGAGATCCATCCGTCAATGATCTCAAAGGAAAGTTAGATCGTCAGAGAGATCATCATATCCGGAACTAACACAGACCACCTAACCTCCCGTCCTTTCCAAAATGAAACTGTATGCTCCAAAGTTACCAATCATTGAAGTTTTTATTGATTTAATTCACTCGTAATTTCTAAAAGCCTCTATTTTAATACCCACCAACATTTTCGTCAAGAATATTACTTCATCTACATAGACCAACTCATATGCTACCTATCTTATATGGATAAACTTCGACATGGTTATATGAAAACTTAGTGTCAACATTATCGTTCGGTACTCATATTGAGTCAGTTTCTACTGTTTTATTATCTGTATGTATTTAGTTCAGTTGAAATTATCCGTGGCCACGAGTATGTTACACAATAACCTATAACTTTTTCTCAATAAGATGAATTATGCATTGAGAAATTTCAGATGTGAACTATTTTTATTGATATACCAAGGCTTTTAAATAAATCATTCACGATGTAATTAGACGGTAATAAACCAGTGCAATAAATTGGACTCGTCATATTCTAAATGCGTTATTCAAGGAGCGTCGCTCATAATGATTGATTCAATAATATTTATTTACGAGCATACTGAACGGATTTTTCCGAAAAACCACGCTTGTGATCATACTTTTAGTATTGTTTGAATAGGTGAGAAAGAGCCCATTTACTTATGTCTGTAATATACCAAATATCTACAAACACGTCCACATATACAGAAAGAAGTTCGAAAACACAACCTAGATTATTTTTCATATCTCGTAACTACTGGTGGTCCACATTTTGCAACATAAAAAAAGGATTATAGGTTAAATACGTAAGCGGAAATAAGTAAGCAACTCTCAGTGCAAATTCCTACACGGCGAAAGTTTCGCAATCTTTAGCCATGACCAAATTTCATCGTTTTATAATGCAATCCGTTAATCAAATAGCTTGCATGACGAGACTTTGTAAAGCACAACGATAAGAATAATTTGGCAAATCAGACCAGTTTAGCCAGAATTATAACAAGAAAATTGTAGACCAGCATATCCACCAGGAAAAAAATTAACCACAACAATAATCTGTACTAATATTCCAAGTTCTTAAACACAAAATACCACGTTATTACTAATAAGCAATCAACGAACCTGTGTTACTTTCAACCTTTGAATCATCTTCAAATGCTTGATTTACTTCAGCCTTCTTGGATTCATCTCTTCTTATGATTCTCCTGTATTGTTCAATAGCTCGCAAACGACTAGACCCACGTAGTGAGGTACGAAGGAATTGTTTTTCTCCCTCCTTTTCTTTCTCCAAATCTTGCCTTTTCCTGACTTCTTCTGCATAAAACTCCAAATTCCTATCTTTTTTGTGGCAGATAATTTAAGAAGAAAAACCCTACCCATCTGATTTTCCATAGCGAGTATAAAATATTAGACAGTCACTAACGTCACCTTAAAGTAACGCAAACGTTCGGATTATCGCTCATCCGATGAGATCATCAAATGATTCACAATAGTACAAATAGCTCTGCACAAATAGGAAAAACTTTAGCTTAACGGGTTTCTGTATCTAGTAGTAGTGGATCACCGATGTTTACTGGTAAGATCTTAGATGTATTAAACGGTAAAATGAAGAAAAAGGAATTAGTTAAATAGAGCAAGATACTGTACTTAATCCTTAGTAATATGTCCCTTTTGTCTTAAGGAACTGCAGGGAAGTCGCTTGGACTAGCCCAGCTGGTGACGAATTCCAACATTTGACTACTCTTACGGAGTAGAAGATGTATCTACAGTACGTTCTACTATATTGCTTCCAGTTTCTGTGTTATCACTGACGTTCTTGTCAGGACTGAGCTTAATAAGTCGTTAAAAGGGAATTCCCGGAAGTGTTTAGGATAATATGAGTCATCAGGTCACATCTAAGTAGTTTGCACTCTTATCGGTAAAGGTTCAATGACTGGAGGGGCTCTTCATTAAGCTTGAATTTAGGTCTTCAGTCTTCAGTAATAAGGATAGTAGGTTGATGAACCTGTGTTAATCCTGACACATTGCTTTCCAGTGAAGGTCCAGCTTCTCCTTGAAAGTATTCACTGATGGGGCTGATACCACTTGTTCGGGTAAGGCGTTTCAATCATTGACTACTCGATGAGAAAAACGGGACCCCACTTTAAGTTTATTAGATCGTGGTTTATGAACCTTCTTGCTATGACCTCGGAGATTATTAGTGCTGGAGGGAGCAAAAAGATAAGACATATTAACACCCAAATCATAATTAAAGATACGAAATGCCAGTATGAGGTCACCTCGTGTCCTACGATACGACAAGGGGAAAAGGTTTGGGTGTTTTAAACGCTCATTGTAAGGGAGTTTAGAAAAACCTTTCACTAATTTCGTTCCCACACGCTGGACATACTCAAGTGAGTTAGTATCCTTTAATAGACATGGGCTAGCTGCTTGGATATCGTACTCTAAATGTGGTCTAACATATATGGGATATAAAATTCGAAACATTTCCACGTCAAAAGATTTGAACGCTCGGCGAAGTGACCATAGCGCACGAAAACCTTTGACAGCGGCTGCTTTGCAATGCGTAGTTGTTTTTAAGTCATGACTTATTATTACTCCTAAATCTTTGTGTTCTTGAACGCATGGAAGAGGTTTATCATCAATAGTATAACGGTAACTATTACCGTGACCGATGTGCATTAGCACACACTTCCTAGTATTGATTTCTAAGCCCCACTCTCGAGCCCATCTAACTAAATCGTCCAAATCAGATTGGAGATCCAGATGATCAGCCTCACTTTTTATTGTTCTCCAGATTTTTACATCATCCGCAAACAATAATGTCGACGACCTAAGTAACAGTGGTAACTCATTAACGTAGAGAAGGAGGAGCAGTGGGCCTAAGATGGTGCCTTGGGGTACACCACTTTTGACCGGCTTCCAATCGGATAGCGTTCCATTCACCCTCACTCTCTGTCTGCGGTCACATAAGAAGTTTCCTATCCACTCCTATACAGTACCTATTATTCCGAAGCTCGTGAGATTCTGCATAAGACCTAAGTGTGAAACCTTATCAGATGCTTTGCTAAAATTTATGAATCTCACATCGACAGACAGACCTTTGTTTAAGGCTGCTGTTCAATCCTCTCTAGCAATAAGCAAGTTAGTCAAGCATGAACGCTTGTTACGAAATCCATGTTGCTCATGAGCTAACAGATTGTGTGAATCTATGTGGCTTAGCAACCTAACTAGAGTTATCTTTTCAAGTAACTTAACGACTATGCTAGTTGGGCTGACAGGCCGGTCTCTGTCTCTGAATGTCCTTAAATATAGGACTGACTATAGCATCCTTCCAATCTCTAGGGAGTTGAGCGAGTGAAAGGGACATGTTGAAGAGCGTCGCGAGCGGTTTTGAAATAATGTCCGCAAGAAATGACAGCAACCATGGATGTAGCCCGTCAGGGCCCGGTATCTTACAAGATTTAAGGTTAGTTATCAACGGAAGGACAGTTTCCACAATCACCTGTACAGATTCAATGGTTGGTATCTCGGTGTGAGTGGGACAAGTATTTGTTACAATAAACGTAGAGAAGACTTCGCTAATATAGTTCGAAAAAGTCTCAGCTTTCGCTCGATCTGATTCAGCTGGTAATTCTGAATTTTCGTGTAACAGTAACGGGAGAATACCATCACTGCGTTTCATTCGCCGTTTAACATACGAAAACAATCGCTTCGGACAAGTACGGCTATCATATAATAACTGTCGTTCGTAAGTGGAACGGGATTTGGCTATGGTTTTCTTACAGATATTACAGAATTTTTGGTACTCACGCTTAAATGGTGCATGACCTGTCGACAAAAATAAGTCCCAGAAATGTTTCCTTCGATTTAACAGCTTCCAGGTTTCCTTGTTAATCTATGGAGGGCAATGTGATAGCTTACGTGCTGACCATGGGATAAACGGCGACGTTACGGACTCGAATGTAGCCTTAAACTTATTCCATTCATCTTCGATCAATCCATCCGCGTCGACCGACCAATCAGTCAATATAGCACAGTTTCTGATTTCCGGAATATTGGCTCGCCAGATATTGGGATGGTGTGGAGCAGATACGAATTGTATACCATGTGTCCTAAACTTAAAGTGAATTACAACGTGATCACTGTTCACTAGTGGAGGAAGGTGCTGAATTTCAAAAACATCCTCACAGTGGTGGGTGAGGGCGACGTCCAGCAGTGACAGATCATGATTGAAATCAATATGTGTCGGTTTCGTGATACATTGTACAAGTGCACACTGAATAACTGTAGATAAAAGGTCGCTATCGAAACCACTACCTGGAGCTGTAAGCTCTATCTAGTTGATATGCGGTGCGTTGAAGTCCCCAATGATGAGACAACATTCTGCCATACTCCAAGAACAGATATGTCTTAGGATAAAGTCGTAAGCAAGACAAGACGGACTACGGTATATTCCCCCTATAGTCACCAACCCATTTCTAGATTTAATCTTACAACATGCAACCTCACATGTGCCACTGATATGAGCCTCCGATATGGTTGATTGTATACGAAAGTGATCCCTAACGTATAATATTATACCTCTCCCTTTGCGACTTGAAACTCTATCACTTCTGATACAGATATAACCAGCAATGAAAGGAGGACGGTCTATATCAACGGTGAACCAAGTTTCTGTAACAACGATTATATCGGGACATAATTCTTGCACCATCAAACTTAGCTCGGACGTTTTATTTCTAAGACTACGAGCGTTCGTGTAGCACACACTTAAGGTGTTTTGGAAATCAATCGATCTACCCATACAGGTCTCGGAAGCATTGGCTTCCAAGACCTGACTTCCGAAAACCCTTAATGGTAAGGTTATTTTCGCCATTTAATTTGCGAGTCCTCAACTCCGTAAGAGCATTCTTCCACTTGATTCGATCCTCAAGAGGCCAATCTGGTTGAATACGGATATTTGAGGCACGAGTTTTTAGATCGCTTTTCAATAATATGTCTCTTTCTTCAAAACTCCCGAGAACCAGCTTCAGGATCCTTCTTGGTTGGGTCTCGCCTCCAACCCATTTACCAAGGTACATTAAAGATGCCTCTAACTAGAAATTTCGACGTGTTGTACAATCTTACGGAGCATCATAAAGATTCGCCAACACTGACAAACTCTTGAATGTGCATTTGATGTGCTACCGAGCAACATTGAAAGTACATGGCTACCTCACCCTCCATTCCTGTGTTTCTGTCGTTGCAAAACAAAGAGATTACATTCGATTATAAATCAGATTCTAAATTTTTAGACTGTTGCGTTGATTATAAATACAAACTTCATGTTCTTTTCCACATATCTTAAATTTTTCCCAGAAAAAGTCAATTTGGGAAAGTTGCTGTCATACGTCAATATAACCGAACCGCATAACTAATGAACAAGTCGTCACTAATGACACTCTAATAACATATTAATTGCACACTGTTTCTGGAATTAATTTCGAAGCCCTAGCTTTGGAACAACTTAACTAAGTCATATAAGTTTGCTTGAAGACCAAGATGATCAGTCTCACAAGTTATTGTCCCGCAGATATTGATGTTGTCTGGAAAAAGTGCCGACGACTTCAACAGTCTTGATAAGTTACTGGTGTAGAGGGAAAAAATGAAGCCCAAAGTGGTTCTTTGGCATACCCTTTTAAAAGATTTTCGTCTGAAGATTGTCCCACTTGCTCTCACCCTTTATCTCTGTTTACAGAGAAAATCTATCATCCACTCTTATTCTGCACCTGTTATTTTGAAGCTCAATAGCTTCTGCATAGGCCATAAATATAAAACATTATCAAGTGCTTTGCCACCATCTATGGAAATCACATGGACAGACGAACCACTATCCTGGGTGTCTGTTTAGTTCCTACTCCCAACTAGTAAATCCGTTAAGCAAGAACGCTTATTCTGAAAGCCGTGTTCTTCAAGAGTTCATAGACTGCATGATCCGTCGTCACTAATCAGCTTAACCCGAGTTATGTTCTCAGATACCTTGAAGCAATTCTAGTTAAACTGACAGCTTGGTAGTAAGATATGATCTGTCCTCTTTCACATTCAAACATATTTCTAACTATAGCATTCTTCCAATCCCCAGGGGGTTGAATGCTAGTAACAATAGGTTGAACAACACTGTGAATGTCCACGAGGGACAACAGTAATCGTGGATGTGGCTCATCAGGCCCTGGTGACTTACCAGGTTTAAGGTCAGTAAACATTTGACTAACAGCTTCCTCAGTCACAACTATTGGTCCAGTCTCCGGTAACCCAGTGGTGTGGCTATGGGGAGTGTTAACACATATAACCGTCGAATAGACCCAAATCAAATTGTTTGCTCAAATTTCAGCTTTAGACACACCAGTTCTGAGAGCATTTTCTACGCCGTGACAGCTTTAAGGTTTTCCTATCGATCCGTCGAGAGCAATGTGATGGTTTACGTATGGACTGTGTGGTGAATGATAATGCTAAGGACTGGAAAGTGGATTTACGCTTATTCCATTTGTCTTTGACCAACTAATCTGTTGAGACACCACAGTATTTGATTACTGGATGGTTAGTCTCCCAGGTACGAGGATGGGTCGAAGCGGAAACTCACCATATATTATGGGCCTGAAACCTGTAGTGATCTCTGTCTGCTACTAAGGTCAGGTACTGAATGTTAGTGCCATTATAATGTCTAGTACTGTGTCATGCCCACATGGGTTGTTCTAGCTTCCATGCAGTCCAGTTTATTCATTCTTACTGAGTCAATGTTTGAGCTTATTAGTCATTCACTTATTGACTGTGACTGTTTTTGGATGACAGTATGTGTCACACAATTGTCCATACTGAATCATCCTTTCTTGACAGTCAGTAATATCTGTTATAACCTTTATAGAACGCATTAGGGTCTGGAATAAAACAATATATTTTATGTAAAGACTAAGAGTGATAATGCTCGTGTGATCTTGATTAAGCGACCTTCTTTTACTTTATCCAAGCTTTCAGGGGTTAATGTACCTATTCTTGGTTATTATATGCTTAGCTCTGAAGATTGTGTGATTATGAATCAAGTAACTACGGTTGTACTAAGGCATGAAAAATTCATAATTCTAATATTTATATTGGGCCATATTGATTATTTTAGGATCGAATTTAGTGGAAGGATGCTCTTTCTAAGTTAATAAATCAAAAATAAAATGACGTAACAAACTTCGCGGGACAGAGTTCCCGGGTAGTTATGGTTTGGAAGCCGATGCTTCCGATACTAGTATAGGTAGAACGAGTAATTCTCAAAGCACTCTGAATTTATGTGACACAAACTCTAGCAGTCTTGGGTTTAAAACATACGATATAAACTCAATGACAGATGAATTGTGTCCCAATATAATTCTTGTCATAGAAACGTGGCCCATAGTAAACGCACACTGCTTCCCAATAATTGCAGTATGTATCTGTAATAAACATTATAGCGTTGTAAATCCATAGGCAAGAGGTGAAGTGTTAGAGATTAATTTCTAATACGATCGGACACATAAGAATTACGCTACGGTGGCACGTGCAGAGCCGTCTTATGTACAATCAAATCTACACGTAGGTCAGCAACTAAGAAGGTAATATACCGCAATCCATGTTGTAGAGCTAGCAACTTTGTCCCAAGTCACATTTGCAAGCACAAATGTCACACTCTAGGTCTGGACGTCGAAGGTTAGTCCTTAGTCTCCGATTAGGATTAGAAGTTGTGGTTAAGGTATCTATTTACTCCTTTAGTTAATCTAGGCATTAAAGTTTCTATTATTCTCTACCAAATTTTGAAGAGTCTTCGTGTTTGAAAATAAAACTCATGTGCCCTCATATTCGACCTCTTTGTGACGAACCTATGACAACCACCTTAAAGCGTTTAAAATCTAATGCACGAGGCTAAACATGAGTCCAGTAGAACCTCCTCGTCCTCGTCACTTCCGAGTAATAACACTAAAATCACCTACGGTTAGATTGCAACCTTTACCCACCCAACGAGTATTACTACTTTTATTATATGTACTACTACAGCCTCTTCTACAAGTACAAGTCAAATTCACGACTATCAGTCGTGTTTCTGTCGTTCCATTCCCACAAACTACAGTAAAATTTCCTCAAATGTCTTTTCTGTTTTCTCTTCAAGACCAATATACTTATTTATGCCATCCAGTTTGTCTTGTGAGAGGAGTTTCTTCTCCGTATATAGTGAAATGATGTTCTGTCACCACATCGGTAGTGTTTACAATAAATTCATTTTTAGTGAGCTACAATTTGTTCGTGTTGACAGTGCGAGATTTAATACGGCTACGCGTGACATTGCTCTGATATTCTCCCTCTTCCTAGCTCGTCGATGATAAGAATGTCAGCCTTTCAAACATGGGTTAGGACTCATCTGACAGTACTATCACACTTGAAGTTTCCTCTTCATGTTGTTTCAGTCTTACCGAACAGGCATCAGTGCTTGATAATTTCTTCATTAGTCTGAGGAGTTTTTAGTGGCATTGGGCCCTAACCACACGAGACAACTGGAAAAACAGATATCCAACGATGGAGAAGGTGGGAGGAATGGATCTAATTAATTGATTAATCGGATGGCATGGCTCGGCCTTGCAGGCATGGTCACTCTTGATTGTTGCCTTATATCTTTTATTCGTATTAAATATATTGTTCTATCTTTAGCCTAAGTTTGTTCCCCATCATATATGGGTGATTGTTACGATGCGATGGGTTGGTGTAGACAGTTATGTGACTTACTTGTAAGATCTTATAGATTAGGCAGCTACATCATGACAAATCCACAATTTAAGGAGTGTCTATAATTAAAGTGGCACCCATATTGAAGTACACCATAATTCTGCAAACTACAAGACTTCATTCGATAGTAAAGCTTTAGGTAATGCAGCATTCTCTACATAATAAAAATGAATCAGGTTTGCAGAAACGATTATACGCGGCCGGTAATTAAAAAGTTCATATTCAGTTGAAATATCTCTTACAGTTGTTTGTACTCTATGTCATCTTCAACAGATAAGAGACAAAATGGTCGACCCCATTGATGACATCGAAAGACTACGTTAACAGGTATTTTTTGCATAGAACAGAATGAGAACGATAACGTTTCCAGGCTGGCCACGGAAATGCAACAAGTAGTAACTTTAAACAGTGATAATTAAAATATCAAGACGTCACAAGAATTACAAACTCGAATCTTGAAAAAAACAAGACAGGGCAACAGTCAACATGAGCACACAGATAAGCAATAATGAAAACACTTCAACTAGTAAGCATTAAGGAAATGGTTGGAAAATTGTCGTACAAACGCAAACAGTGCTAATAGAACTAAATATGAGTTTAAATCTCGCCTCTGGTAAGATAGACGCAGAAGAAATCTTTCATGTCAAAGTGTGGAAAAATTAACCTTATTTCAAATTCCTCGGTTATTCAGCACAATAAAGACTAACTTTCACTCTCATAATACATCTCTGAACATGGTTCGTCCCGCAACTATAACACGAAACAATTTTCCCTACTCTATTCGCTGCCAATACAGTAAAGCAAGAATATTTCTATTAAAACTCCCTAAAATCAAAAATCAAATATACGATAAGCCCCCAAGTATAGTGGCTACTTTCGAAACGTTTATTCGATAATGAATTATCACTTGACGACTTTTAGTTAGACAGTGGATTGTAGGAATGTGCTTTACCAACAACATCTGGGCACATGGAATTTTTTTCAGTCTGAGTCACGAGGACTTCATTGAAAATAATGTGCAAATCTCCATTCATTTCCTTCACCAACATGCAGTCGTCACTGATCATACCCCAAGTTCTGTGGGCTCCCTTTTCGACTAATCTTCAGCAATCCTAAACATATCAAAAACAAGCGGGCCGAGTATCCCCAACTACACTTCACCAGGTGGTCCTAATACTGATTTACAACCATTCAAATCCAGAAACAGTTAGCATTACTGCAACTCCACATCCTAAAACAAAAAAATAATTAGACCTCTAACAAAAAGATCTATAACTTCAGGAAAACAATCGCACGAGAATCTATGATGATTAGGAGTATTTGAATTATAGTACAAATTGAGAATCCCAGAAATAACGTAATCGGATCAAGAAGTACTAGATAACCACAAACGAATGTACTGTATTTAGAATTCGAAATCAAGCATTCAACAAGTATAAAGGAATCATTAGTTCTTTCAAACACCACAGAGTCGTTTTCAACTGCTTCAGTTGTTCCTCATAAGCTTAATGAGGTTGAAAGTTGATCGCTTCATTGTTTACAAAATAACTAGTAACATGAACCCTCACGACGAGTGCCTCCTGCTTGTAACTTATAGCAACGAACTTTCCGGGTACTTTTATCCAAGAATGTGATTTAAAGTATAACAGAGATCTTCCCATTTATAGCCTGTTTTTCAAAATATCGTAGCGGTGAATAAATCCCCAGGATAAATAGCTCTGTAAGTTTTCGACATTGGATGCTGATCAGATTAGTTTTAATGGGCTCATCTAGCTGAAGGTGCTCGGTCATGCATCCGCACCAGATCACGTGTGTTAACGCTGTGCTCAACATCTACCGCAATCGCCAGCCAGATTAGATCAGACAATTCCGATATACTGGTAATTGCCAAATACACTCTTTCGATCTCCTCGACTCTGTCTTTTGATTTCTCTCGGTGGGTAAAAATTATATTAGGTGTTGCTGGTAAAGGCGTTATCAAACACTGAATACCTGTGTCATCTTTAATATCGTCGGCATGTGCGAACACAATTCGCTGTTTAAACAACTTCACTATAAATCTATTACATGACTTGTGTGCTCACATACTGCCCTAAGTCGGTGTGTGAACACATAAGACAATAAGATGTCCCACCTGTCATCCTAACCCATTCCACATCACGTGCTATTTGTACTTTTGTTGCAGGTCCATTATTTTACTTATTTTGACCACATTCTGTTTAGGTAATTACTTACATCTTATCTTGCTAATTCTTTTGCACTCTTCGTCAGGGCTCTAATTTCAGTATCACAACCCCAATAAGGTCGACCAACTATTGTTTAATGAACTGACATCAGCTGTGGCTAAGGACTATTTTTCCCAAGGGAAAACCTACTCCCTGCCATCAGTATTTATTAAGTACGTGTCATAATCGTTAACAATATCAAAAAAAAGTAACTGGACAAACTTCGATAGACAGATCTAAAGACAGATAAATTCATTAATAATAACATTACACATCAAAGTTGATATGATAAATTATGATAAATCCTTAACAATAATAGTCTCTGTATGTTTTTAAAATTCAATTGATTGAGGGTAAGTTATTCATCACGTCCAAACTCCACCTCGGATGATTTATTTTTTACAACACATTTCTAAGTTTATTTACACCAGTTTTCCAAGGTTGCCACTAAGCACGAACTTAAAGTTGATGGCGGACCAAGTGTTTTATGGTGAACTAGCGATATTAGGGTAGGAAGTTCACTTCATTTCAAAAAGATTTTCAATTTGAAGTGCTCCTCACTGTTTGTATCCGTGGGACCTTGTTTCTTTATAATTATAACTCTACTATCACAAATAATGAATATGTTCCTAGTACTTCCCTTGACAAATCTCATAATAATATATACTGTTATGTCGTTGTTGCGACTGTATCCTTTAACTAGATAGCTCGTTTGTCGGTGTATACCTTACATTTATAGTTGCTGATATAGGACTAAGTTGGCGATTATTCAGTGATCAAACTTCCGCCGGGATCATCCTATGAAGGCTGGTACATTTACAAATATCAGACGAAACTATTAAACAGAAGTAAATCGGCCGTATAAAACTCGATTTTTCGGGCATACCAAGCGTCATACCCAAAAAGAGGCACACTTGTTTTCTTCATTAAGCATCACTTGATCGACCGGTAAGGGTGGACATCCCAGAGAATTCCACGTCGTGCATTATTTGCCGACCCTGGGACAGGTTGGAAAAGGCGGAGAGATGGTCAGTATATGACATGGTGTCATGGCATGAAAGAAAGCTGCAAAGGACTGGCTTGTGTTGGACCTTCACGACTCCCTGGCTGGGGTCCGAGAAATGGTTCTACACAGTGGCCAGAGACGTTATCAGATATGACTCAGAATAGAAGCCAGTGGCGATCCTGCTGTGAACTTCTTTTACTTTCTTCATAAAAAGTGGTTATATTTTCCTTAACCGAAAGATTTGTTCCTTTCCCTTCCCCCCTTATTACCACTATTATTACTACACTACCTTATACCAATCTCTTCCTTATTGTTCTTTTTTTACCCTCCTCGCCATTTTTATTTTTCCTTCTCTTTAAATCCTAATTGTTTTGTGTGGCGCATATGTATTTGGCGCACTCTTGTACCAATATTTATGTGTTCAAACAAATAATAAAAATAAAGAGTAGACTAGGGTTAGGTGAATATTCTGTATGATAACGTAGAATCTGTCTTCTGTTTAGTTGAGAATACCTTGTCAAAACAAACATTGACATTTTCGTCATTGTTAGATGGGAATTAGGAATCTCATATATCACACTCTTCAGACAAAAATTCCATATTCTATGCGCTTAATTAACGTGGTTGGTTGGCAACAGCTGTCATATAAGATTACCAAACAAGACCACTTCGTAAATATCGTGTTTTGAATCTTGCATTTGCTACCAAAGACTGGATCTCCAGATGTCAGATGTGATTGTTATACCCCGAAAATTAGTCACATTATTTCAGGTATTTTCTACGCTAGTATCCATTTACTGACAATCAGAAAGGCTTCAAAGAATTGAAAGTGACAATAAAAGTATTAGAAACGTGTAAAAAAAGTGGTATGCTAATGTTAGCGTAAAGGGAAATTTACCAGTTTCTTTTTAAAAAAATAAATCCAGACGCTTGACAGCTATGGCTTTGAGAAATTCCGAAAGACTGGAGTTCGATTGTTTGCTAATCATCTAGAAAGACTTTGATGTGCCAACTTGGTGTCCTTTGTCGAGATATCTTGAAGTAGCACTACTGTTAGCCTTTTTAATCTGTATGGGAGACTTTTTAAGATACATTCTATAAACCGAACATAGGGTCTTCTTTCATTCAATTCGTATTATTCTACTTGATTCTTTGTTTTTGCTTTATTCAAGATATCAAACGTAATCATATGTGTTAAATTTCACAATTTAGCTCACACAATGTCATGATTAAATCTAGCGATCTTTACTAAGTACATTCACTAGAAACGATATATAGTTTGCGTATATACTCATCAGCTTTTACTAAATTCTACTGTCCACAACGCGCCAGCAGTACACTCAGTCAACAACCAATTATTATAAGCTTGGAAATTTCCCAACTCCTCTCGAGATTTATTTATGGAATATTAATTCCCAATATAGTTTATGGTTCACAGTTTTTTCTTAGTATTTAGACGGAAATATTTGGTTGAAATTCTACTTAGCACTTTCATTCCATTTAATTGGCAATTCTCAAACTTGTATGCTATGATTGGTTGTTGTTTCCGTGAAACTCATGGTGACTTCAGTTTCACAAATCCACTTTTCTCTCTTAAAAGAGTAATATTTTCAACTTTATTTTACATATTGTTAGAAACAAACCTTCACAATCCATACAAATAGTGATTTCACTCAAATATCCAGACGTTTGCGTCAACGAAGCAAATGACAGTACTCAATTGATAGATGCAATGCAGGTGTAGTTATTCCAATTAGTTAAGATACAGAGTAGTAATTAGCATTGATTTTTGCTATTATTCCGATGTTTTGCATTTAACATTGAGCGAAAATATAATAGTTAGATTAAACATGCCTTGTTACCTTGTTATTTTCCTTCTGTATCAAATTATAGTTATCTGTCCTTGGAAATGTTTCAGCACTTTCTACCCCTTTTCTCGTTTTTATTCTTTTTATATACACTTGAGCCTTTATCGACTGACGGTTTTATCACATAACGCATCTAATTGAGTGCATCAAGTTTTGAATGTTGGATAACCACTAGTAAATCTAGTTAGCAGGTTTTATCATTCATTTTGTTACATCGGCGAAGAGTGACTAACTAAATGTTGTTAAATTCATCTAAGTCTACCTTGTTCGTCTCACTATAAGTCTCCTTTAACCATTTTAAAAAATTTTAACAACTGTGCTTGTAGTCCATTATTACCAAAGGAATTCAGATTTCGTACTACTCAATTTTTCAATACTCTTCATTTTTAGTCTTAATGGTGCTTTGGCTGAGTCTGGAAATACTGCACGACACACATCTAAAATATCTTTGTTCAAACGTCGTGAAGCAAATGGAGTTCGACCTGGACCCGTGAACAAGGTTCCTAAAGCTAGAAACTCAGTCGTAAGTTAACAAAAATAACAATATCATGGATGTATGATGAATTATACTGTATGACGTATACTAATTAGTAACTTTAGCCTTCAAATAATGACGAATTTGATTTAGTGTTTTACAATCGGAAATCGTCATAGATTGAAAAATCATTGCAAATCGAAATTCTTGTCTTTCTTATATTGAGAGCCTTCAACCTACGGGTTAAAGAATCATTTATTATTATTATTTAAACACATAAACATTGGTACAAGGAGGCACCAAGTAGATATGTGCCACATAAATCATTCGATTTGTGTGTGGGCTGTGATACTGCTCGGGTGCCCAGACCGAAGCAGGTGATTTTCTTAGGGAACCACACCCCGAGCGTTTGACCTAAAGGTTTGATCCACAAGGCAGTGGGGCATCGTGCGGATATGCAGTCCCATGGTAGCCGGCGACCAACGATTGGTTCATACCCCATTTGTTCCCTAAGGATACTGGAATCCATATGCACCATAGATTTGGAATCCGGTTAAAGCGCCGGACATTTGCTTTTCGTCCTCTCAATTTCGTAAACAACACCCCCGCCATGAGAAGGCAGTGAGTAGGACTTCCCTGGCGGAGGCTGTATACGCGTGGCCATGTGAGAGTATTTCGAGAGAGAGAGAGAGGGCAGGCCCACCACACTCTCGGCCATACCAGGGCATTTAGGGGCGTTAAAGAATCAACTTTTCAATGGATAACTAATTAATCTTGTTTGTCATCTCCCAGTTAATATGACTTTGAAAATATCGATTACAAGAATCATTTAACCATCCCCTTGAAGTAACACAGAGATATCACAGCTCACGGACGGTTTTCTTGGTCTGATAAAAACGGCGGGTATACTCAGATATGTTAAAACAACATATTACTTATAAACAGAATTGTGTCCTCATGGAGTAGTCAGTGGGATACTCACAAGGTCTTTTACATGTTCATTGATAGTACCATACTGTATAACTATAACTTCGTAGTTAAAAATGTGTTTTAGATATTGGTCAACCTGAAACTGTAGCAGATAAGATGCTCTATATAAATAAGCCATTTGTTCATGGTAACAGCTATAAATACATTTCAGAGTAGATAGGCGCTAACGAGGAGTTATTCAATAAGTTTCGTATCCAAATCTATATGCCTTAAGATGTCGGTTCCTATGACAGAGGTATAAAACGAATATGGTGTTGTTGCAGACATTTAAGGTCATTGCAAAAAACATCAGTCCGATGTCATGTGTTCAATTCATTGTTGTTTGTATATTATCTGTGTCGTAATACTGTTATGTCTAACAATGGGTTATTGATTAAATCGTTTGACACTGAACTATTAGGTTGCACGTTCGAGACTGCCCCATTTATCTCAGTTCCGTTAGCTGGAAAGCACCACTAGCCTTCATGTACATTGGAGAGTGTAATTTAAAGTTGCGTATCTGAGTTTGTATTCAGTTACCGAATTCCGACTACAAAAGAGCTACGTAATATTAAAGTTTAAAAAACTAAAAAATATCGTTTTTATGAAAAGCACAACTATATTTCAATTAAAAAGTTGATTTTTCCATGGTTCGGCAATTTTATCTCCATATCTACCAAGTTTAATTGCAAGTTTTTTTTTAAAGTTCTGAAAATTATTGATTTCAGTTTATGCACATTAATTCGGTTTATGTTGTCTTGTTTGCTTATATACTTCAGACATATGTGTAAATAGAATTACGAAAAATTCACATACTTGTTTGCATAAATTGTTTCTTAAAATAACAAAGAGGACAATAGAGCGGAAAAAAGGAAGTTTCAATTCCTGTGTAATTTATACATTATACTTTAAATCCAAAAATTCACCGATTCAAAATTATCACAAGATAAACTCACATTTACCTCGAACCTAAGAAATGAATTGGTAGCTTGGTGGTAGAAACGTTTGACATACAAGCACTGACTCGTAGGTTCAAACCCTTTTTCACTCACTGGATAGCATCATAATCGTTCGTACATAAAATTTTGATTCGTTACCAAGTGCATTAAACTATACTTGTTACATTTAACTTTAATTGTCCATAGTTTTCAACCAAAGTGGCATTGAAAGGTATGGATTTTATAATCTTCCATACGATATCGTCACTTCCTCATTTAAACAAGTTTATTGTAATTGGCTGGTAAAATAAATTCCAGCTCTAACATTCATCGATTCATGATCTTAATCAAAAACTTAAAAATCTCTACAACCCCACACTGAAAACACCGATTCTGTTACTCTGTTACATTTGTTTATAAATTGTTCAGATTTAAAAATCAAAGTGGAATCGACCAGTTGACATTATTTTATTCACATGAATAAATTATTTACAATAATCAGCAAGGATTAATGAATTATCTACTTCTATACTGATATTTTCGAGCAAAAGTACACAACGCTTGTGATAGAAAATGAAGCAAACAAACTCTATACTGATAATAATCATGTCTTCACTTATGACTAGGTTCTAGATGCAATACTCAAAGTAAGAACTCGTGGCTGATGGAGTCTAACTATATCGGCTGTGAGACAGGTATTCACTCCAGGCAATACAATGTTGTCTCACAGCTAACATTAATAGAAATTGTAATCGGTGTATACTTTTTAAATTTACGGTGGAAGTTTCAAAAGACAATAAATGATCAAATGATTTTAAGATTAGAAATTTTGCTTACTTATCATCAAAGCTAATTTTTCTATATTTCTCAAAAGCCATACGCCCAAAGTACACCCATTTTTCCGTGTGTGCTATTATTTTCTGAGTCATTGTATCAACTCAAACAGATATGACTCTCTGGTAATCTTATTTCCCTATGAGTCTGACATGATACGATATGTAAACACCCTATTTCTTATTTTATTTTATTTGAACACAAATATTGGTACAAGGAGGCCCCAAATGCCCTGGTATGACCGAGAGTGTGGTGGGCCTGCCCTCTCTCTCTCTCTCTCTCGAAATACTCTCACATGGCCACGCGTATACAGCCTCCGCCAGGGAAGTCCTACTCACTGCCTTCTCATGGCGGGGGTGTTGTTTACGAAATTGAGAGGACGGAAAGCAAATGTCCGGCGCTTTAACCGGACCCCAAACCAATGGTGCACATGGATTCCAGTATCCTCAAGGAACAAATTGGGTATGAACCAATCGTTGGTCGCCGGCTACCATGGTACTGCATATCCGCACGATGCCCCACTGCCTTGTGGATCAGACCTTTAGGTCAAACGCTCGGGGTGTGGTTTCCTAAGGAAATCACCTGCTTCGGTCTGGGCACCCGAGCAGTATTACAGCCCACACACAAACAAAGTGAAATGACGATATAATCAAGATTATCAAATTATTTTCATAAAAGTGCACGAAATTGAATCTGAACTCTTAAAACCAAAAATTGGGAATTGTGTTTATTCAACCTGTATATGATATTTCCATTGCCTTTCGCACGCATAAATTCACAAGTTTTATAACTTACCACCCGTGAACAACACCTGACATGCTTTGATTACTGAATCCACTTTTAAGACTCACTACTAATTAGTGAAATTTTTCAATTTTCTCCCTTTTCCTGAACTATTAATGCATGGGTTCAGATTAGTACCACTTAATTCATTATCAATAAGTCTCCAAGGATCTACCTATGATTTAACTTTTTCTACTTGTTTACCTGATTTATTCTTGGTTTACATAGACCGTTTGAATCGAAAATTTATTTGGTCGGTGATTAGATATGTTCATGTTTCTTTCAATGAATTTTTAAATATTAATTTTAGTCTATTTATAACCTTATATGGCTTTTGTTCATATATATATACTGTTTATTGAATTCTTTATTTGTACCAAATACCACTGCAGAAAATATTGCTTAAAATATCACTTGAGTGTTATTATTTAACAAAAATATTAGCATATTTTAAGCTGAGTTAGCTGATGTTCTTTGGATTTTTTATTAAGTATTGATCGGTTATCAAATACAGATTAATGTGCCGGAGCCCACAGAATTGTAATATCACTAAATTGTTCAAACTTAATTAGGTAGTTTTGGTTTCAAACCTGCAACCTACTGGTTGAAAGCCGAGTTTTAGACATTATTTCACAGATTCACCTATAACTTATAGGTTTTTGAAAATAGTTTTTCATCGCAAACACTAAGGAGCACTCAAAATAAATATAAATTTAGAGCAATCTAAAGATTGTTACTTGTTATTGTATTCCAGTGTATGATCTTCAAAGCCTGGGAATATGATTTATCCTAAAACCATGTTTTTCTTCCCCACTCTTTGCTATCAAACACGGCTATATAATATCGGAGTTGTTAGATTCGATTCGAGATAACGGAATAAAATTACATATATACACTCCATGTATAGTGTAATTTTATTAGCAAATTTAATATTTAGTGGATGACATGTTATTGACTACTGATAATTTTGGCATCGTTTTTCTATGTACATTTGAAGTAAAAATAAAAGATTTGTAGTGATTCATATTTCATTTAATTAATCCCAACATTTATTAAGTAATTCAGGTGTTTATTCGATATGATCTAGTTTTCTTAACTTCAGTTGATTATATTTATTGATGTTAGAGTGATTTTCTGTCAATCCTTCCTAATTATATTGATTTTTGTAACTTCCTATCTATTTTCCACTATGGAAGTCACTATCTAAGTCTCAAACCATTATCTATCTGGGTTTTTTTTGTTTCTTTCTATATTACCTATGTAATACATAACCTACTGAGAGTTCAACTTTCGTTAGGTTATTAATTATATTTTCTAATTATGTATTTGATATACATGTGAAACTAATTTATAATGTACTATGTTGAATTATGCTTTTCGATTGACCGCATATCAACAGTTTATTGACTATTGATTTTTACTAATAATTCAGCAGTGTTCGCATTTTTTTTGTACCAGAAATGTGCAAAATAATTATAGATTTTTATTAGCCATCACTCATTAGATCCTTTTTCTCAAAATGTAAACTAATAATGTTTTTTTTAAACATGTAATTCATTTGAACCTTTTATTTTCAGTTTCTATTAAATAAATACGTTGAGCACTTATTCTTAACCACATATTTATTATTTAACGATTGAATAGTAAATGAATTCATAGTTCAATAAATATAATACTTGGAATTCGACTTTTAGATTATTAGTTCAAATTCTATTTGATCTGGCAAACTTTGAATAGTGCAGTGGCATTTTTATCATATCATATATTAAACTCAGTAGTGTATAAACTGTTAGAAAGTTGATTAAGTATATCATTGCATTAAATTAAAATATACAAATCTCAAAACATATTATGCAAACAATTCTGTTATATTAACTGATTATTTCATAATAATGGATCATGTCATCTTCAGAATGTTTCAAATTATTCCGATGATACTAGTTTTTTTTATTTTACTCCTTAAAATATCAGTGATACAGTTTATAGGCTTATTCAGTATGTCCTCTTTCCTGTCATATTTCAATGTACGCACATGAGATGTTATGGCCATTATTGTATTGATGTCTAATAGTTATCATTTTGAAAATGATTCTTTAAAAATATTCCTCGTAACGTAGTAGCATCCAACAATACAGTCTTGTATACTACTGGTACTGATTACCTAGGAATATAGGGATTCCTTCTAAAAAAAAACAATGTGAATTCAGTTTAGAATTAATGAATAGGTATATGTAACCGAGTTTAAGCTTAACAGCTTAATTGCTAAATAAGTGAACTATATTATATTATAGTTTACCTCTCTGTTAATCAATAGAAAAGAAGTAATAATGTCTTTTTACTAGCCGTCTTCTATATGTAAGGTTCATTTTCAATGCGTTTATTATTGCATTACTTCAGTATCAAATACTCCTATTTAAGTTAAATGACAACTTTTAGTTAAACAGTAAAATTGATGAAACACCAATAAAGTAATATTTTGTTTTTAATTAATTTATCGTCATTTATGTATCAGATATTTTTAGAATAATCAAACTTTATTTTATAACTTGTCCGTTTTTGAATAAATGCACTTTACTATCCACTAAGTAAATTGATTGATAATTGAATTTTTCTCAGTAAATATGTACATGTTTCGGTATCCGGATACGATCCCGAACAGTAACTACTTAACCTTTTAGAGTTTAAGAAGTAAGCATGTAGAGTTGGCTCTTCAGTACAACTAACTATATGATACAAAAATCTAATCTATGTGACATTAAATTAGACATTAAAAACTTAACTTCATAGGGGTAAATATTGATCGCTGAATATTTTTAATTAAGCTATGTGTTTACTCTGCATTCTTTTGTTTTCTTAAGGACCCACATGAGAAATAATAGAAAAACACTTACCATATCATCAAAGTTTTGCTCATTTACGTACTGAACTTATAAATAATTAAGACTGTTTAAAGAGTTATAAATAGAACAGCTACTTTATCAAAATTGAGATAGTGAAAATTTGTAGCTCAGGTGGATGATTTTGGTGAAGAGGTGGTTCAGTCGTGTAACCTTGATCGTTCTTCTCAACGACATTATCAGCACGAACTCCAGGTAAAAGGAAAGTATTCGATTTTCGCCACATATGACTCACATCTTGTCCCCTCGATCTCGATTGGTCATTATCGACCTCTAACTTGTCATTACCTGCCTCTTTATTTTGGTCGTATCTCCCTTTGATCTGATTTTTGGTCCTATACTTGTCCATGACTTTTCTGATTGGTTGGTAAACTGGATCGATTTCGACGTGTTTGTTGATTGACCTGAATGCCAAGCTTCTAAGAACTCCCTGGTGGTGTTAGTATTCCCTTCATCAAAAATGTCGATATTGATTCAATCGAATGTGTGTCCACATGGAGTGATATAAGTGAGGTATATATACTCATCCCCTTAAGCTGTCGATATATAATTTTCTTAGTTATTTCACCTCTAATGTTCAATGTTTATTGATTCATGTAAACTGAACTAATAAAATCTACAGTTCCCTAATTCTGTGCTGTTATTATTGCCTTGGCTGATAAAAACTACTTTCTGAACCAAAAACTGTCCTTATAATTTTGTATGTTATCTTATAAAACTGAATTTTTTAATCTTCAGTTATTATCTTTCATGATGGTTCTACATATACACCAGTTACAACTGAAGTCTTCGAAAACATAGTAGATTTTGACACCTTCAAATCTGTCTTATGACTTTAAATTACAATTCTCTTCAAGCAGTGCCATCATCATGTGGTTTCACAACATTTTTTTGAACTTATGAATATTGTATGAACGAATTAATGTCTTATGTTTTCCCTAAATACACACCAATCTTAGTCACGCTTTCTTGTTCAACTTTATTCATATCTCCCTGTTATAACTCTCTCTTTCTTCTTACGGTTAATGACCCAGCTATTCCTGTTGCTTAGTATTCTCGGACACCGATTCACTCGACAAGTCCCCAAATCAGAACACGGTTGAACAGGAAAAAGATTATATTCCGAATAGCAAGTCAGAAGCACAATAGGGGAAAACGTCGGTATATTTATAGTTTTTACATAAGAAGATTCCAGAATATTCCCCGACTATCGACTAGTGCTGATTGGATAAGAATCAGCCAATCAGCGTGCACCAAAACAATCATGCATTGAGCATGCTTTAATCTACTCTATGTCCCGCTAACACTCCCATAACTCACTTGATTTTCGTCTTATTGGTTCCTGTGTAGTGTATGCTTATTATGCTGACATATGTAAGTAGTATGTAGCTGCAATCAGGAGTGGGCTGCCTGTCAGCGGAAGAGTAAATTAAGAAGAATAGGAATAGAATTAGAGAGCGATTGAGGTAACAACAGACTTGAAATAATTCTTAAGTACGTAAAGGATATCTGAAGGAAGATGTACAGATGATATACCTAATGTATGATTGTCATATTTTATAAAGTCACTATGTAAATTGGGTTTCCTCACCTGAGTTTCCGTTCACTACACCTGTAGTTAAAATTTCCTAAAATTCCGGAATTTCGTTTTGTAAGTAATTTTCTTGAAGCGGTTGGGCAAATACGAGCACTCATATAACATTGTACGTATGGTACTTTTTATTGAATCCAACCTTTTATTTAACTTCATTTAGCCATATAGCCTATTTAACAAATAGTGAAAGTGCATCAATCATTTACTTGAATTTCATCGGTTACTTATTCATTGAAATTAAAGTGATGAAAACTTTTCATTGTGTTACGTACTCTGAGTTGTATGGTTTAATTACCAATGTTTCGTTATCATTCTAGACAACTTTATCAACTCGTACGTCAAGTAGATGATAATCTTCAGAACAATATTGGAAGCATTGCAATTAAACTAAAGAACACAATACAAATCATCTGAGCTAAAAAATAATCTCCATCATGATAAACACTATATGGTGATTTACTTTGATTAACTTATTAACTGAACTAAAGTAAATCAGGTAGATACTCAAAAACCATCTGTTTCACTTCTGTGTACGTCAACAATAAGTTTTATTTATTTCATCAAATTATATTCTAAACTGTAAATCATTATTACATTACTCTTTTTGCTTCTTCATGATTTTGTTGAATGATTTTAAAATGATTGACTAGAAAGAAAATACCCTTTGAAAGAAAATATATTTACTTGATTCTCATGCTATTTAACACCTATTAACAAGTTGTATTATATACCACCTTCCACAAAACATACTGTTTCAATAATACGACTTTTCGTATGATGTTGAATATTATATATATATATACCTCACATCGACATTTTTGGAGGGATTTTTATAATAATTATTTAAGCTTTATTTCTCCATTTTTAGGCAGTGACAAATCGCAATACACCTGCCATCTCGTTTACTTTATCGAGGAATGTTACAGTAGTTGTAGAATATGTGCCTGATCCTAAAGTGGATATGTTTCAGGTGATTCTCATAATTGTCTAATATATTCACTTTTTTCATTCAATAAAGTGTAGATTGTATTCCTTATTGTTTAAAACTCTAGTTTTCAGCAACAGTTGACGTTATGTTAACATTACACTTCCATTGAAACATTATTATATTTTGTCAATGTTATAATGACTTTTTTGGTTAATAAAGTTGTTTAGTTTTACTTCAGAGTATTAAATTTGTGATTTTACTATTCGACCTCTTCACCTCCAAGAACTGCACTACGAGTTTGAATAATGCTCAACTTACTCAGTTTTGAGTATTTGGATAGTACCAATAATTCATACACAATGAATGTAACTCGAAACCTAGTGTGTTAGATTGCGTTGAAGTCGGACACAAACACAACAGATGTAGATCCCAACTGAACAGCCTTCATACAAATCATTTGATATCAGCAAAATAGCCTAAAAATATTTTAATTCATGTCCAAAGTTAGTAACATTCGACATTAGATTGTACACATTTTTATAGCAATTTTCTCACTCATATATTCGACCGAACTCAAACAAAAGTATCCTCATCTTTCGTATTAACTTTATAGTTTAATTTGAAGTACAATAATAACTGTTTATTTTTTATAAAGTTAGAACTTTTGATTGTTTCCAGTTCAATGTTTTTGTAACATTTAATTTTATTTATCTATTGCTACGTACTTTGATTAATATTTTTTATAGATTGGTCGAAGTACTGATAATCACATAGATTTTGTTGTATCCGAACCAAAACCGTCAGTTAGTCAAAATGATCAGCAGCACGTCAATCATAATATTAGTAATAACAATAATAATAAACAGTGTAAAGATAATTCAAAAGATCCCAATCGTGGTAATTATGAAAGTGCGGTTTCACGTTTTGCTTGTCGTATTCATATTGATCGTGATCCACCTTACACTGCTCGTTTATATGCAGCTGGATTCGATGCATCAAATAATATTTTTTTAGGGGTAAGTGGAGTGTTTTCTTTATCATTCAGTTTAAAATGTCAAAGCTATTCATGTTAACAAATAAATTAGCTCATTCTTGATCTAAAAAGAATTCATATTATTGATGTATACTATTGGTGTTAAATAATGTATATCATGTTGAGGTTGTTATGATCTCTGAGCTGAATGGATTGGTTGAGAAGCTTTCATGTTTCGTTTGAACAACATCATCAGCACGTACTTCAAAGAGAAGCGAGTTATTAGAATCCCATCACAACTGAATAATAGCTTGTTTTGTTGACCTGAAATTTGATTGCTTTTTTATCTAACTGTGTGGCCGTTGCTTCTATGTTCTTTTTAGTTGTTTTCTCTCTTAACTTGAATTATGACCTTGCCTTTGTTAATTCTTTTTCTTGTTGGTTGAAGTACTTGTTGACAGTGTTGCTCAAAAGAGTGATGAAAGGTTCACAACCAATCCATCTAGCTCAGAACTCACAACAGCTTCAACATCCTCGTCATGAAGTACAAATATTCTCCATCATATAATATACATCAGTATATGGTATTGTATTATATAGCGTATTACTGTTTTCAGATGGGACTATTTGTAGTCTATCAAGAACAAATTGGACTAATTAAAAGTAATCAGTGGAGTAGAAAAAGCTTGCTGAAATAACGTTGTTCAATAAGTCTAATTATTTGAAGTTCTCTGTTGATTATAACACATAAATCCAAATCGGACTGGTAAACTTTGTTGCAATCCATACCTATTGTCTGAGATTAACACCGCTACCGTGCTAATCAAATTTTATTAGGTGACTCCATCAACAAAATCCATGTGCTGAGATGATTGAACTACAATATTACACCGATAAACAAACTACGACAACTGCCTGGCATTAGCTTGCGTCAATTTGGCTAATAACTTGGAATCACTAGTGTTACTAATTTTCAATTACATATATCCGTCATCAGTATTTATAGTATAACAAGAAATATTCTGTTCGTAGTCCGTTGAATGTTGACGTGTAGACAAGTTTTCTAATTTGACCAGTTTTTTTTAATTGAAGACATTCAGTTGTGAAATAATCATCGAATATTGATCTTACAGGCACTTAGATTATTGTTTGTTTTTCTGAATTGGCCAATTACAAAAGCTTACTTTACCCAATCCGTTAGGTAAATCCTACATATGTTTTCATTCTAGTTTGCTTAGTTTATAAACTTAATGGTTGGTAGACTAATTAACACCAAGGTGTATAACACAAGTTTTAATCCTTTCTATACCAGATAGTTTGTGGACATGATGAATCATCTCGTCAAATATAAAACTCAGGTTAATTTGCTCCCCTACAATGGTTTTCTAGCCTGAACTTACTGTATGATAAGATTTGAAACATAATTGGTTATGTGTTTTCTAATACAAAATGCTAAAAATATATGAGAAAACATTTTTACTGATTCCCTACAAATTTCTGAAACGCAACTATTTTTTTTAAACATCTATCAACAGTAAACTGGTATATCACGCTGTTATATTCAGTTTCTTGTAAATAACTTCAATACAATTATCCTAAGACAAATGATAATTAGCTAAGACTAATAACAAATCGAAATTAATGTGCTGGATTCATGTTTCCATTGAAACTGTAGAATGAATCCAGTTAAATCAGTTTTGATGATGAATAAACACAAGTAGGATGAAGCCTACAATCCAGATTCCACTAGTAACTTTTAGAAAGTATTAATTATTTGTTTATCTGGTCTTGTTTATTAAACGGTAAATATATCAATGTTCTATTTGCCTGACATACAATCTTAAATAGCTTCAATCGAAATGTAGTTTGCTTCTTAGATAACAATAAAACGTTTTTTGGGTTTTTTTTATTTATCATAACCGTTGATATACATATACATATACATATATATATATATATATATATATATATATATATATATATATATATATTGTTGTGTACCACCACTTCCTCAGTTAATAAAAGAAACGAAATAAGCGAACTGATAAATAGCTAATGTTTTTATCTGACTAATATTTCATTATTGTAATTTATTTCATTGTTTTAATCATTTTAAATTTAGAAAGAAGTTTGTTATACCCATTTTTTGGTGACTCAGTGATTAAAGCCCTTAATCTTCAATTATATAGTTTCGAACATATGCAAAACATACCAACTTTCGATTAATAGTCGAATACATAAACTGATACTGGCTTTACTGAATTACTATAACAGTGGGTCAATCAAGAATCGCCACATAGGGACACGTTGATACATTGTGCCAATCAGAAACTGCCAAATAAGACGTGTCTGTGATTGGCCAAGGAATGGTATTATTTTGCAAAAGATAAGACATTAATTACTGACAAGGTTAACTTCCTAAGGGATAAACACATGTACCTAAATGAGTGTACAGTTGTTCCTTGAATCCATTTAGTCTAAATAAACTTCCTTTTTTTTACTTTTTTTCTTTTCTTTTAACTGTTTGGGATTGTGTACGGGAGGAATGTGTATCAATATCAGCTCTCGGACACCACATATCCCAGCGATTACGTCATACCTTTTTATTATTTACTTAATATGAATGAATAGAGCAGTTGGCCATAAAAAAATAAGTCTATGGTGGTTATATTTAGAAGTAATTTTTACTTCATAGCTCTTAATGCTGAGCTGAATTCATAGGGCCAGGTTTTATGTTAATTATTTGGTGACTTCTAGAATGGTTTCTAGTTTAACATTTACTTACAATTAGACAAAACACTATGTGATCCAACTGAACCTCTTATCTTGTTATCAATTAAACCCAATAGATATCCCGACAAAATTTGAGGTGTTAGTCCCAAAGTTATTGGAATATACTTTCTTTACTGTTATCATGATTAATTTTAAAGATGTTTCTAATTGAATTTCATATACTAGATTATTTTTTGAAAAGACATATCAGTATATGTTTTTATAGACTAAAAATACTGACTGACAAAGAACGACAATCAAGCTTTAAACCATGTGTGCAAAAGTTAGAATTAAACGGAGTCTCTCAGTTATCATAGTTTTCCATCTCATTTAACTACTGTGCTGCAATCTAAGATATGTCTTGGTTATAGTTATTATGTCGTAAGTCTCGATGGGATATCACTTGTATTTGATTGGACAACAGATTGAGTGATGTTAAATCTAGATATAGAGTAAAGAGAAGACAAGAAAAACGAGTTAGTTGATAAGTTTATAAACCGTTATCTAAGGTTGACAAAGCATTTGTAACGTTTGCTGAGCTATCCTATACTCCGGTGTACTGAGTTAACTTCGGTGTTCTAAAGACAAAAGATAATCCAATATTGTCAAACCAAGACTCATCTTTCATCCATATAATCTCTAACTACATGTATGAACTATACCGACATCCTGTGGGAGTTTCATAGAATAGCTACAACTGATAATTAAAGAGTTTAACCGAAATAAGTGAAAAATTGTCACTATAGCTCAAATTCACTAATTTTTTCATTTTTTTTTCTAAATAAAAGGTTTGAACAATTAAGTTTCTCCTGTCTTGAATTCTACTACTTATTTTCTTCTAACTTTTCAAACGGTGTGATTTTTTTAGGTTCCATTTATGTTGGTCACTAATTTTCCGTCTTTAAGCAAATGTAAAATTTTAGTGAATTGATTCACTGTTGTATTCTACTGTACGTTACCACCGATCGTTCTTCCTCATATTACGTTGCTAATTATAGACTGAATCTATGTTCATACTATATTTTTTATCACTTCAATTATTTTAATTAATAAATCAACTGTAACTTAAAACAAAATTCAAAACTTTATCTTAAAAAATCTGATTCAATTCTGAATGAAATTCTAGGAAACTGATAAATACAAACTATAATTCATTTCCGTTTTAACCATATAAAACAATCGGATAGATCAAACTGTGGTACACTATTTAAGCCTTAGGGTAAAACTGCTTTGAATTACATAAAACATGAAGTATTATTAGATTTTTTTCATAATCACATACTTCTGTTCTTATACAAGTTTCAAACAATATGATCTTCGGAAAGAGTACATGTAATAAAAGCATTAACAATTGTATTATCTAATTTCAACAGTCAAGATACTGCCCCCAAATGCCCTGGTACGGCCGAGAGTGGGGAGAGTCCGCCCTCCCTCTCGAAATGCTCTCACATGGCCACGCGTATATAGCCTCTGCCAGGGAATTCCTACTCACTGCCTTCTCGCAGCGAGGGTGTTGTTTACGAAAATGAGAGGACGTAAAGCGAATGTCCGACGCTTTAACCGGATTCCAAACCAGTGGTGCACATGGGCTCCAATATCCTAAGGGAACAAATGGCGTATGGACCAATCACTGGTCGCCGGCTTCCATGGGACTGCATCTCCTCACGATGCTCCACTGCCTTGTGGATCGGACCTTCAGGTCAAACGCTCGGGGTGTGGTTCCCTAAGGAAACCACCTGCTTCGGTCTGGGCACCCGAACAGTATCACAGCCCTCACACATACCGAATGAAATTTGTGTGGCTCATATGTATTTGGTGCTTCCTTGTACCAATATCTATGTGTTAAAATAAATAAATAAATAAATACGAACACAAAATCTTGACGTTATGTGACAACTGCATAAGAATTTGGTTGATCGAAATACCAAAGAAGCTACGAACAGTCATCATCAAATTGTGCATGTTCTCTTTTTTTCACTTGTATACTGGTTTTAGACTTTTCATATTACCACAATAGTAAGATATTCCTCGAAATCTACGCAGTGTATTTATTTGAACGGATACTTTGCTTTCATACAGAATAGTCAGTTATTATTTTCGATAAAATTCAAATTTTACTCAATGTAATATGCTTAGTTCTCCATCAGCGCATATTTTCGAGCTTTTTCGAACTTACAGGAATAAGATAATAGACTGGCTGATAAATGTGATACTCTATACCAATACACATTCGTTTTAGATTCTGCTTCGTTTATGACTGACGGACTCCTGTTTTCGTCAGTCATCTATTTTTACACCTTAAGTATGCATGATGTAGTATTCATCCAAATGATCGACATTACAAGTCTAGTCGTTATTTCATACATTCATGCACCTACAACTCAATCCAGTTTGTAACTGATGATATTTAGGTAAACCCAGTATATTATCAGTTAGACCGAATACCAAAAAAATTACCCATCTTTTTCCATGGAATATAAAATCGCCTTTCAAAAATGCTTATTTTCAATATCTACATTCATTTTCTGTTCCATCTTTGGCAAATTGATTTATATCAAATAATCGATAAATATTTCGTCTATTGTTTTCCCTCTTTTTACTGATGACCGCTTCGCGATTCATTACCTACCATATATGTTAACTGTTAAATATAACATCAAGATATTAAAACTGTTATTTATTCGGGTCCAAATATTGCAGTTCATGTTTTCATCCTTTGTATTCTTTTTCTTTTAAAGAAAAACAAACAAACAATAGAATTCTAATTTAATGGTCAAGTTGAAATGCATTGCTCCTTTTATAAATTTTGATAAATTAGATTCTTATATTCTTATTTATTCTTTTTTGGTTTTTCAAAATATACATTTTTTTCAATGATTACACTTTAACAATACTCGACGGAATTGAAAATAAGAATTAACTGCACATAATACATATTTCAAAGACAAGTGTTTTCAAAAGGATTGATCTCAGCACATACGATTCATCCTCGCACTAAATATGCATTTCCTATTGACACTAAATTAAAAGCTATTTCATTAGAAATAACACAACACGTTTTTAACCTCTGAAATATTTTTTTTCCTTATTTGGGTGTGCATATTTACTTTTAACCAGTAAAGATTACTTTAAAATGATAAAGATGGTTCATCATACGCTTCTACAGGTCAGCTGCATTTTAGCTGTTTAATGTAGACTTGCCTACTATAAATTGTATGAAAGAGAATTTCTGTAAGGTTTGTAAAATCTAAAACCTGCTTTGTTATTAGTCATTTTGTATTTTTGTTATATATATTCTGGGTCATTCATACAGTTTGTTCTTCAGTAATTCCAACTGTTCCTCAGTTATATTAAAAATTAAGACTGATCCAAAGTAAATTCTTTCAGTCATTCATTAGTGACTTGTGTCTAAATCTGTGGTGCATTATTTAAATAATCCTCTAAAAGGTTATCGTAAGCATGAAATACAATTATGTGATAGTAATCAATTTTACTACTCAACTTAATTTTTAAATCTCTTCAGCAGAAAACTTTTCAAACAATACTTTTCATAATCTTCTTATTTACTGCTCGATAAATCGAATAAACTCAACCCTTGAAATAAATAGAGTTGATAGACACGAATAAAAGCGTTACCTGTGTATTAAGAAATATAATATAGTAGTAGTAGATTCATAATATGAGTAATAATTGTTACAGTTACACTACCCGCATATATGAAAGCATGGTTGTTAAATTTTTTAGTCGGGAATTGATTTCCCTCATCCAAACTTTTCCACAATTTAAGCGTATTTCACAAGTTTATCCGGTCAAATGTGATTAAACTGAAAGATATTGGTGTTTCATAACATTATTTATTAGTCTAATTAGTATAAGAAGATATAGGTTCATCCTCGCTTTGCGTTTTGATGTGCGCTGAATTAATGGTCGAAGACGCTAGATGGCATATTTCAAAACCAAAGTAATGCAATCATCCTTTAAGTCTATTTCCTCATTTTTTTCCCATTACCCCTGCTTCTGTTTGATATTTTTCCATTTTTTAAGTTTTCTTTCCGTGGTATCGTGTTATGTGGGAGCTTAAACTAAAGCACTTGTATCCGTCTGTATATGTATTTAATCTCAATGGATATGTCTTAGACTAGAAGATTGGTTGTCGCTTTTTATAAAAGTATGGAAAGAGAAAAAATGTTTGAGAGAAACCTTCAAATACTTTTACAGCCCCACTAGGATTATTTATATATTTATTTCTTTGTACTTCAAACTTTTACCGGTCTATGCTCCCATAATTTGGACCCATAAAAGGGCCCAGCACGATGTAAAACGCTCATGAGTTACAGGTAGATTAAGAACTATATCGTGTCTATGCCACTTTTTTGTAGTATTTCCCTTCTGGTTAGCGATGTCTTTAGCAAGGTTTTTTTCTACTCTACTTTGTCCGAGTTTGGAATCAGGAGTAATCTGAGAAGGACTGAAGACGGAGTAAATGTTTCTTTCACTGTGTGAAAATATTAATTTCAAACCTCTACGCCTACATTATGTAATCATCTCTATGTGCTGAAAGCTAAATTTCTCATTTCAGTTCTTCACTAACAAGTACACTGGATCATATCATTCATTTAATTTGCCCAGTTGTTATTTAAACTGAAATTCATCAACAGATTTAGTCATTATGGAAAATTGCTACCCAATGACTAGTTCATAAATAATTTTCCGCATTCATTACTTCATAACTTGGATATACAATGATTAAACTATATATAACTTTTCATCAGCTTATGCATACTGCTATTGATCTTTATTTATACTTTATTCTTTCGAAAAGGAACGTGCTATAAAATGGAAGTGTGACAATTCTATGGATGGTTTAACAACAAATGGTGTCATGATGTTACGGATTCCTCCAGCTAAAATTATTGAACAAACAAATGAAGCTTCAGGTATGTCTTATATTATTATATGAGTATGAATCGAAGCAGGTAGATAATTTATATCAGTTCCGAATCCTGTTACAATTTAATAAAATATTTCATGGAAATATCATTCACTTAAAAAGAACATTTTATTATAAATGTGGAGTTTTAGTTAAATAAATATTAACTGGTATAGAGGTTTGAGGAGATTATTAAACGTTACTAATGTCACGAACCGATCCAAGTTAGACATCCATTAAAATCTAGGAAGCACTGGACAGTTTTTTCATCCCAGTGTAGGACTCCTTAGTGGGTGAGGTCGTGAATGAAAGAATTCTCACACTTCTGAGGAGTTCTATATCGTGACGAAACAGCTGTCCAGTGCTTCCTGGCTTTCAGTGGATGTGTAACTTAACTCGGTTCGTGATGTCAATGAAATAAAATTTTATCAGCGGAGTTATGATCTCGTGGTCAGGGAATTTAACTTTAGCTAATAGGTTGTATGTTCGATTTTAGCAGCCTGGCAGTATTGATAACTTTCTTATACACATGACCCAAACCGGAGTACATAAATCTTTATTTGACAAATCATTAGCTTAAATCAAATCAGACGGACATTAACATCATTTAAAGGACTGGAGAAACCGAAGAAATCACATGTGAAATGTGTAGTTATATTTATAGGGTTGTGAATAAAGTTAACTAGAAGTTTCGATTCAATGACGTAAGTAATCTCTAACTTCAACATAATAACTAGCAGTTTATGACACAAATTTGTAATCAATTATCCAATTTATTTGTTTGTATGACGCATCTCGTAGTACTTATGTCCAATTGGATTTGTGGTCAAATGGATTTAATGTTTTAGTGTTGCTTGTCATTGAAGTATTTAGAGTCATGGTACTCAGTATTTTCTCTTACCAATTTCTAGTGCTTTCAAACATTTATTTCAGTTGTCTCGTAGACTTCAACTAGAACATTTAGACACCGATACATCAACTCATATCGATAGCCTATGGCCTATTGAACTCATTCTGTACCTTTGTGTGGCTATTCCAACCTCCTACTATACTAGCCAGCATAATGTACCGAGATAATTAGTAGCTGGGATTGCTCAAAGTATCTCTTAATTGTCTGAGTCTATAAACATTCGTCTCGACTAACTTTACCAACTTGTAACCCAATTAAGATTATGCTTATTTTTCGTAGTCGTTGTTTATAAAATACTCCTATCCTCTTTTACAGTAGCCCATAAGTGCTTTGATTCCAATTTCAGTCTATGAAATCAATGTTGGACATAGTTCAGTACGTGATTCTGTTTTACCTATTATTCAGCACCTAAATCTTCATGAAGTTAGCCTAGTTGAACTATTCTTAGAGTAAAATACTAAAGATTTCACATCATATTAATGAAACCTGACATTGCTACGCCGTGGATAATTGATACATCACTATGTCAGGTTAAAAATACGTGAAAAGTACTGGTCGTGTTTGACTTTAATGTCATGTGTGTAGTGTTCAACCTCAACAACGTGTCGATGTTATCCAAACCTGGTTACTTTTGAATGTATTCATTCTAAGTGTAGCAAATAAGAAAAAAATGGATTCCTATCCCACTTTTATATGCCACTAAAATAAAATTTTAATTCAATAAAACATTTTACTTCAAACAGTTCTTTTGGTTCAGCGTGTAATGAATTAACTTACTTACTTACGCCTGTTACTCCCAATGGAGCATAGGCCGCTGACCAGCATTCTCCAACCCACTCTGTCCTGGGCCTTCTTTTCTAGTTCCATCCAATTCTTGTTCATTTTTCTCATGTCTATCTCCATTTCTCGGCGCAGTGTGTTATTTGGTCTTACTCTTTTCCTTTGGCCTTGAGGATTCCATGTGAGGGCTTGTCTTGTGACGCAGTTGGGTGCTCTCCTCAATGTGTGTCCTATCCACTTCCAGCGCTTCTTCCTGATTTCTTCCTCCGCCGGAATCTGGTTTGTTCTCTCCCACAGTACGTTGTTGCTAATAGTGTCCGGCCGATGGATCTGAAGTATTTTGCGTAAACAATTGTTAATAAACACCTGTATTTTCTGGATGATGGCTTTCGTAGTTCTCCAGGTTTCTGCCCCAGTAGACAGTAGAACTGTCTTGACATTTGTATTGAAAATCCTGACCTTGGTGTTGTTTGATAGACAGTCGCTTTGAGTTCCAGATGTTCCTCAGTTGTAAACATGCAGCTCTTGCTTTGCCGATCCGCGCCTTCACATCTGCATCAGATCCACCCTGTTCATCAATGATGCTGCCCAGATATGTAAAGGCTTTTACATCTTCCAAATCTTCCCCGTCAATTGTGATTGGATTGGTGCATTCTGTGTTGCATCGGAGAACCCTGCTTTTCCCTTTGTGTATATTGAGACCTACTGCTGCTGAGGCTGCTGCCACACTGTTCGTCTTCTGCATTTGGGATAGAAGGGCCAGATCATCTGCGAAGTCTAGATCGTCCAACTGCATCCTAGATGTCCATTGTATCCCGCGCTTCCCTTCAGACGTTGACGTCTTCATGATCCAGTCGATCACCAGGAGAAAGAGAAAGGGTGAGAGTAAGCAGCATTGCCTAACACCGGTCTTCACTTCGAACGACTTTGTCAACTGTCCTCCATGCACAATTTTGCAGTTTAATCCATCATAGGAATTCCGTATGATATTGACTATCTTCTGAGGCGCGCCGTGGTATCAAAGAAGTTTCCATAGTGTTGTTCTGTCCACGCTATCAAATGCCTTTTCGTAGTCAATGAAGTTGATGTAGAGTGATGAATTCCATTCAGTTGATTGTTCCACAATGATCCGTAGAGTTGCGATTTGGTCTGTACACGATCTATCCTTACGGAATCCTGCCTGTTGGTCACGAAGTTGGGCGTCTACGCAGTCCTTCATCCTGTTTAACAATACCCTGTTGAAGACTTTTCCTGGTGTTGAGAGAAGAGTGATGCCCCTGTAGTTATCACACTTGCTGAGATCCCCTTTCTTCGGTATTTTGATCAGAAGTCCTTCTTTCCAGTCTGTTGGTACTTGTTCCTCACCCCAAATCTTACTGAAGAGAATGTGGAGTATCCTTGAAGTTGCCGCTACGTCTGCTTTTAGTGCCTCTGCTAGAATGTTGTCTGATCCTGCTGCTTTGCCACTCTTGATTTGTCTGATGGCCATGTTGATTTCTTCAATTGTTGGTGGGCCAACATTGATCGGGAGGTCCGTGGGTGCTGCTTCGATGTTGGATGGACTCAGTGGAGCTGGTCGATTCAAGAGTTTTTTGAAGTGTTCTACCCACCTATTTTGTTGCTCTTCAATGTTGGTGATTACCTTGCCTTCTTTGCTTTTCACTGGTCGTTCTGCTTTGCAGCGATTTCCAGAGAGTTTCTTCGTCGTGTCATACAATTGTCTTATGTTTCCTTCTCTTGCAGACTTTTCCGCCGTCATTGCTAGATCTTCCACATATTTACGTTTGTCAGTTCTGATGCTTCTCCTCACTTGCTTGTCTACTTCTGTGTATTCAGCTTATGCCTTGGCTTTTTCTGCTCTTGTTCGACTGGTATTGATTGCTGCCTTCTTGTTCCTCCTTTCTTGAATCTTATCCAGTGTATCAACAGTGATCCATTCCTTATGATGGTGCTTCTTGTGACCCAGGACCCCATGACATGTTGAAGTGATTACCTCTTTGATCGCTTTCCAGTTGCTCTCCATAGTAGTTCCCTCTCCATTGAGTAGATCATGAAAGGCCTGGAACTTATTGCTGAGGCCTATCTTGAATTTGTTGAGTTTGTCAGTATCCCGAAGAAAAGCCGTACTAAACTTTTGTGATGTTGTCCACTCCGTTTTCCAGTGCTTCTGAAGTTTCAATTTCATCTTGGCGACCAGCAAGTGATGATCTGATGCTATATCAGCTCCTCTCTTGGTTCTCACGTCCTCTATAGTCCTCCTGAACGTTTTGTTGATGCAAATATGGTCGATTTGGTTTTGTGTAGAGTGATCCGGTGAAGTCCATGTGGTTTTGTGTGTGTTTATGTGGGAATATTGTGCCGCCTATGACCAGTTTATTGAAGGCACATAGATTTTCAAATCTCTCACCATTTTCGTCTCTTTCTCCCAGTCCGTGTCGTCCCATGATGTCTTCATATCCAGTGTTGTCCGTTCCAACTTTGGCGTTAAAATCTCCCGTCAGAATAGTCAGGTCCTTTGTTGGGCACTTCCCGATGATTGACTGCAGCCTATTGTAGAATTGATCTTTAGCGTCTTCATTGTAGTCGTTGGTAGGCGCATAGCATTGGATGGCGTTCATTGAAATACCCTCTTTCTTTGTTTTTAACGAGGCTTTGATGATCCTTGATCCATGAGATTCGCATCCTATACGTGCATTTTGTGCTTGTTTGGACAGCATCAATGCAACTTCTTGTGTATGTGGTGCATTTTCTTCTTCATGGCCGGAGTGTAACAGGAGCTCTCCTGTAGTTAGTCGTTGTTGTCCAACTTGTGTCCAATGTGTTTCACTGATCCCAAGTACCTCTAGGTTGTATCTCCTCGTTTCTGAAGCAATTTGGAAGGCTCTCCCGGTGTCCCACATTGTACGAACATTCCATTTACCTAAATAAATGGTCGCTCTGGTTGTCAGAAGGGGCATCGGCCTCGTGACTTCCGAACGAATTCGGCTTTCATCATGAGGCGTCATAATTCTTCTAAATGAAGACCTTCTGACTCCCAGGGCAGAGTTTAAAAGGTTTGAATAATTTTTTCTGGTTAGCGTTTTTTTAGCGAGTTAGTTTTCTACGGGATGGGGACGCTAACCCCATGCCCAACCCTCCTCCTTTATCCGGGCTTTGGACCGGCAGTAGCCCCCGGAGGGACTCCAGGCGGAGTTAATGAATTAACTAGCTGGTAGAATATTAGCTCATATAGTTAATTATACATTTATCATTAAATATTATCTCATTGATTTATTGTAGTGTTCTTTTTTGGATAGACTGATCAAGTTGTTTTCTTCTTTCTTTCTGTTTCTTATATAATACTTTATCTGAACTCTTCATCACAATTATGAACAGATCGTGAGTAAGTGAAAGAAAAAAATTGTCTTATCTTTACTGTATTTTATTCTTTATATTTATTAAGCCTTTGAAATTTCATTGTAAACATGTAATCGCATGGTTGGATTTTTACATGCTGACTCTAGTGTTTAGGAACTGAGTTGATGTTATAAAACATTATCATAATTTCAAGTGGTTGGATTTTATAATACTTTTTACATCTCCCTTTTTGATTGATAAAGAATTAGTATGTTGGTATAAAGTATAATGGTAAATTACAATATGGATAGAAATTATTAGGTTACTTTATAGATGAACAAATTAACTTCCGGTATTATGCAGTAGAATAATTAACCTTTAATTGCTGGATACTAAACAGCAATCTAATTTTATAGAAAAATACACATATAGTGGGAAGTTTAATCAAGAACGATTATTGTTAGAATAAGGGAATATGAGGAGATTGTAGAATTATCTTAGTTTTAACTCACAAAATGATCTTATGCCATCATCGGAAATTCGGAAACATTGGACGGCAAGTTCACCCTAGTATTGAGACTCCCGAGGAGTGCACATCGACGATCCCACCACAGGAAATCAAACCCAAGACCTTCGGTTCACCATTGGATACCGGCCCAGCGGTCTATAAGTTAAACGATCTCACACGAGACCAAAGGTCTTTGGACGATTCTCTGTAGTGAAGTAGTCGATGCTCACTGCTGAGGAGTTCCATACTCGGGCGAAATAGCTGTTCGTAGCTTCCTGCTTTTCAGTGGTAGTTTAGCTAAAATTAGTTTTTGTTTTAAAAACCATCAGAAAAGATTGTGTTCTACCGAAACTTGGAACTGTGACTCAATAGTCAAATCACTGAACTTTCAACCAACATTAAATCAAAGACCTGAATCCTATCCTGCTCACCCAATTCCTTTTCCTAACCGTCAACTAGTGTGATTCAAATCCGATTACATAAACCTGTGCACTTAATAATTGAATCATATTTTTTAGACCTTGTTTCGTGCCTTATCTAAGTAACTAACCGAATCTTGTAGACATTTAGTCATTTTCAATTTATAGATTTATTTATCATCGTTTCCATCAATTTCCATTCAGAATATTTTTTTACTTTCAAATCTATATTTCATTTTCCATTACAGTTCTAATATTCGATCACAATGGCGTGAAGTTAGTGTATGTGGTTCTGTATATGAAATGCGAAGTAATCGTTGCGTACCAACTAATTTGGTAAGAAAAACCCATTTATTCTCTGTATTTTATACCCATTTATTTGTTCATTGTTATTTCTTTCCTTGTATATGCATCTTTACTTTATCATTTCGTCTAATGTTGTTTCATCTGTATACTGAATCGATCAATTCACGGATAATTTTTATGAACACAAGTTTGCGTGGAATAGACAGAGTGGGGCTAGCAGTGAAATCCAGGACGCGTGTTTCTCCGTGCCTGGGACTCGTCAGCTGGATATACCTGGGTCCTAGAGTTGATATCCACGCCAGAATTAAAATTCATATTTGCTGTACAGGTGAGTGGTTATCTAAATTCAGTAGCTAAGTAAATAAGGCGTTGGTGTTTGAAGTGAAACTCATTTGGTTAGAATTCTGGAGTGGGCATCAATTCTAGAATACAGGTTATATCTAGCTGACGAGTCACAAGTAGGACGAAACGCGCGCCCTGGATTTTATTTCTATTCATATGTATGCATTTTGTAAGAACATAATTGAACAAAATCCTAATGTAATTCATCTACCAAAATACAGATTTATGAACTTGATTTTAGGTTATACATTCCATATAACGATCAATGGTATTATGGAACTGTTGAGACGGAATTTCATGTTTTTGCGCAAAAAACTAGTACCTCTAGTGATGCCGGCTTTTCACAAGAGGAAGGAGGGAAAACGATTTTCATTCTTTTCTGCGCAATGCAATCAGTTTGCAGGAGTCCTTCCTCGGACACGTGAAGATTTAGTGGCAACATTATATATATATATATATATATATATATATATATATATATATATATATATATATATATATATAGTCGGCTAATTCGACCTCACTCTACCATTCTGAAATGTGTAACCTTTACATACGATACTTTCCATTTAATGTATCTACCATTTCAGAAATGAGTTACCAAGCGTTATATTCAATTTAATTCAATCAGATTGTTACAATAAGAGCAAGATTAGTCAACATATTATCATTTGAAGTTTGGTCCGAATCTATCGAAAGGATTTTTAATCACTTCGTTCCGGACTGAATAGCATTTAGTTCAACGCACAAATGTGCAAACTACAATTTCCTAGTCTTTGTGTAATAAAACAACTTAATTTTTATTTGACCAAACAGTACCATAAATCCTATTATCTATATGCCTTAATGAACTGAAGTTTTAGCTGAATTTGAACTAATTCTTATGACGCTTTTGGAGTAGTGTGATTGATTGTGTGTTTTGAACTTTGGCTTCCCCTTGTATTATTTTATTTCCAAAAAGTGTCCTACATTATGTTTAGTTAAATTACTTTATATCTGTATTTTGGTAGATGAATTACATTAGGATTTTGTTCAATTATGTTCTTACAAAATGCATACATATGAATAGAAATAAAATCCAGGGCGCGCGTTTCGTCCTACTTGTGACTCGTCAGCTAGATATAACCTGTATTCTAGAATTGATGCCCACTCCAGAATTCTAACCAAATGAGTTTCACTTCAAACACCAACGCCTTATTTACTTAGCTACTGAATTTAGATAACCACTCACCTGTACAGCAAATATGAATTTTAATTCTGGCGTGGATATCAACTCTAGGACCCAGGTATATCCAGCTGACGAGTCCCAGGCACGGAGAAACACGCGTCCTGGATTTCACTGCTAGCCCCACTCCGTTTATTCTATATAAACTTGTCACAATAGTTTATCGATGGACACATATCAACTATGACTGTTCAACCAATGACATCACAAATTAGAATATTGTTCGATTCTCATTATGACCTTTACATTTTAATTTCTTCATATCTTTCTGGTGGACTGTCAACTCTCATACTCCGATGCGTAACTTATTTTCATCTCCCTTTTCTTCTTTATCTCTTTTTTGACAATTCAAATCTCAAACCACTTTATGGTGTAATCTCTTTCTATTCTTCAATATATTTATTAAATAAGCATAAATACACGCAAGACTGAACGGCCGCCTCATGCTTCCAGTTTCTCGATGATAGTCTACCTATGACCATTTAGTGATTTAAAACCGAGAAAATTCTTTAATCTCCACAAGTCTCCCCATGCTAAAAATATACAACTGTGCAGCTTAAGTAAATGATATCGTCGAAGCGAAAATTTTCTCTGCGTTATCTTTATTCTGTATTCAATACCAAAACGGGCTACTTTAGTAACTAGTTAACTGTTAAGTAACGTCATTCTTCGACCCCGTTTACAAGCACCTATACATGTTTCTAGTTTCAACAACTAATCTTTTGTTTAATAAGGTTAATTCTTATACCATAGCAGAAATAATAATAATAATTTTTACGTTCTCTGAATTCTTTCCATGATTTCTACTTTTCTTCATTTAGGTTAAAGAAGATAATATTCTCACTGATATGACAATCATAGATCTATGCGGAGTAACTTTATTATGGCGATCTAGATCAGGATTAAAATATACAGCTTGTCCAGAGGATTTAATGAAAATGGTTAGTCCCGTTGTTGTTGCTGGTTTCATTCCGATTGATTGTAGTTAGTCCCTTTTCATTGTATTTTATTCGGGCGGGAGTATGATCTCACTGATGTTCGTTTACGAAACTAATGGCTAATGCTAATATCCATCGAAAAGTATTTTATTAACGAATCAGTGTCCATTTTTTATTTTAGTTTTCAGTTTCCCGGATTGTTATAGTCTTTCGTATTCTGATCTTTCCTTATAAGTGAGAATTATATTTGAAATAATCTTAGCGATTGAAATTTAAATAATCCCCACATATCCAGCAAACTTATCTGAACTTCTTCAGAGTAATAATAAAAATCATCAAAGAAATGTATAGCGTTTAACAACCAAATCTATACTGTGCTAATCCAATTATATTTCGATGCTTAAATAGGATAACATGAGTCAGTTAATTGCGAATCATGTGAAAAGTTCACGATGTGAAAATAAGCAACTGGATGAATTGTGCGTGTGTGTGTGTGTGTCTGTGTAAGATTGAGTTATTAACAGTTGATATTTGGTGTTAATTTGTTTTTATATGAAGGAAAAATAAAAGTGCAAGTTGAAGGTTGAAAAATTGTTTCTGAAATATCGACGTGCATGAAAAATGAGAATCATCAAATACATTGTTATATATTGTTAAAATAACCCACATTAATTTCAGTTAGAATAACGATGCATGTGGAATAAACAGGTTGGATAGAGAAAGGGTCCAATTACTTCTTAGCGAGTATGTGCCAGGTAGTTGTTAGTTGAATACCATCCTTTCTGTTCAGGTTGTTCTTATTCGCCCATATATACAGCGCTTCTGTTGTCGATCTTTCTCTGTGTATGCTAAAACCTTTCTAAAGTGTTTTTGGTCCCATCAAAATTGATCTTGTGTTCTGTTTCCAACGCATATAATGCTATCGCCGACCTATTCTTTCTTTAGATCGACCGAGAATTTGTGAACATTTTCCAAACGTTGTTTATTATTATTATTAATGGCTTTATTCAATATTATATTTTGTGTTCCTTCAACCTCGCATTCAATTGTCTTGAAGTTTCTCCCATATACGCTGCATTACAATCATGATAGTTGATCTCATAGACAATATTTTATTGTTCTTCCTTTGGAAATCTATCCTTAACCTTCACTAATGCTGATCTTATAGCATCACAAACCAGAAAATACATTTTTATATCATGTTTGTTTGGAATCCTTTTAATTTCTACCGATGTTTCACTGCGGTATGCGATGACGACAGTGGACCTACAATCTTTCGGTATACGTTCTAATTTAGCTTTTCCTTTAATTCTTAATAATCTTCTTTAGAAACTATTTGGAGTGATTGTTATCCTTAAACGTAGACAAAACTCCAATTCAACCCGTTATTCTTCCTTATCTGTAACGAGATTAGAACTCCTGTTAATTAAATTTCTTACCACTATGACTTTCGTATAAAACACATGAGCCGAAGAACCATAATCTAAGTATTTCTCAGAATGTGTCGATTTCCTGAATACATTTATTTTCAACTTATTATTATGTCCTCGTTTAAACAAGCAGTCGAGAAACTCTAGTTTGTGGTCACTGGACTTTATTTTCTTTATTAGCTTGATGCTCTCCGAAGTGGTGTTTACATTTTCAAACGATTATTCTGAAAGATTCCGTTTAATGATAATAAAAATGTCATCTACATACCGTAATCAGACTTTTGGTGGATGTACACATCTTGTGACGCATGGTTGACCCACAATATTATAGTTTGTTTGTTCATATGAATTCATGAAATAGCATCTCCCAGCCGTATTTTAAATACTCTTGTTGTGTAAATGAATTCTATCTGAAGTTTGTGTTGATGTTCAGAAGAACGGTGAAAGGTCCACGAGCAAAACATCCAGCTCAGAGAACAAAAGTTCATTTAAAAAAACGATATTTCCTTTATCACCGTCATCATTATCAACAGTGAAATCAGAAAGTGGTTACAATATTGATTTTCTTTATACTAACATTGCTGAATTAACTTAGTTCAATTTCATTAACTATTCTCATATGAGATGTTTTCCCAGTAACTTTATAAACAACGAATTTGTAGACTGTCCCTATTTTTTTTTGTTATATTGTAAATATTGTGACCTATTTATACTGAAGTTATTGTTTTGTTTAATTTTTATGCCCCATTATTTTTCTTAAATATCATGTTTTTTCTTACTTTATTTGGACACTGATTATTATCTGATATGAAAAAAAGTAAAGATCCATGTCTCAATTATAATATTTATTTGTAAATGTTCTTCCGTTTTGTTAAGATATAACTGTAATTCTAAGAGACAGTTCACTTTGACCAAGCGGCATAAGAATTCAAGGATAAAATAAAATAACTGATCGGTATAAGACTTATGATTTATAAGTCCTTAGGATTCATAACCTGAATCGAATATATAGAGATTTTTCTCTACTTGAAAAGGAAAATCGTATTTCAATCCTTTAAGACCCTATTCACAAAGTCAATTTCATGGTTATAAATTAAAACACAAATGTAACATTATTGTTGATCTTTGGCAACTAATTTATTTCATGACTGAATCATATATCATGTCACTTATCTTACTTATTGTTAGGGACATTATACCCTCAAATACAATGTACAAGAAAAAATATCAATCTTAATTCGGTATATCCATTCTCATGAATTCTATTCATTCATTTTGAGTGTAATTCATTTGTATTTAGTTATTTGATTCTAAGTTCATTTTCCCTCTGATAGTTATTTCATCGTGGTTTCGTATGCAATGGCAACTATTCATTTAATAAAACTGTGTATTTAATAATCACTGAATTATCTTGGATATGTATTTATTCTTCCTTCGTTTTATTCAATAAATCTTCCCAATTAGGTTGATCTTTTTGAGTAGTCATGGTGGACCTAAAAGCGACTATAGCTGTTCTGTATTGTATCTCAGTTGTCATTAGAGTTATCATTGAATATCCTCTATATGTGACACTCATACTATTTCCAATAGTGGGATCTGAAGTTTGTAAATGAGCAAGGATTCAAGTATATCCAAGTCTCTAGAGGATAATAACCAATGTATATTTTTTCATCTTTACCACAAAAGTAAACAATCTAATTATGTGACATAGTACTTTGCGCTACATTGTTTCCAGAATACAAATTATAAAACTTTTTTTCTCTAGAATTAAAAATCTCACTACATAAATTAAGCTTTATATAATTACCTCTTTGTTTGCTCTGAGTAAATATTTATTTTTTCTTTGTTTACAATTGTTTGTATCGTTATTTCTTTCTTTCTTTCTCTCTCTCTCTCTAGATCAATGGATTGAATCAAGCTCATATTCAATGTCCTGTCCTATATCGTACATTGAAACTTCCACTTTTACCTCAAAGTACGCATTTTTCACCTCATTCTAATGTAGTTAATATGGAAAATAACAATGGGATATTGAATAACGACAATGCACTATCTAAACTAGAATCAGATCAAATTAGTCCTGATCAAATGCCTTATGTGTATGTAAGCTGTGGTCATGTACACGGTTGGCACAATTGGCGTGCAGTTGGTGATGTGTGAGTTTCATGTATCAATATATTTAATATATTGTCATTATGATCTGAAAGTATGTATTGTTTAGAACTTGGATTTATCTTATTTTTCATTAGGACAATCATTTTTTGGCACAAAGACTGGGCAGTAACTCATGAACATATTTATAAGATGTTATAGGAATATTCCAAGTTGGGTTTTTTAGCTACATTAACACCATTACTGATGTATTTTGTAGAATTATTGTAATTGTGAAGATTTTCAGTTGATATGGTTAATAAAATGAAATAGCCTATATATGTACGCAAATTAGTTTTTATTTTAAAAAGGTGTTATGCAAGTCTATAAATTAATCAATCGAGCACTTTTTTTATCAGACAAGTCTTGCGTTAAGAAAAAGATATCGATTAATTTACTTAAAAAATGGAATAGTTGAAACATTATTCTATATGGCAACTTTTACTTGGCATTTAACTAACCTAATGGATTCACAAATAAATATACATTAAGATCGGAAGAGGTTTTCGTGGATATTATAGTAATTTCAGTAGTTGAGATCAATTGAAGCTAGACCACCATTGAAAACCTGGAAGCACTGGACGGCCGTTTCGTCCTATTATGGGACTCCTCGGCAGTGCGCATTTCCTGGAGTTCTAGTGAGAAACAGTGACTAGTGGAGTTCAACCAGGTCTGTTGTGATATATCAGATCACTGATGACAATAGTGACGGTGGCGCAATTTCGTGGATTGGTTGAAGTTAAACATTAACACCGTTGGATGCCGGCTCAGCGGTCTAATGGTTAAGCGCTCGCACGCGAGACTAATAGGTCCTTGGTTCGAATCTCGTGGGGCGGGATCGTGGATGCGCAGTGCCGAGGAATCCCACACTAGGACGAAACGGTCGTCCATTGCTTCCAGGTTTTCCATAATGGTCTAGCTTCAATTGGCTCATGATTTCAACTATTGAAATTACTAAAATCTCCACAAAACCCCTTCTGATATTATTAAAAAGACTGAAATATAATTCACAAAAATATTTGACCTCAATAAATTCATTGTGTTTAAGTATTAAATAAACATAGTCAGAATTATTTAGATATGTTTACCTAAGAAAAGATAAACAGGTATAGTAGAGTGAAAATACTCATAGATATTGAAGTTGTCACCATTTTAAAACAACACGCTCAAATACAACCAGCAAAACTGAGTAAATGTTAAAGTGAATAAGTATAAAATAAATAGAAAGAACGGAAACTTTATATAAAGTATTCAAGTAGTCGAAAATCAGATGGTAAATAGTACATAACTATCTCAGGAAAAAGAGCTCCATTTAGTAGACTTACACTTCCCTCCTATATCAGTCAAATTAACAATCAGTAACTTCATTGACTAATCCCATGTGTTAGTTTGATCATCCGTAAGCTTTAACTTTATCTTACTAAATTTAATAATGCATGTCTGGATAAACAGTGATCTATGTAGGATGCTTAATACTTTAGACGATTGATAAGCTATTTAGCTTGAAAATTGTCAGCAACTAAAATTTTTAAAACTATTTTGTCTGTCAAACCCTTGGTAACAAAAAGTAAAGAACATGAGTTCTAATACTGTTAATTCTCATAAACTTTTTTATTTTTATCTCTTTTCTGTCTAAATTAATAATAACTATCAGTTTTGTTTTAACTTATCCAGAAATAGTCGTCGAACATGTCCATTATGTTTACAAGCATCATTATTTATCCCATTACGTATGGGCATTGAATCAGCATTCTATGTTGATCGTAGTTTAGCTACGCATTGTTTTAATCCTTGTGGACATATTGCTTCAGAAAATACTGTACGGTAAGTTTAAACGAATATTAACTACTACACATGATAATAAGTAACATCTTTGATTATTATACATTCTTACAATATATACTATAAAGATATATAGATTCAATCACATATTAGGTTTAATTTGATTGTATTCAACTCTAAAAGTAGGAATTGTTGTAACGTTTAATGCTACTCTTTTTACTATAGTCACGACATGAAATAGAATTTATTGTAGAGAACAATTTCGTAATTAGGTTTATTTGAAGTGCATAATCAAAATGTCTTTCCTGCTAGTAATCCCTATGGGTTTTTTCTAAAAATAGCTTTATTATGTAATAGTAACTTACTTAGGTATACTTTATACAATACATGTTGTTTTAACATTCACATTTTCAATGAGCTAACAAAAGTAATGTGTGAACTCCTGGCATATATTGTTGTTAGAGCTCAATGATTGAATATATATATGTCTGCTTTGATCTGTCTGCTTAAATACAATATAAACCGAATAGGAATCTCTATCAGCGTAATTAACTGTAATTACAACTTGATGTTTACTTTTAAATGGTCAAATGACCTCAGTAATATCAATATTGATGTTGGCCCTTGGTTCATCTCTGCACTCATACTTGATTCACTGTACTTCCTTCGCATGCCATTTAACTTGAGATTCACCGATCGAATGTTTTTCGTATATCTGCTGGATATCCAATTAGATACAGCAATTGTATTCTTTTCGGTTCAGTTTTTATAAGCTACTAATACTGTCAACTTTCAGATAACAAATACAACTTGTAGTTCGAATGCTTGGATCTATATGTGGTTACTACCAAGTATCCCTCAACATGCTAAATTCGAACTATTGCTAACTATCGTAGAATCGAGCCAACCATTCAGACCAATCACTGAGTTGCTCAATATTCAACCGCTGAAGCCTAAGGTAAATACCACTAACCAGGGTACATGCAGTCCAGCACGAAGCCAGATGCATGCTAAAAAAGCCTCAGTATAGTCACTATTATTTAGAAAAAGCCATAATTCTGTCGAACCATAGTAAAATATATCGAAATCTCTCTTGACTTGTAAACTGCGCTATTTGTTCCTAATCATAATTACCATCTAGTGACCGAATAAATAATTCTTAAAGTATCTCAGAATATCCATTTCTAAGTAAGACAATAAGCATTTTAATCATCTATATGGAGTTGCGAGTTATCGATGAAATCACTTAACTTTCAGTTAAAGAGTTCTAAGTTTGACTCCCACTCTACTTTTGTTTTTAAACGTGATTGGTATACCAATAACCCTATTCCATCATAATTGTGTCCAAAATTCAGATTTCTAAAAAACCAGGTTATCTATGTTTTTTTTTGTTAATAAACAAGTTATAGTTCTTATGTGTAAGAATAGCCTCGGTAACATTTTTCCAATTCATATTTTCCCAATGACGTTTGCTGTTATTTGAGTGTCTGTTTTCACTTATAATTTACTAGTTTTGTTATATGTCTCAAAATCATTGTCTGTTGTCATATACAAAGAGTTGTTTTACTTCAAATTGGATCTCCTGAATAACAATCTTTTTCTTAACACCATCTTCTCTTTGTGTTTCATCGCGTTGAGGATAATTGGTGAACTATGTATATGTCAGTTATCTCGTCTATCGATCTTGTGTAGATCCAGTTTTGTATTAGAGAAAATATCCCACTTGTTTACTGTCGAAAAGGTAACACTGTGTTGTATGCTGTTTATGCTGATAGATATAAGTAGTATGTAGCACCAATCGGTAGTGGAATGCCTAGCAGCAGGACAGTGAAATGATGAGAACAGAGAAGGAATCGGAGAGCAACCGAAATAACAGCAAAATTAGAGGAATAATGGAGTATATAAAGGACAACACGAAGATGTGCAAATGATGTATTTAATGTATGATTTTCATATTTTACTTAACCACTATGTGGTTTGTACACTAGTGTGCAATTATTTACTGATTTCCATCATTACACTTTTCTAACGTTTCACTTATTTTCATGTCATTGTTTTTTTTTTCATCTGCACTCCAGATACTGGTGTAGTTTACAATTATTAAATCGATATAATTTTGAATTACACGCAAGATGCCCATTTTGTTTGACACAAATACATTCAAAACCAGTGAAATTATTATTTCAAAGTGATTTATCAGAAGAAGAATTTTTGGAATTAATTAAAGAACAATTATACGTGCGTACATTAAATATGGAAAAATACGAAACATTATCACGTTCTATCCATAAAATAAATAATAGATCATCAAAAATTAATTCATCACAATCCCATTCCATTTCTAATAATAATAGTAATAATAACGGTAATCAAGAATCTGTTCATTCATCTTCGTCTTCCCCTCCTCATCCTCATCTTACATCTTCTTCCTACAGCCATGATGATCGTCTTCATTCTTCATCGTGTTCATCATCTGATGAAGTATTATTATCTTCTACATCATCATTATCACAAATTATATCCTCATCACCAACTACCTCTTATTTATTAAATAATATTCATTCATCAAATAATCCTTGTCGATCGGCAGCAGTAGTAGTAGCATCACAAGAAAATTCTAATTCTTTACGACTAAATGAAAATCATTCAATCAATCATGATAATCTTAATGTTCCACATTCAAACTATACACCTTGTTTATAGTTTAACTAAAATTATTTCATCAGATTGATTTTCGTTTTACTTGTTTTTTTCTCTACTGGACTTTCATCGCTAACAACTAAAGTAAGTAGTGGATTTCGTCAAATGCCAGCTACTCATTCTCTTTTTGCATTGTTATTTGTATTCATAATTATATATATTAATAGTGATAATGAGACCCCGGAACTGAAGTGAAGGTTAGAAAGTGGTCCCTAAAATTGTACATTGTTTCTCTTTTTCACGGAAACCTGATGCTACTAGTAAACTTTAACGAATTAGGAGTCGAGACATCAAATTGGGAAACAAGTATTCATAGGAATAACCATATAACCAATATCAAGCAGTCGTCTTTGTACTCTGCTGTCATACTATCTAATCGGTGAAATGATCAATACCAGTTCTATTTCTTTATCAGGTTTTCCTAGATAAATCGACCGTTCGTACGATAGGCAATTGAAATAATCTAACTACATAAGCGCTTACATCAGTACTCAATACTATTCTGTTCATCATAAATTACGATCACTTAACTCATGTTCTCTTAGGTTTTATATTTCCATTATTAATTCTTACTAGCTTCTTAGTTTTTATATACGAATACTGGTGATTCGACGGTAGATCCTTCAATATCTCTATTTTAAGTTACGTTTTCAATTTTGTCTAGTGTGATACTGAAATTTTCATTTAGGTATTGTGTTAGGTGGTTGAAAATAGCTGTCAAGAAACCCTATTTTTAGGTTTCGTGCTAGTCGACATTCGTCAGTAAGTTGTGCTTGTATTCTTATGAGAACTGATGCTCTCTGTGGGATTAGAACCCGTCACCCGGCTTCATACTTTGAGACGTTACCACTGAGCTATTCTGGCCATTACTGACTTATGGGACTAAAATGTTTTTAGCTCATTGATCACTGAATAGTGACCAATGTCATATTTATCTAGTCTCTTAAGTACTGGTCGAATTTTATGGACTAGTTTTCATCGTGGCCACTATTCTAATTAACTCGACATCGCATCCCCTGTATTAGGATATTAATTGGTTAGAGTGGTAGTCGACAAGAAACCCTGTTCACAAAACCTAACCCATTGGTATGTTGGTATTCAAATCATTAAAACTTTATAAAACAGGATTTTCAGTAAATTTATAATTTGATCAGAATTGTTTAAATACATGTCCCCAACAGAATCTTAATACATACAAACACACAATTTTACAACTTTTGCGGTATTCGAATGATAGTACTTTTAATTAATGAATATCATTAGTAATATTACCTTCATTCATTATGATTTTTGTTTTTGTTTTTTTTAAAGACAATTTTTACTTCTAGAGAGAGAGAGAAATTACCAAAGTAATCCAAATTGTAACTAAGCACATTATTTCAAATTCATCTGACTTTTTTGTATGCTCAAATATTTCACTTAAAACGTTATCCCTATTATCATCATCATCATTCTCATTAATGTTTTGATTCTTTAAACACCTCTACGCATTATTTTGAGGGAAATAAATGAGTTTATTGTATACAACACTAATTCACATCACTTGGATTTTTTTCTAATGGAATCAAAAATAATGTTATGCTGTTGTACTACTATTTTTACTCATATTTCCTTTCCTTTTTATATCTTTTAACAAAACAATCTAATGTTAAATGTTTGTTGGTTATATTTCTCATTACTGTTTATCAATGTATTTAATATCATATTATTAGTTTTTAATAGTTAAAAATAATATCATTGTTAACCTTGTGTAATTACACATCTCAATCCCTTTTTTTCATACTATCCAAAATGCATTATCCATACAATTCATATTTTCTAAGTAACCGATACCAGTTAGGTATACATACATACTTATTCAGTCTTACTGATTGTGATTGTGTTAAGCTGAATTTCTTTTGTTTGTTTATGTTCATCGGAACAGTTTTCCTCCAATAACTTGTAAGTGTAACATTTATCACTACTTTTCCGTATTGTCTTTCTTTTTTTTTTCTTCTAAATTGTTTACTTCAGTGACTTTTTTCACTACAGTGATTATTGTTTGTTTGGTAATATGATCAATATATATGCTTTTTCTTGTACTTGTATGTATGCATTTTAGTGAAAAGTTACTTTTAAATTTGACTTTATATTTGTATTTTGTTCTTTATTTTTCTTCGTTTCTTTTTTTTCTTCAATATTATCATTTCAAACAAATAATCATTTTTATCACTGCTTTTTATCCTTGTTTTTTTCTAGTATTAGTATATAAATAAAAGGGCAAATTTCATAGGTTTTTAAATGATCTACCATCTGTATATGTAATTTGAATGATTTATCCAATGATATCGGCTATATCTTAAATTCAGTCTATGATTATCATTTAAACTTTTCAGTAATCCATTGAAATTGAAAATCTACTTGAATATCGAAGTTTCTTTTATACAATATTCGTCCGTATACATAGTTTACTTCCCATGTTCTAACTTCATAATGAGTGAACTATAAACAATATATATTTTCCTATTTATTCAGTGTATTATACTTAAGCTAAACCCGTTTGGACAACAATGCTAATGAAAGCTAAATTCGGACTGAATTGGAAGTTTATTTCAGATATTCATTTACACAGACATGGTAATAGGTGTAATGTGGAGAAGGGATTCTCGGCCTACTCAATTTGACTAAAACGTAACATGCTCAAGGTTACACGTGAGGAATTGACAAGTTCAAACATATAGGTTATAATAAAAGTAAAAAGATTAGAATAATTTATCTCTCCAATGGTTAGGACAAATTATGTATGTGTGATATCAGAGATTTGCTGCTGTACCTTGTCTATTAAGTGTAAACATTTTTTTGGTCTTCAGTATCCTATCACAAAATAAAATTTTAGGAATTGTTCTATAAATTTGAATTAATTTTCTGACATGTATACTATGGTTTTGACGATATGGTTAACATAAAGATACAACCATAAGAATACATCTGATTTCACTTTGAATTTCTAAACTAAACTTTAGAATTGAATACATAGGGGTGTTTTTGGTGCTTTAGGTTCTCTATGCCTTTATTGTCATTCTGGATAACATCAGGACCCAATTCATATAGAAATGAACTTTCGGGTTATTAGACAATAATTAAATACCTGGTAGTGTTGTGTGTGATCAGTTGTCTTCGTAGATTTCAACAAAGCAAAAATAATAAAACTGGATGTGTTCACTTTATTTCTTTACATTCCTAACTGCCTACAAGCTAGTAGTGTCATAAGTTCAGAACTTCCGTTTAATTGGTTCATTTAATTCTAGAGTCCACTAACGATGCATCTGCTGCATACCTATCTAACAACGATCTTTTCTTTTACCAATGATAAAAAAACCCTGAAAAAACGACTTCAAAATCCTAAACCCTATCAGTTCACTCATATTCTATCCTAATAACCAATCAGAATATTAAAACTCCCTGTTAAATTACACTATTATTCTCTATTCATTATACCACAAGAAATAATTTGTACACAACTAAGTTATAGGTTATATCAAACGGAGTAATAGATAAATAATTAATATTAATGGTTGGATTCATGAGTCGATATAAGCTAAACCACTATTGGGAACCTGGAAGCACTGGACGGCAGTCTCGTCCCAGTATGAGACTCCTCAGCAGTGCGCGTCCACGATCCCGCGCACGGGATTCGAACCCAAGATCTTCGGTCCCGCGCGAACGCTTAACTTCTAGACCACTGAATCAGCATCAGACGATGTTAATATCTGACTTCCATCGATTCATAAATGGCTGTGCAACCATTCATCCATTGTTTGAGGTAGATACCTGTCTCTACCTGACACAGATTGGACTCCACGGGTCATGGCTTCTCACTAGAACTCCAGGGAAATCTTGAAATCAGTCACTAGCGAGCACATGATGATTATTACTAGTATGGGGATTTGTGGAGATTGTAGTATTTTCATAATTGAATTCATGAGTCAATCAAATTAACAGTTATAAGGGATGAAGAGAATACTCTACACTTAATTAATCATTCTAAGAAAAATCACAACTTTACATAATGGCCAGAATAGATCGGTTTTATGTTAAAATTACTACAAACCCCATTCTGAAAATAATTATTTAACAAAATCCCCAGAACTTTAAAATACACACCGACTCATAATTAAGAGATAAAAATACCATAAACTACATATTTGATAATTACCCATAATATTTATCCATAGAATAGTTTTAACTTTTCTCAAATCACCGTTCCTCTATAGGCTCGGTTATTCCATTAAAAACAATGTTCTGTTTTCTGATAGATACTTATTAAAATCAACTATTTTTATCGCTATTAATTACTTGAATTGTTTTGATATACATAAAGGTGTAGAATTCAAAAAACTCTAATGAATTTATTCTATTCTACAAATCTTGTCTTTACTTTCCTGCATAATGACTTAAGAGAAACGTATTTTACTTGACAGTTTAATTCGACGAGACCATAATATGTGGACGAACCAATTAACACAAGTTTAAATAGTACAAAGAAATTTAATTTGGTTATTTACTCACTCTGAAGAAGTAGCTTATATTGAGTCGCGAAACGTCGGAAATACAATTTTCTACTCACTGGGATGTAACAAAAATCTATATATTTATTATTTCAAACTACTGATTATTATATTCTAATTATTCTTCTGATCGGCTGTCAGACAAAAAAGGCGAAGGTTTTTCTCATAAGTGAGATGAAGTAATTCGTGACTACGTGTCCACTGACAGTCTAAGATACTGATGAAAAGGCTTTTACCAGCCGAACAAAAATATATAGGATTAACAACCACTACCAACTGGCTGTACAAATCATTTTATAAAGAATTTACTGTAAAACAAACATTCACGTCTCTTGAGAAGTTATCGGTAGTTGTAGATGACCATTCTGCATACATATTTTATGTAAAAATCATTTGAATTTCGACGACTATCTTGTGTTATGAAATGGCAAAAAGTCATACTCTCATAAACATGTTTGTTGTCTCAAAAGTTCTGCTTCCATTTGAAATAATTTATCAACAAACAGCTCTTTGAAAATAATATCAACCTCACTATTTGGAATAAACAGGGCATACAACAACGACTTTTATCACTCAGATAGTGAAGATTTCATTGGCCGGTTAAAATGACGTTTTTGATTGGTAGGAGAAAGATACAGATAAATAGTTGGGGAGGTGTAAAGCGTATTAAAATAAATTTCATACCCTTAAAGGATTATTCCCGTTTAAAACATTATACTCATTATTTTCCATTTAATTGTAACTAATCTTATCGTACCTATAAACTATGGGCATGAAATTTATAATTATTTTAATAACATATCATCAAATTAATACTATTCCTTAGCCAACAGTAATAACTAGTGATAAGTGTATTTTATTGCCAAATTTTTTAAATCCAGTCTAGAATTTCATTTCACCTGGAACTCTGTTACTTTGCTGAAACACAAATTTGTTAGATTGCACTTACAAGTTCGTCAAGTGTTAACGATCAATATTCCATCCTTAAATATTCGTGATTTGTCAGTTTAAACAAACCTTATCTTTTGAACTTAATTTTAAGCCAAAGGGATTCATACTATTTTCTATAGCTCATTTAAAAAGTGGGCTTGTAGAAATTGTTGAATATGTAATTTTACATCAAGGATTTCATAAATATTGAAAACCAGGAAATATTAGATAGTTATTTCACCTTAATATATGACTCTTTAGAAGTAAATATTCATGATCCCATCCAAGGATCGTACTTAGAATCTTCAAGCTTCACGATGACCAAGATACTTTTCCATTGCTGTGTTATCTCCTCCTGCTTCATATTTCTTATCTCAATCAATTCACAATATTATACTGTCATCTTTCATTTCCCGTGATTATATCTGCCTTATACATGGCATGATTGAATCTTACTGATCATGACTTTTCAACCGGACTCCCGTAACCATCTCTTGGAGTTAGCCATAGTTAATATATTGTTAGTACTGTGGGGTTTGTAATCAAAATATTTAGTTAGCTAGAAAGATTATTGAAATTAATTCTATTTAATATCATTGAATAATTATAATAAGTATTTTTTGTACTTGTTTATCTTTATTAAAAGTGGATTTAACTTTTGGAGGTTGTTTACTTTAATCCAGCTAATGAAGCGCTTATTGGTTTTTATCATCACGTCTTCTTTTGTCTTTTTCACAACTGATACCTTTTATTAAAAATTGACGAGACTATAATTTATGAACGAATCAATGATGAAATGGAAGATGGCAGGACTTGAATTTCGGCATGAAATTCATTCATATATATGGCTAAATAGCATTTTGACACTACGGCTGACGTCGATGCGTGATGAAAACTCTGACTCTATTCCTTAACCCTAACCTCTAACGTTAAATTCTAATCCTAATTCTTAACATGAATTTATAACCTTTTTTCTCAAGACCACTTTACTGTCGCTTAAAGGTCGTCCATAAATTATAGTCTCTCCCTGACTAACTTCTCTTAGAAACTCTCAGTAGTCTTTAAATGCCATTTGTCTGACTCCAATATGATCGAACTGTTGATGATGTAGACGAATTAGAAATCCTATTTATCTCATATATGTTATGTCGACATCTGCATTTGATTGATTTAATAATCATTTGGAATTGTATAACGAAGGCAGTTAATCTGTAGAAAGGTTCGTTCTCGCTGCTACCCTAATCATTTCATTAATTATCCCCGAAATCCCATTCACCTTGAACGTAAGACATATGAAGTCAAGCTACTCTTTTCTTTGTTTGATAATTAATTTCTTCTGGCACCCATTTTCCAAAAGATTGTTTTCAACAAGTTCCAAATCTTTTATTTTCTCAGTGCAAGGGTTTTGAAATAACTATTAGATTTTATAATTTACATCACGAGTTGATCTTGTCTAAAAAATCAATGAAACCTAAAAAGCACCGTTTAGTACGAGACTCCTCAACGATGCTCATCTACGACCCCCCCCCGGGATAGGATCCAGGGTCTTCAGATCCTATTGCGAACACTTAGACTCTAAACTACCGAATTAGCATTTAGTAAGCTATATTTTTAGCTATGACCTCCTCGTAATATTGCGTGTGTGAATGGGTGCATTTGTGTGTTTGTGTGGTCAACTAACCTGTGGTTTATACTAAATTACCATAAAGTTAGGAAAAAATAACCACTCAGTATTCTCAAATAATGCTTTATCCAACACAACTTTCTAATCTTTCTCACCATCCATTCATTTATCATGTTCAGTCGATATTTCCTCATTCACTATTATCAGCAATTCACATGACTGATAATATTGTTTAAAGATTTAATTAACCAACAGTTGATATATTATAGACTTTTTGTACGGTCAAGATCATTTAGCCAAAGAAAATTCCCATAATATAACGGAAATGCTAAGAGATGAAATGAAAAACAAGCGGTAATATAATTTCAAAACTTTGCATCTGGAATAACAATGGTTAAGTGTTGTTTGACAACTGAGTGGTACTTCTAACTTTAGTCAAAAAAGGACTGATAAAAATGACTATGAAACTCTGGATTCAGTTTTTGTTTAAACTTATTCTTATCAGATCAGTGCAGATTTTTTCTAATAATTCAGAACATTTACACTTAACAATAAGAACCATCTTCTATAGATTCGAACAAAATACTCAGTCAAACAAATCCATCTATTCAGCTACATATTCTGACAATCTAAATCGATTAGATATAAAATAGTCCGTACAGGGTTGTCAAGAATGTTGGATTTCACTGACCGGTCCATGAAATCAATGAAATTCAACAACCTCCACCACCCCATACTAACAATTATCGTGTTTACTAATGACTAGCTTCAAGAGGAAATTTCCA